TGCCTGCTTCAGGTTTGGATGGAGCTTCATGGTTGTCTTTTGGAGAAATGACCAGTCAAGTTGTGTTTGAAATTTGATTTTTTTCAGGGGCAAAAGGAGCCTCTGCATTCTTGTCAAATATGTAAATAGCATGTTTTTGCAGGTGCTACAAACCAGACTCTGAGTGTGTGTGTGTGCGTGTGTGTGTGTCTGTGTGTGTGTGTGTGTGTGCGTTCAAGTCACATGACATATTTAACCGGATGTAGCTGCAAGACGGAGCCTCGTTGACTCTCCGTTTCAATTTATCTCAAAAGTGAGGACCTCAACCTATATACCAGTTTTTAAATTGTGTTGATAGGCCAAATAAAACCAGAGTTATGATAAATTATGTCCGCGATACTTGTTTTCTGCTTATTTTGATCACGTTCGGCGCTCGATCGCGCTGTATGAGACAGGAAAACATAGCATGCAGACATTAGCGACAGGTCTTACAGGCGGAAAAGGCTTGCCAAAGGAAAAAAAATACACACCACAACATCTCTCCTATTGGTGGAAAACTTCACCACAACAACCAATCCAAAATTATATGGTGACTGATTGACAAGGGGCGGGAACTTACGTTCTTCCTGCAATATGAGAAGGGAGGGAGGGACTCTCAGCAGGGATGCAGTCTGGGACACGTAGTTGCAAACCTAGCGACTTTGTTGTTAGATTCAATGACTTTTCAGACCCCCTAACGACTTTTTTTTAGAAAGAAAGTGACTTTTATCGACTTCTTCTGGAGTTTAGAGACTCTGACATGAAGCAGGCTTTCCTTACTGAGGAGTTAGCAACGCTGCTAAGGGTGCAGAGCCACACATGCGCTCAGAGCTCTGCATGGGAGACTGAAGCTGACACAGCTGCAGCAGTTAGCAGGTTTCACCCTCAGAGACCACCAGGGGTTCATGTTGAGGCATTTTCAGTTTTTTTTTTTTTTTTCCATAGACACTGTCAGCACAATCTGCAGTTACACTAACAAAAATGCTGCAAAAAACAAAGAATTATGGAAAAATTACACATGGACTAACATAGAGGAGGATCTACACAAGTTTTTTACATCATGTTTTACATCATGCATCATTTACATCATGTTTTTTTGTAGTGGCATAAATAAAAAGTGACATTTGTGAGACTATACAGTGTTTTGTAAATAATTTTACAAAGAACACCTGGGCCATTGCCTGCATTTTGATGTCAATAGAGGTAAATTACTATGTTCTTTGTTAAAAATTTGCATATGTTTTGAAGTTTACAATTTTTATTTGAAGTTTAAGTTTTAAAAACAGTTCATCACACATATTTGTGGTTTTCACAGTAAAAACGTTACTTTTTTCCACTCGGATTTTATGTTTTGTGTGTGAATTTGGGTCCAATGTGTAAATATAGTATGTCAAAATGGTAAAATAACTGTAAATTGACACAGGTGAGGTTGTGCTGAAAAAAATGATACCAGGCAAGGCAAGGTAAAAATTTTGTAAGAGGAAATATAAAGGTAAAATCTAAAGTAGTCAAAAACGGCCAATAGTGACTCACAGACTCCACAGACAAGTCCCTTTGGCGGCACTCAGTGGGCAAAACTACTTTGTCTACTGTAATGTATATTTGGGTCATCTTTGGCGCCCCCTAAAACGTAAACCGTGGGGTGCAGCGTCATGATTTTTACAACTTTGAATGGCCATGGAGTGTAGATTGGCCTGAGCAAATTTGGTGTCAGTGGGACGAAAGCCTTAGGAGGAGATAGCGAAATTCCAATGTGTGCGAATCGGCAAAAAATGCAAAATAGCCCTTTTACCGTACATTATACAGATACGCGCTCTTTGACTTTTTCGTAGATCTAATTGAGATACACATGATTGTCAATTTTTGTGTCATTTTGCCAAAGCGTACAGGCGTGACAGTCAACAATGTGTATTTTCACCTTAGGGGACAAGAAAAAATGGACTTTTTTCTCCTGCCATGGGGGGGCGCTCTTTTGGGGAGTAAAAATTCCTTCACAAATGTGTTGATGGCTGGACATTGCATCATCCTAGAAAACTTGGAGGCCAGTGAGGACAAAAATAAAAAGTTATAAGACTTTTAAAAATGTGGATTTTTGGGTTATCTTTGGCGCCCCCTAGAACGTAAATCGTGGGGTGCAGCGTCATGATTTGAATAACTTTTAATGGCCATGGGGTGTAGATTGGCCTGAGCAAATGTGGTGCCGGTGGAACGAAAGCCTTCGGAGGAGTTAGCGAAATTCCAATGTGTGCGGATCGGCAAAAAATGCGAAATAACCCTTTAACCGTACATTAGACAGATACGCGCGCATTGACTTTTTCGTAGATCTTATTGAGATACATGTGTGTGTCAATTTTTGTGTCATTTTGACAAAGCGTACAGGCGTGACAGTCAATAGTGTGAATTTTCACCTTAGGGGACAAGAAAAAATTGACTTTTTTCTCCTGCCATGGGGGGGCGCTGTTTTGGGGAGTAAAAATTCCTTCACAAATGTGTTGATGGCTGGACATTGCATCATCCTAGAAAACTTGGAGGCCAGTGAGGGCAAAAATAAAAAGTTATAAGACTTTTAAATATGTGGATTTTAGGGTTATCTTTGGCGCCCCCTAGAACCTAAACCGTGGGGTGCAGCGTCATGATTTGAATAACTTTTAATGGCCATGGGGTGTAGATTGGCCTGAGCAAATGTGGTGCCGGTGGAACGAAAGCCTTCGGAGGAGTTAGCGAAATTCCAATGTGTGCGGATCGGCAAAAAATGCGAAATAACCCTTTAACCGTACATTTGACAGATACGCCCGCACTGACTTTTTTGTAGATCTTATTGAGATACATGTGTGTGTCAATTTTTGTGTCATTTTGACAAAGCGTACAGGCGTGACAGTCAATAGTGTGAATTTTCACCTTAGGGGGCGCTATGGAGCCATTTTGCATTTTCTTGTTTGGGCGACTTCGGAATATCAAATTTTTCACCAGGCCCGGTCGTCCTGCCAAATTTCATGAGTTTTCGCCAGTGGGAAGTGGGCCATTTTCCAGTTCAAAGGGGAGGAAAAAGAAACTAGGACCCCGGTGGGGCACTGTCGGGCCCGAGCCGCGTTGCGCCGCCCCCAGCGCGACCGCCTCCCGATCCCGATCGCGTCACACTCAAGGTCCAAAGATGGTGTGCGCACTTGTCTGTGGTCATTTCCCATTAAAATGAATGGGAGGCGCAGTTTCTACCAAAACAATCGCTGCAGACAAACTTCATGTCCTATTTGAAAAAAGTCTGGACCATGAGTGAGGGCACAAACACAGCTGGGATATATCCAAATGGCAGGTTGCTCCTCGTTACGGTGTTGCCTGGAGAGCGATGCGATTGAGCCATTGAGCGATGGGCAGGAAAAACTTGACTTTTTCTCCTGCCATGGGGGGGGGGGGGGGGAGAATGTGGATTCTTTTAAGAATGTGGATTTTTTGGTCATCTTTGGCGCCCCCTAGAACGTAAACCGTGGGGTGCAGCGTCATGATTTTTACAACTTTGAATGGCCCTGGGGTGTAGATTGGCCTGAGCAAATTTGGTTTCAGTGGGACGAAAGCCTTAGGAGGAGTTAGCCACATTCCAATGTGTGCGAATCGGCAAAAAATGCAAAATAGCCCTCTAACCATACATTTGACAGATACGCACCCATTGACTTTTTCGTAGATCTTATTGAGATACACGTGATTGTCAAATTTTGTGTCAATATGACAAAGCGTACAGGTGTCACACTCAACAATGTGAATTTTCACCTTACGGGACAAGAAAAAATGGACTTTTTTCTCCTGCCATGGGGGGGCGCTCTTTTGGGGAGTAAAAATTCCTTCACAAATGTGTTGATGGCTGGACATTGCATCATCCTAGAAAACTTGGAGGCCAGTGAGGACAAAAATAAAAAGTTATAAGACTTTGAAATATGTGGATTTTAGGGTTATCTTTGGCGCCCCCTAGAACCTAAACCGTGGGGTGCAGCGTCATGATTTGAATAACTTTTAATGGCCATGGGGTGTAGATTGGCCTGAGCAAATGTGGTGCCGGTGGAACGCCAGCCTTAGGAGGAGTTAGCGAAATTCCATAGTGTGCGGATCAGCAAAAAATGCGGAATAACCCTTTAACCGTACATTTGACAGATACGCGCGCATTGACTTTTTCGTAGATCTTATTGAGATACATGTGTGTGTCAAATTTTGTGTCAATATGACAAAGCGTACAGGCGTGACACTCAACAATGTGTATTTTCACCTTAGGGGACAAGAAAAAATGGACTTTTTTCTCCTGCCATGGGGGGGCGCTCTTTTGGCAAGTAAAAATTCCTTCACAAATGTGTTGATGGCTGGACATTGCATCATCCTAGAAAACTTGGAGGCCAGTGAGGACAAAAATAAAAAGTTATAAGACTTTTAAATATGTGGATTTTAGTGTTGTCTTTGGCGCCCCCTAGAACCTAAACCGTGGGGTGCAGCGTCATGATTTGAATAACTTTTAATGGCCATGGGGTGTAGATTGGCCTGAGCAAATGTGGTGCCGGTGGAACGAAAGCCTTAGGAGGAGTTAGCGAAATTCCAATGTGTGCGGATCGGAAAAAAATGCGAAATAACCCTTTAACCGTACATTTGACAGATACGGCCGCACTGACTTTTTTGTAGATCTTATTGAGATACATATGTGTGTCAATTTTTGTGTCAATATGACAAAGCGTACAGGCGTGACAGTCAATAGTGTGAATTTCCACCTTAGGGGGCGCTATGGAGCCATTTTGCATTTTATTGTTTGGGCGACTTCAGAATATCGAATTTTTCACCAGGCCCGGTCGTCCTGCCAAATTTCCTGAGTTTTCGCCAGTGGGAAGTGGGCCATTTTCCAGTTCAAAGGGGAGGAAAAAGAAGAAAGAAAGAAAGAAAGAAACAAAGAAAAACCCCTTGGGGAATAATAGGGCTCTCGCAGCTGCTTAGCAGCTACGCTCGGGCCCTAAAAACTAGGACCCCGTTGGGGCACTGGCGGGCCCGAGCCGTGTCGCGTCCCCCCCCCCAACGTGCTGCCTCCCCGTCCCATTTGTGTCCTCTGGCCATCGCCCTCTCTGGTAACGCCCATCACTGCAAAGACCCTTTTCCTTCATCAGCGTTTGCTGTTCTTCCTGCCAGTGCGTGTTGCTTTCACTTACACTTGCCACAGCCAGCCTCGTGAGTGCCTAGCCTATTGGATATCACTGTCACCTACACAGGACAGTCATTACCTTTCTATTAATACTTTGTGTTTTAATTTCACATTAATTTCCATATTGTATAAACGACTGGAAAAAACTTGAGCCCCTGCCCCTGTATAATCATGTGCATGTCTCTGTTCTAGCTCCAAGGTGAATCTTCACTGCTCATGTTCTCCTCAGAAGCACTCACCTCACTCCCCTCAGGTTACTGTACACATGCACCAACTGCCTGCTTCAGGTTTGGATGGAGCTTCATGGTTGTCTTTTGGAGAAATGACCAGTCAAGTTGTGTTTGAAATTTGATTTTTTTTCAGGGGCAAAAGGAGCCTCTGCATTCTTGTCAAATATGTAAATAGCATGTTTTTGCAGGTGCTAAAAACCAGACTCTGAGTGTGTGTGTGTGTGTGTGTGTGTGTGTGTGTGTGTGTGTGCGTGTGTGTGTGTCTGTGTGTGCGTTCAAGTCACATGACATATTTAACCGGATGTAGCTGCAAGACGGAGCCTCGTTGACTCTCCGTTTCAACTTATTTCAAAAGTGAGGACCTCAACCTATATACCAGTTTTTAAATTGTGTTGATAGGCCAAATAAAACCAGAGTTATGATAAATTATGTCCGCGATACTTTTTTTCTGCTTATTTTGATCACGTTCGGCGCTCGATCGCGCTGTATGAGACAGGAAAACATAGCATGCAGACATTAGCGACAGGTCTTACAGGCGGAAAAGGCTTGCCAAAAGAAAAAAAAAACACACCACAACATCTCTCCTATTGGTGGAAAACTTCACCACAACAACCAATCCAAAATTATATGGTGACTGATTGACAAGGGGCGGGCGCTTACGTTCTTCCTGCAACATGAGAAGGGAGGGAGGGACTCTCAGCAGGGATGCAGTCTGGGACACGTAGTTGCAAACCTAGCGACTTTGTTGTTAGATTCAATGACTTTTCAGACCCCCTAACGACTTTTTTTTAGAAAGAAAGGGACTTTTATCTACTTCTTCTGGAGTTTAGAGACTCTGACATGAAGCAGGCTTTCCTTACTGAGGAGTTAGCAACGCTGCTAAGGGTGCAGAGCCACACATGCGCTCAGAGCTCTGCATGGGAGACTGAAGCTGACAGAGCTGCAGCAGTTAGCAGGTTTCACCCTCAGAGACCACCAGGGGTTCATGTTGAGGCATTTTAATTTTTTCTTTTTTTTGTGCCATAGACACTGTCAGCACAATCTGCAGTTACACTAACAAAAATGCTGCAAAAAACAAAGAATTATGGAAAAATTACACATGGACTGACATAGAGGAGGATCTACACAAGTTTTTTACATCATGTTTTACATCATGCATCATTTACATCATGTTTTTTTGTAGTGGCATAAATAAAAAGTGACATTTGTGAGACTATACAGTGTTTTGTAAATAATTTTACAAAGAACGCCTGGGCCATTGCCTGCATTTTGATGTAAATAGAGGTAAATCACTATGTTCTTTGTTAAAAATTTGCATATGTTTTGAAGTTTACAATTTTTATTTGAAGTTTAAGTTTTGAAAACAGTTCATCACACATATTTGTGGTTTTCACAGTAAAAATGTTACTTTTTTCCACTCGGATTTTATGTTTTGTGTGTGAATTTGGGTCCATTGTGTAAATTCAGTATGTCAACATGATAAAATAACTGCAAATTCGCACAGGTGAGGTTGTGCTGAAAAAAATGATACCAGGCAAGGCACGTGATTGTCAAATTTTGTGTCAATATGACAAAGCGTATAGGCGTGAATCTCAACAATATGTATTTTCACCTTAAGGGACAAGAAAAAATGGACTTTTTTCTCCTGCCATGGGGGGCGCTCTTTTGGGGAGTAAAAATTCCTTCACAAATGTGTTGATGGCTGGACATTGCATCATCCTAGAAAACTTGGAGGCCAGTGAGGACAAAAATAAAAAGTTATAAGACTTTTAAATATGTGGATTTTAGGGTTATCTTTGGCGCCCCCTAGAACCTAAACCGTGGGGTGCAGCGTTATGATTTTGATAACTTTTAATGGCCATGGGGTGTAGATTGGCCTGAGCAAATGTGGTGCCGGTGGAACGAAAGCCTTAGGAGGAGTTAGCCACATTCCAATGTGTGCGGATCGGCAAAAAATGCGGAATAACCCTTTAACCGTACATTTGACAGATACGCGCGCATTGACTTTTTCGTAGATCTTATTGAGTTACATGTGTGTGTCAATTTTTGTGTCATTTTGACAAAGCGTATAGGCGTGACACTCAACAATGTGTATTTTCACCTTAGGGGACAAGAAAAAATGGACTTTTTTCTCCTGCCATGGGGGGGCGCTCTTTTGGGGAGTAAAAATTCCTTCACAAATGTGTTGATGGCTGGACATTGCATCATCCTAGAAAACTTGGAGGCCAGTGAGGACAAAAATAAAAAGTTATAAGACTTTTAAATATGTGGATTTTAGTGTTATCTTTGGCGCCCCCTAGAACCTAAACCTTGGGGTGCAGCGTCATGATTTTGATAACTTTTAATGGCCACGGGGTGTAGATTGGCCTGAGCAAATGTGGTGCCGGTGGAACGAAAGCCTTCGGAGGAGTTAGCGAAATTCCAATGTGTGCGGATCGGAAAAAAATGCGAAATAACCCTTTAACCGTAATTTTGACAGATACGGCCGCACTGACTTTTTTGTAGATCTTATTGAGATACATATGTGTGTCAATTTTTGTGTCAATATGACAAAGCGTACAGGCGTGACAGTCAATAGTGTGAATTTCCACCTTAGGGGGCGCTATGGAGCCATTTTGCATTTTATTGTTTGGGCGACTTCAGAATATCGAATTTTTCACCAGGCCCGGTCGTCCTGCCAATTTTCATGAGTTTTCGCCAGTGGGAAGTGGGCCATTTTCCAGTTCAAAGGGGAGGAAAAAGAAGAAAGAAAGAAAGAAAGAAAGAAAGAAACAAAGAAAAACCACTTGGGGAATAATAGGGCTCTCGCAGCTGCTTAGCAGCTACGCTCGGGCCCTAAGAAAGAAAGAAACAAAGAAAAACCACTTGGGGAATAATAGGGCCTACGCCCGGCTGCTCTGCAGCTGGCTCGGGCCCTAAAGAAACAAAGACTAGGGCCCCGTTGGGGCACTGGCGGGCCCGAGCCGCGTCGCGCCGCCCCCAGCGCGACCGCCTCCCCGTCCCATTCGTGCCCTCTGGCCATCGCCCTCTCTGGTGACGCCCATCACTGCAAAGACCCTTTTCCTTCATCGGTGTTTGCTGTTCTTCCTGCCATTGCGTGTTGCTTTCACTTACACTTGCCACAGCCAGCCTCGTGAGTGCCTGGCCTGGCCTGGTTTGACCTTTGCTCACCATGATTGTGTGACCTTGGTATCAGCTACTTGGGAAGTTCAACCGTTGTGGCAAAGCTTTGTTTGCGTGCTGTGCTCAACCACCTATTTTGTATGGATGTGTAAGTAAACCACTTTCTTTCTTACACAATGACACACTCATACTTATCACTCACTGCTACTGATGTGCTCTGTTAGTATGCATGCAGGAAACCTGATGAATGAAGAAATGCCCAGACTAGCCAACATCTCAATAAATTATGAGGTATGACATCACTTGAATGGTTTCCTTGGACTATGCTTCCATTATTCTAATTCTGTAATAAAAAGAAATGTTGTCCAAAAGGACTGTTGTTGTTTTTTCTTCTAATAATTAACATATTTAACATAATTAACATTCAATATGCGCTCATTACACACGTGCACACTCTTTGATGATCTGAGAAGCAGAGCTTAAAGGACAGTAGGAGTAGCTGAACAAAGTGTATTTGTAGGAAAGCCGTAAGAGCTATTGAAACGCCGTTTTCGCGGGTTGAAAGGTTAGGGTGTCCACCAAAGGTCAGAGGTCAAATAACATTTGTATCTCAAACTGTGACGTCAAAGTCAAGGTCCAAAGATGGTGTGCGCACCTGTCTTTGGTCATTTCCCATTATAATGAATGGGAGGCACAGTTTCTACCAAAACGCTCGCTGCAGACAAACTACATGTCCTATTTGAAAAAACTCTGGACCATGAGTGAGGGCACAAACACAGCTAGGACATATCCAAATGGCAAGTTGCTCCTCCTTTTGGTTTTAGCGGGAGAGCAATGCGTTTGAGCCATTAAGCGATGGGCTGGAAAAACTTGACTTTTTCTCCTGCCATGGGGGGGGGGGGGGGCGCTCTTTTGGGGAGAAAAATTCCTTCACAGATGTGTTGATGGCTGCACATTGCATCATCCTAGAAAACTTGGAGGCCAGTGAGGACAAAAATAAAAAGTTATAAGACTTTTAAAAATGTGGATATTTGGGTCATCTTTGGCGCCCCCTAGAACCTAAACCGTGGGGTGCAGCGTCATGATTTGTACAACTTTGAATGGCCATGGGGTGTAGATTGGCCTGAGCAAATGTGGTGTCAGTAGAACGAAAGCCTTAGGAGGAGTTAGCCACATTCCAATGTGTGCGAATCGGCAAAAAATGCAAGATAGCCCTTTAACCGTACATTTTACAGATATGTGCCCATTGACTTTTTCGTAGATCTTATTGAGATACACGTGTGTGTCAAATTTTGTGTCAATATGACAAAGCGTATAGGCGTGACACTGAACAATGTGTATTTTCACCTTAGGGGACAAGAAAAAATGGCCTTTTTTGTCCTGCCATGGGGGGGGCGCTGTTTTGGGGAGTAAAAATTCCTTCACAAATGTGTTGATGGCTGGACATTGCATCATCCTAGAAAACTTGGAGGCCAATGAGGACAAAAATAAAAAGTTATAAGATTTTTAAGAATGTGGATTTGTGGGTTATCTTTGGCGCCCCCTAGAACGTAAACCGTGGGGTGCAGCGTCATGATTTGTACAACTTTTAATGGCCATGGGGTGTAGATTGGCCTGAGCAAATTTGGTGCCGGTAGAAAGATAGCCTTCGGAGGAGTTAGCGAAATTCCAATGTGTGCGAATCGGCAAAAAATGCAAAATAGCCCTTTAACCGTACATTTGAAAGATATGTGCCCTTTGACTTTTTCGTAGATCTTATTGAGATACACGTTATTGTCAAATTTTGTGTCAATATGACAAAGGGTACAGGGGTGACACTAAAAAATGTGTATTTTCACCTTACGTGACAAGAAAAAATTGACTTTTTTCTCCTGCCATAGGGGGGCGCTCTTTTGGGGAGTAAAAATTTCTTCACAGATGTGCTGATGGCTGGACATTGCATCATCGTAGAAAACTTGGAGGCCAGTTTGGAAAAAAATTAAAAGTTATAAGACTTTTAACACTGTGGATTTTTGGGTTATCTTTGGCGCCCCCTAGAACCTAAACTGTGGGGTGCAGCAAGATGATTTGTACAACTTTGAATGGCCATGGGGGTTAGATTGGCCTGCGCAAATGTGGTGCCGGTGGAACGAAAGCCTTCGGAGGAGTTAGCGAAATTCCAATGTGTGCAGATCTGCAAAAAATGCGAAATAACCCTTTAACCGTACATTTGACAGATACGCCCGCACTGACTTTTTTGTAGATCTTATTGAGATACATGTGTGTGTCAATTTTTGTGTCATTTTGACAAAGCGTACAGCCGTCATGTGAATTTTCACCTTAGGGGGCGCTATTGAGCCATTTTGCATTTTATTGTTTGGGCGACTTCAGAATATCGAATTTTTCACCAGGCCCGGTCGTCCTGCCAAATTTCATGAGTTTTCGCCAGTGGGAAGTGGGCCATTTTCCAGTTTAAAGCGGAGGAAAAATAATAACGAAAGAAGGAAACATGCAGGAACAAGAGGGCTCTCGCAGCTGCTTAGCAGCTACGCTCGGGCCCTAACTAGGGCCCCGTTGGGGCACTGGCGGGCCCGAGCCGTGTCGCACCCCCCCCCCCAACGCGCTGCCTCCCCGTCCCATTCGTGTCCTCTGGCCATCGCCCTCTCTGGTAACGCCCATCACTGCAAAGACCCTTTTCCTTCATCGGCGTTTGCTGTTCTTCCTGCCAGTGCGTGTTGCTTTCACTTACACTTGCCACAGCCAGCCTCGTGAGTGCCTAGCCTATTGGATATCACTGTCACCTACACAGGACAGTCATACTTTGTTTTTTAATTTCACATTAATTTCCATATTGTATAAACGACTGGAAAAAACTTGAGCCCCTGCCCCTGTATTATCATGTGCACGTCCCTGTTCTAGCTCCAAGGTGAATCTTCAGTGCTCATGTTCTCCTCAGAAGCAGTCACCTCACTCCCCTCAGGTTACTGTACACATGCACCAACTGCCTGCTTCAGGTTTGGATGGAGCTTCATGGTTGTCTTTTGGAGAAATGACCAGTCAAGTTGTGTTTGAAATCTGATTTTTTTCAGGGGCAAAAGGAAGCCTCCGCATTCTTGTCAAATATGTAAATAGCATGTTTTTGCAGGTGCTAAAAAACAGACTCTGAGTGTGTGTGTGTGTGTGTGTGTGTGTGCGTGTGTGTGTGTGTGTGTCTGTGTGTGTGTGTGTGTGTGTATCCTGCAGTACTCTGAGAAGAATAATAAGCATATTTCTGAGGTGAATTTTGAAGATTCATCTGAGAGTTAGGTTTGATTCGATTCGATTGACGCTCCCCAGCGTTCAAGTCACATGACATATTTAACCGGATGTAGCTGCAAGACGGAGCCTCGTTAACTCTCCGTTTCAACTTATCTCAAAAGTGAGGACCTCAACCTATATACCAGTTTTTAAATTGTGTTGATAGGCCAAATAAAACCAGAGTTATGATAAATTATGTCCGCGATACTTTTTTTCTGCTTATTTTGATCACGTTCGGCGCTCGATCGTGCTGTATGAGACAGGAAAACATTGCATGCACACATTAGTGACAGGTCATACAGGCGGAAAAGGCTTGCCAAAAGAAAAAAAAAACACACCACAACATCTCTCCTATTGGTGGAAAACTTCACCACAACAACCAATCCAAAATTATATGGTGACTGATTGACAAGGGGCGGGCGCTTACGTTCTTCCTGCAACATGAGAAGGGAGGGAGGGACTCTCAGCAGGGATGCAGTCTGGGACACGTAGTTGCAAACCTAGCGACTTTGTTGTTAGATTCAATGACTTTTCAGACCCCCTAACGACTTTTTTTTAGAAAGAAAGGGACTTTTATCGACTTCTTCTGGAGTTTAGAGACTCTGACATGAAGCAGGCTTTCCTTACTGAGGAGTTAGCAACGCTGCTAAGGGTGCAGAGCCACACATGCGCTCCGAGCTCTGCATGGGAGACAGAAGCTGACAGAGCTGCAGCAGTTAGCAGGTTTCACCCTCAGAGACCACCAGGGGTTCATGTTGAGGCATTTTCAGTTTTTTTTTTTTTTTGCCATAGACAGTCAGCACAATCTGCAGTTACACTAACAAAAATGCTGCAAAAAACAAAGAATTATGGAAAAATTACACATGGACTGACATAGAGGAGGATCTACACAAGTTTTTTACATCATGTTTTACATCATGCATCATTTACATCATGTTTTTTTGTAGTGGCATAAATAAAAAGTGACATTTGTGAGACTATACAGTGTTTTGTAAATAATTTTACAAAGAACGCCTGGGCCATTGCCTGCATTTTGATGTAAATAGAGGTAAATCACTATGTTCTTTGTTAAAAATTTGCATATGTTTTGAAGTTTACAATTTTTATTTGAAGTTTAAGTTTTAAAAACAGTTCATCACACATATTTGTGGTTTAATTTCACATTAATTTCCATATTGTATAAATGACTGGAAAAAACTTGAGCCCCTGCCCCTGTATAATCATGTGCACGTCCCTGTTCTAGCTCCAAGGTGAATCTTCACTGCTCATGTTCTCCTCAGAAATAGTCACCTCACTCTCCTCAGGTTACTGTACACATGCACCAACTATCTGCTTCAGGTTTGGATGGAGCTTAATGGTTGTCTTTTGGAGAAATGAACAGTCAAGTTGTGTTTGAAATCTGATTTTTTTCAGGGGCAAAAGGAAGCCTCTGCATTCTTGTCAAATATGTAAACAGCATGTTTTTGCAGGTGCTAAAAAACAGACTCTGAGTGTGTGTGTGTGTGTGTGTGTGTGTGTGTGTGTGTGTGTGTGTGTGTGTGTATGTGTGTGTGTATCCTGCAGTACTCTGTACTCCTGCAGTGGCCAAAAAGACTTTTAAGAATGTGGATTTTTAGGTCATCTTTGGCGCCCCCTAGAACTGCATTACTCTGTACTCCTGCAGTGGCCAAAATGACTTTTAAGAATGTGGATTTTTGGGTCATCTTTGGCGCCCCCTACAACGTAAACCGTGGGGTGCAGCGTCATGATTTTTACAACTTTGAATGGGCATGGGGTGTAGATTGGCCTGAGCAAATTTGGTATCGGTGGGACGAAAGCCTTAGGAGGAGATAGCCACATTCCAATGTGTGCGAATCAACCAAAAATGCGAAATAGCCCTTTAACCGTACATTTTGCAGACACGTGCGCATTGACTTTTTCGTAGATCTTATTGAGATACACGTGATTATCAAATTTTGTTTCAATATGACAAAGCGTACAGGCGTGACACTCAACAATGTGTATTTTCACCTTATAGGACAAGAAAAAATGGCCTTTTTTCTCCTGCCATGGGGGGGCGCTCTTTTGGGGAGTAAAAATTCCTTCACAAATGTGTTGATGGCTGGACATTGCATCATCCTAGAAAACTTGGAGGCCAGTGAGGACAGAAATAAAAAGTTATAAGACTTGTAAGAATGTGGATTTTTGGGTTATCTTTAGCGCCCCCTACAACGTAAACCGTGGGGTGCAGCGTCATGATTTGTACAACTTTGAATGGCCATGGGGTGTAGATTGGCCTGAGCAAATTTGGTGCCGGTGGAACGAAAGCCTTCGGAGGAGTTAGCGAAATTCCAATGTGTGCGGATCGGCAAAAAATGCGAAATAGCCCTTTAAACGTACATTTGACAGATACGCCCGCACTGACTTTTTTGTAGATCTTATTGAGATACACGTGTGTGTCAAATTTTGTGTCATTTTGACAAAGCGTACAGGCGTGACACTCAATCATGTGAATTTTTCACCTTAGGGGGCGCTATGGAGCCATTTTGCATTTGATTGTTTGGGTGACTTCAGAATATCAAATTTTTCACCAGGCCCGGTCGTCCTGCCAAATTTCATGAGTTTTCACCAGTGGGAAGTGGGCCATTTTCCAGTTCAAAGGGGCAGAAAAATAATAAGAAGAAGAAGAAGAACTAGGGCCCCGTTGGGGCACTGGCGGGCCCGAGCCGTGTCACGCCGCCCCCAGCGCGACCGCCTCCCCCACCCGATCGCGTCACACTCAAGGTCCAAAGATGGTGTGCGCACTTGTTTGTGGTCATTTACCATTATAATGAACGGGAGGCGCAGTTTCTACCAAAACGCTCGCTGCAGAAAAACTCCATGTCCTATTTGAAAAAAGTCTGGACCATGAGTGAGGGCACAAACACAGCTAAGATATATTCAAATGGCAAGTTGCTCCTCCTTTCGCTTTTGCCGAGAGAGCAGTGCGTTTGAGCCATTGAATGATGAACAGGAAAAACTTGACTTTATTCTCCTGCCATGGGGGGGCGCTCTTTTAAAGAGAAAAAACTCCTTCACAAATGTGTTGATGGCTGGACATTGCATCATCCTAGAAAACATGGAGGCCAGTGAGGACAAAAATAAAAAGTTATAAGACTTTTAAATATGTGGATTTTAGGGTTATCTTTGGCGCCCCCTAGAACCTAAACCGTGGGGTGCAGCGTCATGATTTGAATAACTTTTAATGGCCATGGGGTGTAGATTGGCCTGAGCAAATGTGGTGCCGGTGGAACGAAAGCCTTCGGAGGAATTAGCGAAATTCCAATGTGTGCGAATCTGCAAAAAATGCAAAATAACCCTTTAACCGTACATTTTACAGATACGTGGCCATTGACTTTTTCGAAGATCTTATTGAAATACACGTGTATGTAAAATTTTGTGTCAATACGACAAAACATACAGGCGTAGCACTCAACAATGTGTATTTTCACCTTAGTGGACAAGAAAAAATTGACTTTTTTCTCCTGCCATGGGGGGGCGCTCTTTTGGCGAGTAAAAATTCCTTCACAAATGTGTTGATGGCTGGACATTGCATCATCCTAGAAAACTTGGAGGCCAGTGGGGACAAAAATAAAAAGTTATAAGACTTTTAAATATGTGGATTTTACGGTTATCTTTGGCTCCCCCTAGAACCTAAACCGTGGGGTGCAGCGTCATGATTTGAATAACTTTTAATGGCCATGGGGTGTAGATTGGCCTGAGCAAATGTGGTGCCGGTGGAACGAAAGCCTTCGGAGGAGTTAGCGAAATTCCAATGTGTGCGGATCGGCAAAAAATGCGGAATAACCCTTTAACCTTACATTTGACAGATACGCGCGCATTGACTTTTTCGTAGATCGTATTGAGATACATGTGTGTGTCAATTTTTGTGTCATTTTGCCAAAGCGTACAGGTGTTACACTCAACAATGTGTATTTTCACCTTAGGGGACAAGAAAAAATGGACTTTTTTCTCCTGCCATGGGGGGGCGCTCTTTTGGGGAGTAAAAATTCCTTCACAAATGTGTTGATGGCTGGACATTGCATCATCCTAGAAAACTTGGAGGCCAGTGAGGGCAAAAATAAAAAGTTATAAGACTTTTAAATATGTGGATCTTAGGGTTATCTTTGGCGCCCCCTAGAACCTAAACCGTGGGGTGCAGCGTCATGATTTGAATAACTTTTAATGGCCATGGGGTGTAGATTGGCCTGAGCAAATGTGGTGCCGGTGGAACGAAAGCCTTCGGAGGAGTTAGCGAAATTCCAATGTGTGCGGATCGGCAAAAAATGCGAAATAACCCTTTAACCGTACATTTGACAGATACGCCCGCACTGACTTTTTTGTAGATCTTATTGAGATACATGTGTGTGTCAATTTTTGTGTCATTTTGACAAAGCGTACAGGCGTGACAGTGAATAGTGTGAATTTTCACCTTAGGGGGCGCTATGGAGCCATTTTGCATTTTCTTGTTTGGGCGACTTCGGAATATCAAATTTTTCACCAGGCCCGGTCGTCCTGCCAAATTTCATGAGTTTTCGCCAGTGGGAAGTGGGCCATTTTCCAGTTCAAAGGGGAGGAAAAATAATAACTAGGGCCCCGTTGGGGCACTGGCGGGCCCGAGCCGTGTCACGCCGCCCCCAGCGCGACCGCCTCCCCCACCCGATCGCGTCACACTCAAGGTCCAAAGATGGTGTGCGCACTTGTTTGTGGTCATTTACCATTATAATGAACGGGAGGCGCAGTTTCTACCAAAACGCTCGCTGCAGAAAAACTCCATGTCCTATTTGAAAAAAGTCTGGACCATGAGTGAGGGCACAAACACAGCTAAGATATATCCAAATGGCAAGTTGCTCCTCCTTTCGCTTTTGCCGAAAGAGCAGTGCGTTTGAGCCATTGAATGATGAACAGGAAAAACTTGACTTTATTCTCCTGCCATGGGGGGGCGCTCTTTTAAAGAGAAAAACTCCTTCACAAATGTGTTGATGGCTGGACATTGCATCATCCTAGAAAACATGGAGGCCAGTGAGGACAAAAATAAAAAGTTATAAGACTTTTAAATATGTGGATTTTAGGGTTATATTTGGCGCCCCCTAGAACCTAAACCGTGGGGTGCAGCGTCATGATTTGAATAACTTTTAATGGCCATGGGGTGTAGATTGGCCTGAGCAAATGTGGTGCCGGTGGAACGAAAGCCTTCGGAGGAATTAGCGAAATTCCAATGTGTGCGAATCTGCAAAAAATGCGAAATAACCCTTTAACCGTACATTTTACAGATACGTGGCCATTGACTTTTTCGAAGATCTTATTGAAATACACGTGTATGTAAAATTTTGTGTCAATACGACAAAACATAAAGGCGTAGCACTCAACAATGTGTATTTTCACCTTAGTGGACAAGAAAAAATTGACTTTTTTCTCCTGCCATGGGGGGGCGCTCTTTTGCCGAGTAAAAATTCCTTCACAAATGTGTTGATGGCTGGACATTGCATCATCCTAGAAAACTTGGAGGCCAGTGAGGGCAAAAATAAAAAGTTATAAGACTTTTAAATATGTGGATCTTAGGGTTATCTTTGGCTCCCCCTAGAACCTAAACCGTGGGGTGCAGCGTCATGATTTGAATAACTTTTAATGGCCATGGGGTGTAGATTGGCCTGAGCAAATGTGGTGCCGGTGGAACGAAAGCCTTCGGAGGAGTTAGCGAAATTCCAATGTGTGCGGATCGGCAAAAAATGCGGAATAACCCTTTAACCGTACATTTGACAGATACGCGCGCATTGACTTTTTCGTAGATCTTATTGAGATACATGTGTGTGTCAATTTTTGTGTCATTTTGCCAAAGCGTACAGGTGTTACACTCAACAATGTGTATTTTCACCTTAGGGGACAAGAAAAAATGGACTTTTTTCTCCTGCCATGGGGGGCGCTCTTTTGGGGAGTAAAAATTCCTTCACAAATGTGTTGATGGCTGGACATTGCATCATCCTAGAAAACTTGGAGGCCAGTGAGGGCAAAAATAAAAAGTTATAAGACTTTTAAATATGTGGATCTTAGGGTTATCTTTGGCGCCCCCTAGAACCTAAACCGTGGGGTGCAGCGTCATGATTTGAATAACTTTTAATGGCCATGGGGTGTAGATTGGCCTGAGCAAATGTGGTGCCGGTGGAACGAAAGCCTTCGGAGGAGTTAGCGAAATTCCAATGTGTGCGGATCGGCAAAAAATGCGAAATAACCCTTTAACCGTACATTTGACAGATACGCCCGCACTGACTTTTTTGTAGATCTTATTGAGATACATGTGTGTGTCAATTTTTGTGTCATTTTGACAAAGCGTACAGGCGTGACAGTGAATAGTGTGAATTTTCACCTTAGGGGGCGCTATGGAGCCATTTTGCATTTTCTTGTTTGGGCGACTTCGGAATATCAAATTTTTCACCAGGCCCGGTCGTCCTGCCAAATTTCATGAGTTTTCGCCAGTGGGAAGTGGGCCATTTTCCAGTTCAAAGGGGAGGAAAAATAATAATAACTAGGACCCCGTTGGGGCACTGGCGGGCCCGAGCCGTGTCGCGTCCCCCCCCCCCCCCCACCCCCCCACCCCCCAACATGCTGCCTCCCCGTCCCATTTGTGTCCTCTGGCCATCGCCCTCTCTGGTAACGCCCATCACTGCAAAGACCCTTTTCCTTCATCGGCGTTTGCTGTTCTTCCTGCCAGTGCGTGTTGCTTTCACTTACACTTGCCACAGCCAGCCTCGTGAGTGCCTAGCCTATTGGATATCACTGTCACCTACACAGGACAGTCATTACCTTTCTATTAATACTTTGTGTTTTAATTTCACATTAATTTCCATATTGTATAAACGACTGGAAAAAACTTGAGCCCCTGCCCCTGTATAATCATGTGCATGTCTCTGTTCTAGCTCCAAGGTGAATCTTCACTGCTCATGTTCTCCTCAGAAGCACTCACCTCACTCCCCTCAGGTTACTGTACACATGCACCAACTGCCTGCTTCAGGTTTGGATGGAGCTTCATGGTTGTCTTTTGGAGAAATGACCAGTCAAGTTGTGTTTGAAATTTGATTTTTTTCAGGGGCAAAAGGAGCCTCTGCATTCTTGTCAAATATGTAAATAGCATGTTTTTGCAGGTGCTAAAAACCAGACTCTGAGTGTGTGTGTGTGTGTGTGTGTGTGTGTGTGTGTGCGTGTGTGTGTGTCTGTGTGTGCGTTCAAGTCACATGACATATTTAATCGGATGTAGCTGCAAGACGGAGCCTCGTTGACTCTCCGTTTCAACTTATCTCAAAAGTGAGGACCTCAACCTATATACCAGTTTTTAAATTGTGTTGATAGGCCAAATAAAACCAGAGTTATGATAAATTATGTCCGCGATACTTTTTTTCTGCTTATTTTGATCACGTTCGGCGCTCGATCGCGCTGTATGAGACAGGAAAACATAGCATGCAGACATTAGCGACAGGTCTTACAGGCGGAAAAGGCTTGCCAAAAGAAAAAAAAAACACACCACAACATCTCTCCTATTGGTGGAAAACTTCACCACAACAACCAATCCAAAATTATATGGTGACTGATTGACAAGGGGCGGGCGCTTACGTTCTTCCTGCAACATGAGAAGGGAGGGAGGGACTCTCAGCAGGGATGCAGTCTGGGACACGTAGTTGCAAACCTAGCGACTTTGTTGTTAGATTCAATGACTTTTCAGACCCCCTAACGACTTTTTTTTAGAAAGAAAGGGACTTTTATCGACTTCTTCTGGAGTTTAGAGACTCTGACATGAAGCAGGCTTTCCTTACTGAGGAGTTAGCAACGCTGCTAAGGGTGCAGAGCCACACATGCGCTCAGAGCTCTGCATGGGAGACTGAAGCTGACAGAGCTGCAGCCGTTAGCAGGTTTCACCCTCAGAGACCACCAGGGGTTCATGTTGAGGCATTTTAAATTTTTTTTTTTTTGTGCCATAGACACTGTCAGCACAATCTGCAGTTACACTAACAAAAATGCTGCAAAAAACAAAGAATTATGGAAAAATTACACATGGACTGACATAGAGGAGGATCTACACAAGTTTTTTACATCATGTTTTACATCATGCATCATTTACATCATGTTTTTTTGTAGTGGCATAAATAAAAAGTGACATTTGTGAGACTATACAGTGTTTTGTAAATAATTTTACAAAGAACGCCTGGGCCATTGCCTGCATTTTGATGTAAATAGAGGTAAATCACTATGTTCTTTGTTAAAAATTTGCATATGTTTTGAAGTTTACAATTTTTATTTGAAGTTTAAGTTTTAAAAACAGTTCATCACACATATTTGTGGTTTTCACAGTAAAAATGTTACTTTTTTCCACTCGGATTTTATGTTTTGTGTGTGAATTTGGGTCCATTGTGTAAATTCAGTATGTCAACATGATAAAATAACTGTAAATTCGCACAGGTGAGGTTGTGCTGAAAAAATGATACCAGGCAAGGCACGTGATTGTCAAATTTTGTGTCAATATGACAAAGCGTATAGGCGTGAATCTCAACAATATGTATTTTCACCTTAGGGGACAAGAAAAAATGGACTTTTTTCTCCTGCCATGGGGGGCGCTCTTTTGGGGAGTAAAAATTCCTTCACAAATGTGTTGATGGCTGGACATTGCATCATCCTAGAAAACTAAAAAACTTGGAGGCCAGTGAGGACAAAAATAAAAAGTTATAAGACTTTTAAATATGTGGATTTTAGGGTTATCTTTGGCGCCCCCTAGAACCTAAACCGTGGGGTGCAGCGTCATGATTTGAATAACTTTTAATGGCCATGGGGTGTAGATTGTCCTGAGCAAATGTGGTGCCGGTGGAACGAAAGCCTTAGGAGGAGTTAGCCACATTCCAATGTGTGCGGATCGGCAAAAAATGCGGAATAACCCTTTAACCGTACATTTGACAGATACGCGCGCATTGACTTTTTCGTAGATCTTATTGAGTTACATGTGTGTGTCAATTTTTGTGTCATTTTGACAAAGCGTATAGGCGTGACACTCAACAATGTGTATTTTCACCTTAGGGGACAAGAAAAAATTGACTTTTTTCTCCTGCCATGGGGGGCGCTCTTTTGGGGAGTAAAAATTCCTTCACAAATGTGTTGATGGCTGGACATTGCATCATCCTAGAAAACTTGGAGGCCAGTGAGGACAAAAATAAAAAGTTATAAGACTTTTAAATATGTGGATTTTAGTGTTACCTTTGGCGCCCCCTAGAACCTAAACCTTGGGGTGCAGCGTCATGATTTTGATAACTTTTAATGGCCACGGGGTGTAGATTGGCCTGAGCAAATGTGGTGCCGGTGGAACGAAAGCCTTCGGAGGAGTTAGCGAAATTCCAATGTGTGCGGATCGGCAAAAAATGCGAAATAACCCTTTGACCGTACATTTGACAGATACGGCCGCGTCGACTTTTTTGTAGATCTTATTGAGATACATATGTGTGTCAATTTTTGTGTCATTTTGACAAAGCGTATAGGCGTGACACTCAACAATGTGTATTTTCACCTTAGGGGACAAGAAAAAATGGACTTTTTTCTCCTGCCATGGGGGGCGCTCTTTTGGGGAGTAAAAATTCCTTCACAAATGTGTTGATGGCTGGACATTGCATCATCCTAGAAAACTTGGAGGCCAGTGAGGACAAAAATAAAAAGTTATAAGACTTTTAAATATGTGGATTTTAGTGTTATCTTTGGCGCCCCCTAGAACCTAAACCTTGGGGTGCAGCGTCATGATTTTGATAACTTTTAATGGCCACGGGGTGTAGATTGGCCTGAGCAAATGTGGTGCCGGTGGAACGAAAGCCTTCGGAGGAGTTAGCGAAATTCCAATGTGTGCGGATCGGCAAAAAATGCGAAATAACCCTTTGACCGTACATTTGACAGATACGGCCGCACTGACTTTTTTGTAGATCTTATTGAGATACATATGTGTGTCAATTTTTGTGTCAATATGACAAAGCGTACAGGCGTGACAGTCAATAGTGTGAATTTCCACCTTAGGGGGCGCTATGGAGCCATTTTGCATTTTATTGTTTGGGCGACTTCAGAATATCGAATTTTTCACCAGGCCCGGTCGTCCTGCCAAATTTCATGAGTTTTCGCCAGTGGGAAGTGGGCCATTTTCCAGTTCAAAGGGGAGGAAAAAGAAGAAAGAAAGAAAGAAAGAAAGAAAGAAACAAAGAAAAACCACTTGGGGAATAATAGGGCCTACGCCCGGCTGGGCCCTAATAATAACAAAAGAAGGAAACTACAGGAACAAGAGGGCTCTCGCAGCTGCTTAGCAGCTACGCTCGGGCCCTAACTAGGACCCCGTTGGGGCACTGGCGGGCCCGAGCCGTGTCGCGTCCCCCCCCCCCCCCCCCCCCCAACGTGCTGCCTCCCCGTCCCATTTGTGTCCTCTGGCCATCGCTCTCTCTGGTAACGCCCATCACTGCAAAGACCCTTTTCCTTCATCTGCGTTTGCTGTTCTTCCTGCCAGTGCGTGTTGCTTTCACTTACACTTGCCACAGCCAGCCTCGTGAGTGCCTAGCCTATTGGATATCACTGTCACCTACACAGGACAGTCATTAGGGCCCGAGCCAGCTGCAGAGCAGCCGGGCGTAGGCCCTATTATTCCCCAAGTGGTTTTTCTTTGTTTCTTTCTTTAGGGCCCGAGCGTAGCTGCTAAGCAGCTGCGAGAGCCCTCTTGTTCCTGTAGTTTCCTTCTTTTGTTATTATTAGGGCCCGAGCGTAGCTGCTAAGCAGCTGCGAGAGCCCTATTATTCCCCAAGGGGTTTTTCTTTGTTTCTTTCTTTCTTTCTTTCTTCTTTTTCCTCCCCTTTGAACTGGAAAATGGCCCACTTCCCACTGGCGAAAACTCAGGAAATTTGGCAGGACGACCGGGCCTGGTGAAAAATTCGATATTCTGAAGTCGCCCAAACAATAAAATGCAAAATGGCTCCATAGCGCCCCCTAAGGTGGAAATTCACACTATTGACTGTCACGCCTGTACGCTTTGTCATATTGACACAAAAATTGACACACATATGTATCTCAATAAGATCTACAAAAAAGTCAGTGCGGCCGTATCTGTCAAATGTACGGTTAAAGGGTTATTTCGCATTTTTTTCCGATCCGCACACATTGGAATTTTGCTAACTCCTCCAAAGGCTTTCGTTCCACCGGCACCACATTTGCTCAGGCCAATCTACACCCCGTGGCCATTAAAAGTTATCAAAATCATGACGCTGCACCCCAAGGTTTAGGTTCTAGGGGGCGCCAAAGATAACACTAAAATCCACATATTTAGAAGTCTTATAACTTTTTATTTTTGTCCTCACTGGCCTCCAAGTTTTCTAGGATGATGCAATGTCCAGCCATAAACACATTTGTGAAGGAATTTTTACTCCCCAAAAGAGCGCCCCCCCATGGCAGGAGAAAAAAGTCCATTTTTTCTTGTCCCCTAAGGTGAAAATACACATTGTTGACTGTCACGCCTTTACGCTTTGTCAAAATGACACAAAAATTGACACACACATGTAACTCAATAAGATCTACGAAAAAGTCAACGCGCACGTATCTGTCAAATGTACGGTTAAAGGGTTATTCCGCATTTTTTGCCGATCCGCACACATTGGAATTTCGCTAACTCCTCCGAAGGCTTTCTGTCCACCGGCACCACATTTGCTCAGGCCAATCTACACCCCATGGCCATTAAAAGTTATTCAAATCATGACGCTGCACCCCACGGTTTAGGTTCTAGGGGGCGCCAAAGACAACCCTAAAATCCACATATTTAAAAGTCTTATAACTTTTTATTTTTGTCCTCACTGGCCTCCAAGTTTTCTAGGATGATGCAATGTCCAGCCATCAACACATTTGTGAAGGAATTTTTACTCCCCAAAAGAGCGCCCCCCCCATGGCAGGAGAAAAAAGTCCATTTTTTCTTGTCCCCTAAGGTGAAAATTCACATTGTTGAGTGTGACACCTGTACGCTTTGTCATATTGACACAAAATTTGACAATCACGTGTATCTCAATAAGATCTACGAAAAAGTCAATGCACGCGTATCTGTCAAATGTACGGTTAGAGGGCTATTTTGCATTTTTTGCCGATTCGCACACATTGGAATGTGGCTAACTCCTCCTAAGGCTTTTGTCCCACTGACACCAAATTTCCTCAGACCAATCTACACCCCATGGCCATTCAAAGTTGTAAAAATCATGACGCTGCACCCCACGGTTAACGTTCTAGGGGGCGCCAAAGATGACCCAAATATCCACATTCTTAAAAGAATCCACATCCCCCCCCCATCCCCCCCCATGGCAGGAGAAAAAGTCAAGTTTTTCCTGCCCATCGCTCAATGGCCCAATCGCATCGCTCTCCAGGCAACACCGTAAGTAGGAGCAACCCGCAATTTGGATATATCCTAGCTGTGTTTGTGCCCTCACTCATGGTCCAGACTTTGTTCAAATAGGACATGAAGTTTGTCTGCAGCGAGCGTTTTGGTAGAAACTGCGCCTCCCATTCATTATAATGGGAAATGACCACAGACAAGTGCGCACACCATCTTTGGACCTTGAGTGTGACGCAATCAGGAGGGGGAGGCGGTCGCGCTGGGGGCGGCGCGACGCGGCTCGGGCCCGACAGTGCCCCACCGGGGCCCTAGTTATTATTTTTCCTCCCCTTTGAACTGGAAAATGGCCCACTTCCCACTGGCGAAAACTCATGAAATTTGGCAGGACGACCGGGCCTGGTGAAAAATTTGATATTCCGAAGTCGCCCAAACAAGAAAATGCAAAATGGCTCCATAGCGCCCCCTAAGGTGAAAATTCACACTATTGACTGTCACGCCTGTACGCTTTGTCAAAATGACACAAAAATTGACACACACATGTATCTCAATAAGATCTACAAAAAAGTCAGTGCGGGCGTATCTGTCAAATGTACGGTTAAAGGGTTATTTCGCATTTTTTGCCGATCCGCACACATTGGAATTTCGCTAACTCCTCCGAAGGCTTTCGTTCCACCGGCACCACATTTGCTCAGGCCAATCTACACCCCATGGCCATTAAAAGTTATTCAAATCATGACGCTGCACCCCACGGTTTAGGTTCTAGGGGGCGCCAAAGATAACCCTAAAATCCACATTTTTAAAAGTCTTATAACTTTTTATTTTTGCCCTCACTGGCCTCCAAGTTTTCTAGGATGATGCAATGTCCAGCCATCAACACATTTGTGAAGGAATTTTTACTCCCCAAAAGAGCGCCCCCCCATGGCAGGAGAAAAAAGTCCATTTTTTTCTTGTCCCCTAAGGTGAAAATACACATTGTTGAGTGTCACGCCTGTACGCTTTGTCAAAATGACACAAAAATTGACACACACATGTATCTCAATAAGATCTACAAAAAAGTCAGTGCGCGCATATCTGTCTAATGTACGGTTAAAGGGTTATTCCGCATTTTTTGCCGATTCGCACACATTGGAATTTCGCTAACTCCTCCGAAGGCTTTCGTTCCACCGGCACCACATTTGCTCAGGCCAAATTACACCCCATGGCCATTAAAAGTTATTCAAATCATGACGCTGCACCCCACGGTTTACGTTCTAGGGGGCGCCAAAGATAACCCAAAAATCCACATTTTTAAAAGTCTTATAACTTTTTATTTTTGTCCTCACTGGCCTCCAAGTTTTCTAGGATGATGCAATGTCCAGCCATCAACACATTTGTGAAGGAATTTTTACTCCCCAAAAGAGTGCCCCCCCCCATGGCAGGAGAAAAAAGTCCATTTTTTCTTGTCCCCTAAGGTGAAAATACACATTGTTGACTGTCACGCCTGTACGCTTTGGCAAAATGACACAAAAATTGACAATCATGTGTATCTCAATTAGATCTACGAAAAAGTCAAAGAGCGCGTATCTGTATAATGTACGGTAAAAGGGCTATTTTGCATTTTTTGCCGATTCGCACACATTGGAATTTCGCTAACTCCTCCTAAGGCTTTCGTCCCACTGACACCAAATTTGCTCAGGCCAATCTACACTCCATGGCCATTCAAAGTTGTAAAAATCATGACGCTGCACCCCACGGTTTACGTTTTAGGGGGCGCCAAAGATGACCCAAATATACATTACAGTAGACAAAGTAGTTTTGCCCACTGAGTGGCGCCAAAGGGACTTGTCTGTGGAGTCTGTGAGTCACTATTGGCCGTTTTTGACTACTTTAGATTTTACCTTTATATTTCCTCTTACAAAATTTTTACCTTGCCTTGCCTGGTATCATTTTTTTCAGCACAACCTCACCTGTGTCAATTTACAGTTATTTTATCATTTTGACATACTATATTTACACATTGGACCCAAATTCACACACAAAACATAAAATCCGAGTGGAAAAAAGTAACGTTTTTACTGTGAAAACCACAAATATGTGTGATGAACTGTTTTTAAAACTTAAACTTCAAATAAAAATTGTAAACTTCAAAACATATGCAAATTTTTAACAAAGAACATAGTAATTTACCTCTATTGACATCAAAATGCAGGCAATGGCCCAGGTGTTCTTTGTAAAATTATTTACAAAACACTGTATAGTCTCACAAATGTCACTTTATATTTATGCCACTACAAAAAAACATGATGTAAATGATGCATGATGTAAAACATGATGTAAAAAACTTGTGTAGATCCTCCTCTATGTTAGTCCATGTGTAATTTTTCCATAATTCTTTGTTTTTTGCAGCATTTTTGTTAGTGTAACTGCAGATTGTGCTGACAGTGTCTATGGCAAAAAAAAAAAAAAAAACTGAAAATGCCTCAACATGAACCCCTGGTGGTCTCTGAGGGTGAAACCTGCTAACTGCTGCAGCTCTGTCAGCTTCAGTCTCCCATGCAGAGCTCGGAGCGCATGTGTGGCTCTGCACCCTTAGCAGCGTTGCTAACTCCTCAGTAAGGAAAGCCTGCTTCATGTCAGAGTCTCTAAACTCCAGAAGAAGTCGATAAAAGTCACTTTCTTTCTAAAAAAAAGTCGTTAGGGGGTCTGAAAAGTCATTGAATCTAACAACAAAGTCGCTAGGTTTGCAACTACGTGTCCCAGACTGCATCCCTGCTGAGAGTCCCTCCCTCCCTTCTCATATTGCAGGAAGAACGTAAGTTCCCGCCCCTTGTCAATCAGTCACCATATAATTTTGGATTGGTTGTTGTGGTGAAGTTTTCCACCAATAGGAGAGATGTTGTGGTGTGTTTTTTTTTTCCTTTGGCAAGCCTTTTCCGCCTGTAAGACCTGTCGCTAATGTCTGCATGCTATGTTTTCCTGTCTCATACAGCGCGATCGAGCGCCGAACGTGATCAAAATAAGCAGAAAACAAGTATCGTGGACATAATTTATCATAACTCTGGTTTTATTTGGCCTATCAACACAATTTAAAAACTGGTATATAGGTTGAGGTCCTCACTTTTGAGATAAATTGAAACGGAGAGTCAACGAGGCTCCGTCTTGCAGCTACATCCGGTTAAATATGTCATGTGACTTGAACGCGCACACACACACACACACACACACACACACACACACACACACACACACGCACACACACACACACTCAGAGTCTGGTTTTTAGCACCTGCAAAAACATGCTATTTACATATTTGACAAGAATGCAGAGGCTCCTTTTGCCCCTGAAAAAAATCAAATTTCAAACACAACTTGACTGGTCATTTCTCCAAAAGACAACCATGAAGCTCCATCCAAACCTGAAGCAGGCAGTTGGTGCATGTGTACAGTAACCTGAGGGGAGTGAGGTGACTGCTTCTGAGGAGAACATGAGCAGTGAAGATTCACCTTAGAGCTAGAACAGAGACGTGCACATGATTATACAGGGGCAGGGGCTCAAGTTTTTTCCAGTTGTTTATACAATATGGAAATTAATGTGAAATTAAAACACAAAGTATTAATAGAAAGGTAATGACTGTCCTGTGTAGGTGACAGTGATATCCAATAGGCTAGGCACTCACGAGGCTGGCTGTGGCAAGTGTAAGTGAAAGCAACACGCACTGGCAGGAAGAACAGCAAACGCCGATGAAGGAAAAGGGTCTTTGCAGTGATGGGCGTTACCAGAGAGGGCGATGGCCAGAGGACACAAATGGGACGGGGAGGCAGCGCGTTGGGGGGGGGACGCGACACAGCTCGGGCCCGCCAGTGCCCCAACGGGGTCCTAGTTCTTTCTTTCTTTCTTTCTTTCTTCTTTTTCCTCCCCTTTGAACTGGAAAATGGCCCACTTCCCACTGGCGAAAACTCATGAAATTTGGCAGGACGACCGGGCCTGGTGAAAAATTCGATATTCTGAAGTCGCCCAAACAATAAAATGCAAAATGGCTCCATAGCGCCCCCTAAGGTGGAAATTCACACTATTGACTGTCACGCCTGTACGCTTTGTCATATTGACACAAAAATTGACACACATATGTATCTCAATAAGATCTACAAAAAAGTCAGTGCGGCCGTATCTGTCAAATGTACGGTTAAAGGGTTATTTCGCATTTTTTTCCGATCCGCACACATTGGAATTTCGCTAACTCCTCCAAAGGCTTTCGTTCCACCGGCACCACATTTGCTCAGGCCAATCTACACCCCGTGGCCATTAAAAGTTATCAAAATCATGACGCTGCACCCCAAGGTTTAGGTTCTAGGGGGCGCCAAAGATAACACTAAAATCCACATATTTAAAAGTCTTATAACTTTTTATTTTTGTCCTCACTGGCCTCCAAGTTTTCTAGGATGATGCAATGTCCAGCCATCAACACATTTGTGAAGGAATTTTTACTCCCCAAAAGAGCGCCCCCCCATGGCAGGAGAAAAAAGTCCATTTTTCTTGTCCCCTAAGGTGAAAATACACATTGTTGAGTGTCACGCCTATACGCTTTGTCAAAATGACACAAAAATTGACACACACATCTAACTCAATAAGATCTACGAAAAAGTCAATGCGCGCGTATCTGTCAAATGTACGGTTAAAGGGTTATTCCGCATTTTTTGCCGATCCGCACACATTGGAATGTGGCTAACTCCTCCTAAGGCTTTCGTTCCACCGGCACCACATTTGCTCAGGCCAATCTACACCCCATGGCCATTAAAAGTTATTCAAATCATGACGCTGCACCCCACGGTTTAGGTTCTAGGGGGCGCCAAAGATAACCCTAAAATCCAGATATTTCAAAGTCTTATAACTTTTTATTTAAGTCCTCACTGGCCTCCAAGTTTTCTAGGATGATGCAATGTCCAGCCATCAACACATTTGTGAAGGAATTTTTACTCCCCAAAAGAGCGCCCCATGGCAGGAGAAAAAAGTCCATTTTTTCTTGTCCCATAAGGTGAAAAAACACATTGTTGACTGTCATACCTGTACGCTTTGTCATATTGACACAAAATCTGACAATCACATGTATCTCAATAAGATCTACGAAAAAGTCAATGCGTGCGTATCTGTAAAATGTACGGTTAAAGGGCTATTTTGCATTTTTTGCCGATTCGCACACATTGGAATGTGGCTAACTCCTCCTAAGGCTTTCGTCCCACTGACACCAAATTTGCTCAGGCCAATCTACACCCCATGGCCATTCAAAGTTGTAAAAATCATGACGCTGCACCCCACGGTTTACGTTCTAGGGGGCGCCAAAGATGACCCAAATATCCACATTCTTAAAAGAATCCACCCCCCCCATCCCCCAACCCCCAACCCCCATGGCAGGAGAAACAGTCAAGTTTTTCCTGCCCATCACTCAATGGCTCAATCGCATCACTCTCCCGGCAACACCGTAACGAGGAGCAACTTGCCATTTGGATATATCCTAGCTGTGTTTGTGCCCTCACTCATGGTCCAGACTTTTTTCAAATAGGACATGTAGTTTGTCTGCAGCGAGTGTTTTGGTAGAAACTGCACCTCCCATTCATTATAATGGGAAATGACCACAGACAAGTGCGCACACCATCTTTGGACCTTGAGTGTGACGCGATCGGGAGGGGGAGGCGGTCGCGCTGGGGGCGGCGCAACGCGGCTCGGGCCCGACAGTGCCCCACCGGGGCCCTAGTTACCTTTCTATTAATACTTTGTGTTTTAATTTCACATTAATTTCCATATTGTATAAACGACTGGAAAAAACTTGAGCCCCTGCCCCTGTATAATCATGTGCATGTCTCTGTTCTAGCTCCAAGGTGAATCTTCACTGCTCATGTTCTCCTCAGAAGCACTCACCTCACTCCCCTCAGGTTACTGTACACATGCACCAACTGCCTGCTTCAGGTTTGGATGGAGCTTCATGGTTGTCTTTTGGAGAAATGACCAGTCAAGTTGTGTTTGAAATTTGATTTTTTTCAGGGGCAAAAGGAGCCTCTGCATTCTTGTCAAATATGTAAATAGCATGTTTTTGCAGGTGCTAAAAACCAGACTCTGAGTGTGTGTGTGTGTGTGTGTGTGTGTGTGCGTGTGTGTGTGTCTGTGTGTGCGTTCAAGTCACATGACATATTTAACCGGATGTAGCTGCAAGACGGAGCCTCGTTGACTCTCCGTTTCAACTTATCTCAAAAGTGAGGACCTCAACCTATATACCAGTTTTTAAATTGTGTTGATAGGCCAAATAAAACCAGAGTTATGATAAATTATGTCCGCGATACTTTTTTTCTGCTTATTTTGATCACGTTCGGCGCTCGATCGCGCTGTATGAGACAGGAAAACATAGCATGCAGACATTAGCGACAGCTCTTACAGGCGGAAAAGGCTTGCCAAAAGAAAAAAAAAACACACCACAACATCTCTCCTATTGGTGGAAAACTTCACCACAACAACCAATCCAAAATTATATGGTGACTGATTGACAAGGGGGGGGCGCTTACGTTCTTCCTGCAACATGAGAAGGGAGGGAGGGACTCTCAGCAGGGATGCAGTCTGGGACACGTAGTTGCAAACCTAGCGACTTTGTTGTTAGATTCAATGACTTTTCAGACCCCCTAACGACTTTTTTTTAGAAAGAAAGGGACTTTTATCGACTTCTTCTGGAGTTTAGAGACTCTGACATGAAGCAGGCTTTCCTTACTGAGGAGTTAGCAACGCTGCTAAGGGTGCAGAGCCACACATGCGCTCAGAGCTCTGCATGGGAGACTGAAGCTGACAGAGCTGCAGCAGTTAGCAGGTTTCACCCTCAGAGACCACCAGGGGTTCATGTTGAGGCATTTTAATTTATTTTTTTTTTTTTGTGCCATAGACACTGTCAGCACAATCTGCAGTTACACTAACAAAAATGCTGCAAAAAACAAAGAATTATGGAAAAATTACACATGGACTGACATAGAGGAGGATCTACACAAGTTTTTTACATCATGTTTTACATCATGCATCATTTACATCATGTTTTTTTGTAGTGGCATAAATAAAAAGTGACATTTGTGAGACTATACAGTGTTTTGTAAATAATTTTACAAAGAACGCCTGGGCCATTGCCTGCATTTTGATGTAAATAGAGGTAAATCACTATGTTCTTTGTTAAAAATTTGCATATGTTTTGAAGTTTACAATTTTTATTTGAAGTTTAAGTTTTAAAAACAGTTCATCACACATATTTGTGGTTTTCACAGTAAAAATGTTACTTTTTTCCACTCGGATTTTATGTTTTGTGTGTGAATTTGGGTCCATTGTGTAAATTCAGTATGTCAACATGATAAAATAACTGTAAATTCGCACAGGTGAGGTTGTGCTGAAAAAAATGATACCAGGCAAGGCACGTGATTGTCAAATTTTGTGTCAATATGACAAAGCGTATAGGCGTGAATCTCAACAATATGTATTTTCACCTTAGAGGACAAGAAAAAATGGACTTTTTTCTCCTGCCATGGGGGGGCGCTCTTTTGGGGAGTAAAAATTCCTTCACAAATGTGTTGATGGCTGGACATTGCATCATCCTAGAAAACTTGGAGGCCAGTGAGGACAAAAATAAAAAGTTATAAGACTTTTAAATATGTGGATTTTAGGGTTATCTTTGGCGCCCCCTAGAACCTAAACCGTGGGGTGCAGCGTCATGATTTTGATAACTTTTAATGGCCATGGGGTGTAGATTGGCCTGAGCAAATGTGGTGCCGGTGGAACGAAAGCCTTAGGAGGAGTTAGCGAAATTCCAATGTGTGCGGATCGGCAAAAAATGCGGAATAACCCTTTAACCGTACATTTGACAGATACGCACGCATTGACTTTTTCGTAGATCTTATTGAGTTACATGTGTGTGTCAATTTTTGTGTCATTTTGACAAAGCGTATAGGCGTGACACTCAACAATGTGTATTTTCACCTTAGGGGACAAGAAAAAATGGACTTTTTTCTCCTGCCATGGGGGGGCGCTCTTTTGGGGAGTAAAAATTCCTTCACAAATGTGTTGATGGCTGGACATTGCATCATCCTAGAAAACTTGGAGGCCAGTGAGGACAAAAATAAAAAGTTATAAGACTTTTAAATATGTGGATTTTAGTGTTATCTTTGGCGCCCCCTAGAACCTAAACCTTGGGGTGCAGCGTCATGATTTTGATAACTTTTAATGGCCACGGGGTGTAGATTGGCCTGAGCAAATGTGGTGCCGGTGGAACGAAAGCCTTCGGAGGAGTTAGCGAAATTCCAATGTGTGCGGATCGGCAAAAAATGCGAAATAACCCTTTAACCGTAATTTTGACAGATACGGCCGCACTGACTTTTTTGTAGATCTTATTGAGATACATATGTGTGTCAATTTTTGTGTCAATATGACAAAGCGTACAGGCGTGACAGTCAATAGTGTGAATTTTCACCTTAGGGGGCGCTATGGAGCCATTTTGCATTTTATTGTTTGGGCGACTTCAGAATATCAAATTTTTCACCAGGCCCGGTCGTCCTGCCAAATTTCATGAGTTTTCGCCAGTGGGAAGTGGGCCATTTTCCAGTTCAAAGGGGAGGAAAAAGAAAAAAGAAAGAAAGAAACAAAGAAAAACCACTTGGGGAATAATAGGGCCTACGCCCGGCTGCTCTGCAGCTGGCTCGGGCCCTAACTAGGACCCCGTTGGGGCACTGGCGGGCCCGAGCTGTGTCGCGCCCCCCCCCCCAACGCGCTGCCTCCCCGTCCCATTTGTGTCCTCTGGCCATCGCCCTCTTTGGTAACACCCATCACTGCAAAGACCCTTTTCCTTCATCGGCGTTTGCTGTTCTTCCTGCCAGTGCGTGTTGCTTTCACTTACACTTGCCACAGCCAGCCTCGTGAGTGCCTAGCCTATTGGATATCACTGTCACCTACACAGGACAGTCATTACCTTTCTATTAATACTTTGTTTTTTAATTTCACATTAATTTCCAAATTGTATAAACGACTGGAAAAAACTTGAGCCCCTGCCCCTGTATAATCATGTGCACGTCTCTGTTCTAGCTCTAAGGTAAATCTTCACTGCTCATGTTCTCCTCAGAAGCAGTCACCTCACTCCCCTCAGGTTACTGTACACATGCACCAACTGCCTGCTTCAGGTTTGGATGGAGCTTCATGGTTGTCTTTTGGAGAAATGACCAGTCAAGTTGTGTTTGAAATTTGATTTTTTTCAGGGGCAAAAGGAGCCTCTGCATTCTTGTCAAATATGTAAATAGCATGTTTTTGCAGGTGCTACAAACCAGACTCTGAGTGTGTGTGTGTGCGTGTGTGTGTGTGTCTGTGTGTGTGTGTGTGTGTGCGTTCAAGTCACATGACATATTTAACCGGATGTAGCTGCAAGACGGAGCCTCGTTGACTCTCCGTTTCAATTTATCTCAAAAGTGAGGACCTCAACCTATATACCAGTTTTTAAATTGTGTTGATAGGCCAAATAAAACCAGAGTTATGATAAATTATGTCCGCGATACTTGTTTTCTGCTTATTTTGATCACGTTCGGCGCTCGATCGCGCTGTATGAGACAGGAAAACATAGCATGCAGACATTAGCGACAGGTCTTACAGGCGGAAAAGGCTTGCCAAAGGAAAAAAAATACACACCACAACATCTCTCCTATTGGTGGAAAACTTCACCACAACAACCAATCCAAAATTATATGGTGACTGATTGACAAGGGGCGGGAACTTACGTTCTTCCTGCAATATGAGAAGGGAGGGAGGGACTCTCAGCAGGGATGCAGTCTGGGACACGTAGTTGCAAACCTAGCGACTTTGTTGTTAGATTCAATGACTTTTCAGACCCCCTAACGACTTTTTTTTAGAAAGAAAGTGACTTTTATCGACTTCTTCTGGAGTTTAGAGACTCTGACATGAAGCAGGCTTTCCTTACTGAGGAGTTAGCAACGCTGCTAAGGGTGCAGAGCCACACATGCGCTCCGAGCTCTGCATGGGAGACTGAAGCTGACAGAGCTGCAGCAGTTAGCAGGTTTCACCCTCAGAGACCACCAGGGGTTCATGTTGAGGCATTTTCAGTTTTTTTTTTTTTTTTTTTTGCCATAGACACTGTCAGCACAATCTGCAGTTACACTAACAAAAATGCTGCAAAAAACAAAGAATTATGGAAAAATTACACATGGACTAACATAGAGGAGGATCTACACAAGTTTTTTACATCATGTTTTACATCATGCATCATTTACATCATGTTTTTTTGTAGTGGCATAAATAAAAAGTGACATTTGTGAGACTATACAGTGTTTTGTAAATAATTTTACAAAGAACACCTGGGCCATTGCCTGCATTTTGATGTCAATAGAGGTAAATTACTATGTTCTTTGTTAAAAATTTGCATATGTTTTGAAGTTTACAATTTTTATTTGAAGTTTAAGTTTTAAAAACAGTTCATCACACATATTTGTGGTTTTCACAGTAAAAACGTTACTTTTTTCCACTCGGATTTTATGTTTTGTGTGTGAATTTGGGTCCAATGTGTAAATATAGTATGTCAAAATGATAAAATAACTGTAAATTGACACAGGTGAGGTTGTGCTGAAAAAAATGATACCAGGCAAGGCAAGGTAAAAATTTTGTAAGAGGAAATATAAAGGTAAAATCTAAAGTAGTCAAAAACGGCCAATAGTGACTCACAGACTCCACAGACAAGTCCCTTTGGCGCCACTCAGTGGGCAAAACTACTTTGTCTACTGTAATGTATATTTGGGTCATCTTTGGCGCCCCCTAAAACGTAAACCGTGGGGTGCAGCGTCATGATTTTTACAACTTTGAATGGCCATGGAGTGTAGATTGGCCTGAGCAAATTTGGTGTCAGTGGGACGAAAGCCTTAGGAGGAGTTAGCGAAATTCCAATGTGTGCGAATCGGCAAAAAATGCAAAATAGCCCTTTTACCGTACATTATACAGATACGCGCTCTTTGACTTTTTCGTAGATCTAATTGAGATACACATGATTGTCAATTTTTGTGTCATTTTGCCAAAGCGTACAGGCGTGACAGTCAACAATGTGTATTTTCACCTTAGGGGACAAGAAAAAATGGACTTTTTTCTCCTGCCATGGGGGGCGCTCTTTTAGGGAGTAAAAATTCCTTCACAAATGTGTTGATGGCTGGACATTGCATCATCCTAGAAAACTTGGAGGCCAGTGAGGACAAAAATAAAAAGTTATAAGACTTTTAAAAATGTGGATTTTTGGGTTATCTTTGGCGCCCCCTAGAACGTAAACCGTGGGGTGCAGCGTCATGATTTGAATAACTTTTAATGGCCATGGGGTGTAGATTGGCCTGAGCAAATGTGGTGCCGGTGGAACGAAAGCCTTCGGAGGAGTTAGCGAAATTCCAATGTGTGCGGATCGGCAAAAAATGCGAAATAACCCTTTAACCGTACATTAGACAGATACGCGCGCATGGACTTTTTTGTAGATCTTATTGAGATACATGTGTGTGTCAATTTTTGTGTCATTTTGACAAAGCGTACAGGCGTGACAGTCAATAGTGTGAATTTTCACCTTAGGGGACAAGAAAAAATGGACTTTTTTCTCCTGCCATGGGGGGGCGCTCTTTTGGGGAGTAAAAATTCCTTCACAAATGTGTTGATGGCTGGACATTGCATCATCCTAGAAAACTTGGAGGCCAGTGAGGGCAAAAATAAAAAGTTATAAGACTTTTAAATATGTGGATTTTAGGGTTATCTTTGGCGCCCCCTAGAACCTAAACCGTGGGGTGCAGCGTCATGATTTGAATAACTTTTAATGGCCATGGGGTGTAGATTGGCCTGAGCAAATGTGGTGCCGGTGGAACGAAAGCCTTCGGAGGAGTTAGCGAAATTCCAATGTGTGCGGATCGGCAAAAAATGCGAAATAACCCTTTAACCGTACATTTGACAGATACGCCCGCACTGACTTTCTTGTAGATCTTATTGAGATACATGTGTGTGTCAATTTTTGTGTCATTTTGACAAAGCGTACAGGCGTGACAGTCAATAGTGTGAATTTTCACCTTAGGGGGCGCTATGGAGCCATTTTGCATTTTCTTGTTTGGGCGACTTCGGAATATCAAATTTTTTACCAGGCCCGGTCGTCCTGCCAAATTTCATGAGTTTTCGCCAGTGGGAAGTGGGCCATTTTCCAGTTCAAAGGGGAGGAAAAAGAAAAAAGAAAGAAAGAAACAAAGAAAAACTAGGGCCCCGTTGGGGCACTGGCGGGCCCGAGCTGTGTCGCCCCCCCCCCCCCCCCCCCCAACGCGCTGCCTCCCCGTCCCATTCGCGTCCTCTGGCCATCGTCCTCTCTGGTAACGCCCATCACTGCAAAGACCCTTTTCCTTCATCGGCGTTTGCTGTTCTTCCTGCCAGTGCGTGTTGCTTTCACTTACACTTGCCACAGCCAGCCTTGTGAGTGCCTAGCCTATTGGATATCACTGTCACCTACACAGGACAGTCATTACCTTTCTATTAATACTTTGTTTTTTAATTTCACATTAATTTCCATATTGTATAAACGACTGGAAAAAACTTGAGCCCCTGCCCCCGTATAATCATGTGCACGTCCCTGTTCTCGCTCCAAGGTGAATCTTCACTGCTCATGTTCTCCTCAGAAGCAGTCACCTCACTCCCCTCAGGTTACTGTACACATGCACCAACTGCCTGCTTCAGGTTTGGATGGAGCTTCATGGTTGTCTTTTGGAGAAATGAGCAGCCAAGTTGTGTTAGAAATTTGATTTTTTTCAGGGGCAAAAGGAAGCCTCTGCATTGTTGTCAAATATGTAAATAGCATGTTTTTGCAGGTGCTAAAAAACAGACTCTGAGTGTGTGTGTGTGTGTGTGTGTGTGTGTGTGTGTGTCTGTGTGTGTGTGTGTCTGTGTGTGTGTATCCTGCAGTACTCTGTACTCCTGCAGTGGCCAAAACGACTTTTAAGAATGTGGATATTTGGGTCATCTTTGGCGCCCCCTAGAACGTAAACCATGGGGTGCAGCGGCATGATTTTTACAACTTTGAATGGCCATGGGGTGTAGATTGGCCTGAGCAAATTTGGTGTCAGTGGGACGAAAGCCTTAGGAGGAGTTAGCCACATTCCAATGTGTGCGAATCGGCAAAAAATGCAAAATAGCCCTTTAGCCGTACATTTTACAGATACGCGCCCATTGACTTTTTCGTAGATCTTATTGAGATACACGTGTGTGTCAAATTTTTTGTCAATACGACAAAGCGTACAGGCGTGACACTCAACAATGTGTATTTTCACCTTAGGGGACAAGAAAAAATGGACTTTTTATTCCTGCCATGGGGGGGCGCTCTTTTGGGGAGTAAAAATTCCTTCACAAATGTGTTGATGGCTGGACATTGCATCATCCTAGAAAACTTGGAGGCCAGTGAGGACAAAAAAAAAAAATTATAAAACTTTTAAGAATGTGGATTTTTGGGTTATTTTTGGCGCCCCCTAGAACCTAAACCATGGGGTGCAGCATTATGATTTGTACAACTTTGAATGGCCATGGAGTGTAGATTGGCCTGAGCAAATGTGGTGCCGGTGGAACGAAAGCCTTCGGAGGAGTTAGCGAAATTCCAATGTGTGCGGATCTGCAAAAAATGCAAAATAACCCTTTAACCGTACATTTGACAGATACGCCCGCACTGACTTTTTTGTAGATCTTATTGAGATACATGTGTGTGTCAATTTTTGTGTCAATATGACAAAGCGTACAGGCGTGACAGTCAATAGTGTGAATTTTCACCTTAGGGGGCGCTATGGAGCCATTTTGCATTTTCTTGTTTGGGCGACTTCAGAATATCGAATTTTTCACCAGGCCCGGTCGTCCTGCCAAATTTCATGAGTTTTCGCCAGTGGGAAGTGGGCCATTTTCCAGTTTAAAGCGGAGGAAAAATAATAATAATAACAAACTAGGACCCCGTTGGGGCACTGGCGGGCCCGAGCCGTGTCGCGTCCCCCCCCCCCCCCCAACGTGCTGCCTTCCCGTCCCATTTGTGTCCTCTGGCCATCGCCCTCTCTGGTAACGCCCATCACTGCAAAGACCCTTTTCCTTCATCGGCGTTTGCTGTTCTTCCTGCCAGTGCGTGTTGCTTTCACTTACACTTGCCACAGCCAGCCTCGTGAGTGCCTAGCCTATTGGATATCACTGTCACCTACACAGGACAGTCATTACCTTTCTATTAATACTTTGTGTTTTAATTTCACATTAATTTCCATATTGTATAAACGACTGGAAAAAACTTGAGCCCCTGCCCCTGTATAATCATGTGCATGTCTCTGTTCTAGCTCCAAGGTGAATCTTCACTGCTCATGTTCTCCTCAGAAGCACTCACCTCACTCCCCTCAGGTTACTGTACACATGCACCAACTGCCTGCTTCAGGTTTGGATGGAGCTTCATGGTTGTCTTTTGGAGAAATGAGCAGTCAAGTTGTGTTTGAAATTTGATTTTTTTCAGGGGCAAAAGGAGCCTCTGCATTCTGGTCAAATATGTAAATAGCATGTTTTTGCAGGTGCTAAAAACCAGACTCTGAGTGTGTGTGTGTGTGTGTGTGTGTGTGTGTGTGTGTGTGTGTGTGTGTGTGTGTGCGTGTGTGTGTGTCTGTGTGTGCGTTCAAGTCACATGACATATTTAACCGGATGTAGCTGCAAGACGGAGCCTCGTTGACTCTCCGTTTCAACTTATCTCAAAAGTGAGGACCTCAACCTATATACCAGTTTTTAAATTGTGTTGATAGGCCAAATAAAACCAGAGTTATGATAAATTATGTCCGCGATACTTTTTTTCTGCTTATTTTGATCACGTTCGGCGCTCGATCGCGCTGTATGAGACAGGAAAACATAGCATGCAGACATTAGCGACAGGTCTTACAGGCGGAAAAGGCTTGCCAAAAGAAAAAAAAAACACACCACAACATCTCTCCTATTGGTGGAAAACTTCACCACAACAACCAATCCAAAATTATATGGTGACTGATTGACAAGGGGCGGGCGCTTACGTTCTTCCTGCAACATGAGAAGGGAGGGAGGGACTCTCAGCAGGGATGCAGTCTGGGACACGTAGTTGCAAACCTAGCGACTTTGTTGTTAGATTCAATGACTTTTCAGACCCCCTAACGACTTTTTTTTTAGAAAGAAAGGGACTTTTATCGACTACTTCTGGAGTTTAGAGACTCTGACATGAAGCAGGCTTTCCTTACTGAGGAGTTAGCAACGCTGCTAAGGGTGCAGAGCCACACATGCGCTCAGAGCTCTGCATGGGAGACTGAAGCTGACAGAGCTGCAGCAGTTAGCAGGTTTCACCCTCAGAGACCACCAGGGGTTCATGTTGAGGCATTTTAATTTTTTTTTTTTTTTGTGCCATAGACACTGTCAGCACAATCTGCAGTTACACTAACAAAAATGCTGCAAAAAACAAAGAATTATGGAAAAATTACACATGGACTGACATAGAGGAGGATCTACACAAGTTTTTTACATCATGTTTTACATCATGCATCATTTACATCATGTTTTTTTGTAGTGGCATAAATAAAAAGTGACATTTGTGAGACTATACAGTGTTTTGTAAATAATTTTACAAAGAACGCCTGGGCCATTGCCTGCATTTTGATGTAAATAGAGGTAAATTACTATGTTCTTTGTTAAAAATTTGCATATGTTTTGAAGTTTACAATTTTTATTTGAAGTTTAAGTTTTAAAAACAGTTCATCACACATATTTGTGGTTTAATTTCACATTAATTTCCATATTGTATAAATGACTGGAAAAAACTTGAGCCCCTGCCCCTGTATAATCATGTGCACGTCCCTGTTCTAGCTCCAAGGTGAATCTTCACTGCTCATGTTCTCCTCAGAAATAGTCACCTCACTCCCCTCAGGTTACTGTACACATGCACCAACTATCTGCTTCAGGTTTGAAATGGAGCTTCATGGTTGTCTTTTGGAGAAATGAACAGTCAAGTTGTGTTTGAAATTTGATTTTTTTCAGGGGCAAAAGGAAGCCTCTGCATTCTTGTCAAATATGTAAACAGCATGTTTTTGCAGGTGCTAAAAAACAGACTCTGAGTGTGTGTGTGTGTCTGTGTGTGTGTGTGTGTGTGTGTATGTTGGCGTGTGTGTATATGTGTGTGTATCCTGCAGTACTCTGTACTCCTGCAGTGGCCAAAAAGACTTTTAAGAATGTGGATTTTTGGGTCATCTTTGGCGCCCCCTAGAACTGCAGTACTCTGTACTCCTGCAGTGGCCAAAATGACTTTTAAGAATGTGGATTTTTGGGTCATCTTTGGCGCCCCCTAGAACGTAAACCGTGGGGTGCAGCGTCATGATTTTTACAACTTTGAATGGGCATGGGGTGTAGATTGCCCTGAGCAAATTTGGTATCGGTGGGACGAAAGCCTTAGGAGGAGATAGCCACATTCCAATGTGTGCGAATCGGCAAAAAATGCAAAATAGCCCTTTAACCGTACATTATACAGATACGCGCTCTTTGACTTTTTTGTAGATCTAATTGAGATACACATGATTGTCAATTTTTGTGTCAATATGACAAAGCGTTCAGGCGTGACACTCAACAATGTGTATTTTCATGTAAGGGGACAAGAAAAAATTGACTTTTTTCTCCTACCATGGGGGGGCGCTCTTTTGGGGAGTAAAAATTCCTTCACAAATGTGTTGATGGCTGGACATTGCATCATCCTAGAAAACTTGGAGGCCAGTGAGGACAAAAATAAAAAGTTATAAAACATTTAAGAATGTGGATTTTTGGGTTATTTTTGGCGCCCCCTAGAACCTAAACCATGGGGTGCAGCATCATGATTTGAATAACTTTTAATGGCCATGGGGTGTAGATTGGCCTGAGCAAATGTGGTGCCGGTGGAACGAAAGCCTTCGGAGGAGTTAGCGAAATTCCAATGTGTGCGTATCGGCAAAAAATGCGGAATAACCCTTTAACTGTACATTTGACAGATACGCGCGCATTGACTTTTTTGTAGATCTTATTGAGTTACATGTGTGTGTCAATTTTTGTGTCATTTTGACAAAGCGTATAGGCGTGACACTCAACAATGTGTATTTTCACCTTAGGAGACAAGAAAAAATGGACTTTTTTCTCCTGCCATGGGGGGGCGCTCTTTTGGGGAGTAAAAATTCCTTCACAAATGTGTTGATGGCTGGACATTGCATCATCCTAGAAAACTTGGAGGCCAGTGAGGACAAAAATAAAAAGTTATAAGACTTTTAAATATGTGGATTTTAGTGTTATCTTTGGCGCCCCCTAGAACCTAAACCTTGGGGTGCAGCGTCATGATTTTGATAACTTTTAATGGCCACGGGGTGTAGATTGTCCTGAGCAAATGTGGTGCCGGTGGAACGAAAGCCTTCGGAGGAGTTAGCGAAATTCCAATGTGTGCGGATTGGATAAAAATGCGAAATAACCCTTTAACCGTACATTTGACAGATACGGCCGCACTGACTTTTTTGTAGATCTTATTGAGATACATATGTGTGTCAATTTTTGTGTCAATATGACAAAGCGTACAGGCGTGACAGTCAATAGTGTGAATTTCCACCTTAGGGGGCGCTATGGAGCCATTTTGCATTTTATTGTTTGGGCGACTTCAGAATATCGAATTTTTCACCAGGCCCGGTCGTCCTGCCAAATTTCATGAGTTTTCGCCAGTGGGAAGTGGGCCATTTTCCAGTTCAAAGGGGAGGAAAAAGAAGAAAGAAAGAAACAAAGAAAAACCCCTTGGGGAATAATAGGGCTCTCGCAGCTGCTTAGCAGCTACGCTCGGGCCCTAACTAGGGCCCCGGTGGGGCACTGTCGGGCCCGAGCCGCGTCGCGCCGCCCCCAGCGCGACCGCCTCCCCCTCCTGATCGCATCACACTCAAGGTCCAAAGATGGTGTGCGCACTTGTCTGTGGTCATTTCCCATTATAATGAATGGGAGGCGCAGTTTCTACCAAAACGGTCGCTGCAGACAAACTACATGTCCTATTTGAAAAAAGTGTGGATCATGAGTGAGGGCACAAACACAGCTAGGATATATCCAAATGGCAAGTTGCTCCTCCTTACGGTGTTGCCAGGAGAGCGATGCGATTGAGCCATTGAGCGATGGGCAGGGTTAACTGGACTTTTTCTCCTGCCTTGGGGGGGGGGGGGGGATGTGGATTCTTTTAAGAATGTGGATATTTGGGTCATCTTTGGCGCCCCCTAGAACGTAAACCATGGGGTGCAGCGGCATGATTTTTACAACTTTGAATGGCCATGGGATGTAGATCGGCTTGAGCAAATTTGGTGTCGGTGGAAAGAAAGCCTTAGGAGGAGTTAGCCACATTCCAATGTGTGCGAATCGGCAAAAAATGCGAAATAGCCCTTTAACCGTACATTTTACAGATACGTGCCCATTGACTTTTTCGTAGATCTTATTGAGATACACGTGTGTATCAAATTTTGTGTCATTTTGACAAAGCGTATAGGCGTGACACTCAACAATGTGTTTTTTCCCCTTAGGGGACAAGAAAAAATGGACTTTTTTCTCCTGCCATGGGGGGGCGCTCTTTTCGGGAGTAAAAATTCCTTCACAAATGTGTTGATGGCTGGACATTGCATCATCCTAGAAAACTTGGAGGCCAGTGAGGACAAAAATAAAAAGTTATAAGACTATTAAGAATGTGGATTTTTGGGTTATCTTTGGCGCCCCCTAGAACCTAAACCGTGGAGTGCAGCGTCATGATTTGTACAACTTTTAATGGCCATGGGGTGTAGATTGGCCTGAGCAAATTTGGTGGCGGTGGAACTAAAGCCTTCGGAGGAGTTAGCGAAATTCCAATGTGTGCGGATCGGGAAAAAATGCGAAATAACCCTTTAACCGTACATTTTACAGATACGTGCCCATTGACTTTTTCGTAGATCTTATTGAGATACACGTGATTGTCAAATTTTGGGTCAATATGACAAAGCGTATAGGCGTGACACTCAACAATGTGTATTTTCACCTTAGGGGACAAGAAAAAATTGACTTTTTTCTCCTGCCATGTGGGGGCGCTCTTTTGGGGAGTAAAAATTCCTTCACAAATGTGGTGATGGCTGGACATTGCATCATCCTAGAGAACTTGGAGGCCAGTGAGGACAAAAATAAAAAGTTATAAGACTTTTAAGACTGTGGATTTTAGGGTTATCTTTGGCGCCCCCTAGAACGTAAACCGTGGGGTGCAGCGTCATGATTTGTACAACTTTTAATGGCCATGGGGTGTAGATTGGCCTGAGCAAATGTGGTGCCGGTGGAACGAATGCCTTCGGAGGAGTTAGCGAAATTCCAATGTGTGCAGATCGGCAAAAATGCGAAATAACCCTCTAACCATACATTTCACAGATGCGCCCGCGCTGACTTTTTCGTAGACCGTATTGAGATACACGTGTGTGTCAATTTTTGTGTCAATATGACAAAGCGTACAGGCGTGACAGTCAATAGTGTGAATTTTCGCCTTAGGGGGCGCTATGGAGCCATTTTGCATTTTATTGTTTGGGCGACTTCAGAATATCGAATTTTTCACCAGGCCCGGTCGTCCTGCCAAATTTCATGAGTTTTCGCCAGTGGGAAGTGGGCCATTTTCCCCTTCAAAGGGGAGGAAAAATAAGAAGAAAGAAAGAAAGAAAGAAGAAAGACTAGGACCCCGTTGGGGCACTGGCGGGCCCGAGCCGTGTCGCGTCCCCCCCCCCAACGCGCTGCCTCCCCGTCCCATTTGTGTCCTCTGGCCATCGCCCTCTCTGGTAACGCCCATCACTGCAAAGACCCTTTTCTTTCATCGGCGTTTGCTGTTCTTCCTGCCAGTGCGTGTTGCTTTCACTTACACTTGCCACAGCCAGCCTCGTGAGTGCCTAGCCTATTGGATATCACTGTCACCTACACAGGAGGTGAATTAATTATGTTAAGGTGAATCTTCACTGCTCATGTTCTCCTCAGAAGCACTCACCTCACTCCCCTCAGGTTACTGTACACATGCACCAACTGCCTGCTTCAGGTTTGGATGGAGCTTCATGGTTGTCTTTTGGAGAAATGACCAGTCAAGTTGTGTTTGAAATTTGATTTTTTTCAGGGGCAAAAGGAGCCTCTGCATTCTTGTCAAATATGTAAATAGCATGTTTTTGCAGGTGCTAAAAACCAGACTCTGAGTGTGTGTGTGTGCGTGTGTGTGTGTGTCTGTGTGTGTGTGTGTGTGTGTGTGTGTGCGTTCAAGTCACATGACATATTTAACCGGATGTAGCTGCAAGACGGAGCCTCGTTGACTCCGTTTCAACTTATCTCAAAAGTGAGGACCTCAACCTATATACCAGTTTTTAAATTGTGTTGATAGGCCAAATAAAACCAGAGTTATGATAAATTATGTCCGCGATACTTGTTTTCTGCTTATTTTGATCACGTTCGGCGCTCGATCGCGCTGTATGAGACAGGAAAACATAGCATGCAGACATTAGCGACAGGTCTTACAGGCGGAAAAGGCTTGCCAAAGGAAAAAAAAACACACCACAACATCTCTCCTATTGGTGGAAAACTTCACCACAACAACCAATCCAAAATTATATGGTGACTGATTGACAAGGGGCGGGCGCTTACGTTCTTCCTGCAACATGAGAAGGGAGGGAGGGACTCTCAGCAGGGATGCAGTCTGGGACACGTAGTTGCAAACCTAGCGACTTTGTTGTTAGATTCAATGACTTTTCAGACCCCCTAACGACTTTTTTTTTTAGAAAGAAAGTGACTTTTATCGACTTCTTCTGGAGTTTAGAGACTCTGACATGAAGCAGGCTTTCCTTACTGAGGAGTTAGCAATGCTGCTAAGGGTGCAGAGCCACACATGCGCTCCGAGCTCTGCATGGGAGACTGAAGCTGACAGAGCTGCAGCAGTTAGCAGGTTTCACCCTCAGAGACCACCAGGGGTTCATGTTGAGGCATTTTCAGTTTTTTTTTTTTTTTTTTTTTTTGCCATAGACACTGTCAGCACAATCTGCAGTTACACTAACAAAAATGCTGCAAAAAACAAAGAATTATGGAAAAATTACACATGGACTGACATAGAGGAGGATCTACACAAGTTTTTTACATCATGTTTTACATCATGCATCATTTACATCATGTTTTTTTGTAGTGGCATAAATAAAAAGTGACATTTGTGAGACTATACAGTGTTTTGTAAATAATTTTACAAAGAACACCTGGGCCATTGCCTGCATTTTGATGTCAATAGAGGTAAATTACTATGTTCTTTGTTAAAAATTTGCATATGTTTTGAAGTTTACAATTTTTATTTGAAGTTTAAGTTTTAAAAACAGTTCATCACACATATTTGTGGTTTTCACAGTAAAAACGTTACTTTTTTCCACTCGGATTTTATGTTTTGTGTGTGAATTTGGGTCCAATGTGTAAATATAGTATGTCAAAATGATAAAATAACTGTAAATTGACACAGGTGAGGTTGTGCTGAAAAAAATGATACCAGGCAAGGCAAGGTAAAAATTTTGTAAGAGGAAATATAAAGGTAAAATCTAAAGTAGTCAAAAACGGCCAATAGTGACTCACAGACTCCACAGACAAGTCCCTTTGGCGCCACTCAGTGGGCAAAACTACTTTGTCTACTGTAATGTATATTTGGGTCATCTTTGGCGCCCCCTAAAACGTAAACCGTGGGGTGCAGCGTCATGATTTTTACAACTTTGAATGGCCATGGAGTGTAGATTGGCCTGAGCAAATTTGGTGTCAGTGGGACGAAAGACTTAGGAGGAGTTAGCGAAATTCCAATGTGTGCGAATCGGCAATAAATGCAAAATAGCCCTTTTACCGTACATTATACAGATACGCGCTCTTTGACTTTTTCGTAGATCTAATTGAGATACACATGATTGTCAATTTTTGTGTCATTTTGCCAAAGCGTACAGGCGTGACAGTCAACAATGTGTATTTTCACCTTAGTGGACAAGAAAAAATGGACTTTTTTCTCCTGCCATGGGGGCGCTCTTTTAGGGAGTAAAAATTCCTTCACAAATGTGTTGATGGCTGGACATTGCATCATCCTAGAAAACTTGGAGGCCAGTGAGGACAAAAATAAAAAGTTAAAAGACTTTTAAAAATGTGGATTTTTGGGTTATCTTTGGTGCCCCCTAGAACGTAAACCGTGGGGTGCAGCGTCATGATTTGAATAACTTTTAATGGCCATGGGGTGTAATTTGGCCTGAGCAAATGTGGTGCCGGTGGAACGAAAGCCTTCGGAGGAGTTAGCGAAATTCCAATGTGTGCGAATCGGCAAAAAATGCGGAATAACCCTTTAACCGTACATTAGACAGATACGCGCGCATGGACTTTTTTGTAGATCTTATTGAGATACATGTGTGTGTCAATTTTTGTGTCATTTTGCCAAAGCGTACAGGCGTGACACTCAACAATGTGTATTTTCACCTTAGGGGACAAGAAAAAATGGACTTTTTTCTCCTGCCATGGGGGGGCGCTCTTTTGGGGAGTAAAAATTCCTTCACAAATGTGTTGATGGCTGGACATTGCATCATCCTAGAAAACTTGGAGGCCAGTGAGGGCAAAAATAAAAAGTTATAAGACTTTTAAAAATGTGGATTTTAGGGTTATCTTTGGCGCCCCCTAGAACCTAAACCGTGGGGTGCAGCGTCATGATTTGAATAACTTTTAATGGCCATGGGGTGTAGATTGGCCTGAGCAAATGTGGTGCCGGTGGAACGAAAGCCTTCGGAGGAGTTAGCGAAATTCCAATGTGTGCGGATCGGCAAAAAATGCGAAATAACCCTTTAACCGTACATTTGACAGATACGCCCGCACTGACTTTTTTGTAGATCTTATTGAGATACATGTGTGTGTCAATTTTTGTGTCATTTTGACAAAGCATACAGGCGTGACAGTCAATAGTGTGAATTTTCACCTTAGGGGGCGCTATGGAGCCATTTTGCATTTTCTTGTTTGGGCGACTTCGGAATATCAAATTTTTCACCAGGCCCGGTCGTCCTGCCAAATTTCATGAGTTTTCGCCAGTGGGAAGTGGGCCATTTTCCAGTTCAAAGGGGAGGAAAAAGAAGAAAGAAAGAAACAAAGAAAAACCCCTACAGGAATAACAGGGCCTACGCCCGGCTGCTCTGCAGCTGGCTCGGGCCCTAAAAAACCTATACAGGAATAATAGGGCTCTACGCCCGGCTGCTCTGCAGCTGGCTCGGGCCCTAACTAGGGCCCCGGTGGGGCACTGTCGGGCCCGAGCCGCGTTGTGCCGCCCCCAGCGTGACCGCCTCCCCCTCCCGATCGCGTCACACTCAAGGTCCAAAGATGGTGTGCGCACTTGTCTGTGGTCATTTCCCATTATAATGAATGGGAGGCGCAGTTTCTACCAAAACACTCGCTGCAGACAAACTTCATGTCCTATTTGAAAAAAGTCTGGACCATGAGTGAGGGCACAAACACAGCTGGGATATATCCAAATGGCAGGTTGCTCCTGGATACGGTGTTGCCTGGAGAGCGATGCGATTGAGCCATTGAGCGATGGGCAGGAAAAACTTGACTTTTTCTCCTGCCATGGGGGGGGGGAGAATGTGGATTCTTTTAAGAATGTGGATTTTTTGGTCATCTTTGGCGCCCCCTAGAACGTAAACCGTGGGGTGCAGCGTCATGATTTTTACAACTTTGAATGGCCATGGGGTGTAGATTGGCCTGAGCAAATTTAGTTTCAGTGGGACGAAAGCCTTAGGAGGAGTTAGCCACATTCCAATGTGTGCGAATCGGCAAAAAATGCAAAATAGCCCTCTAACCGTACATTTGACAGATACGCACCCATTGACTTTTTCGTAGATCTTATTGAGATACACGTGATTGTCAAATTTTGTGTCAATATGACAAAGCGTACAGGTGTCACACTCAACAATGTGAATTTTCACCTTACGGGACAAGAAAAAATGGACTTTTTTCTCCTGCCATGGGGGGGCGCTCTTTTAGGGAGTAAAAATTCCTTCACAAATGTGTTGATGGCTGGACATTGCATCATCCTAGAAAACTTGGAGGCCAGTGAGGGCAAAAATAAAAAGTTATAAGACTTTTAAATATGTGGATTTTAGGGTTATCTTTGGCGCCCCCTAGAACCTAAACCGTGGGGTGCAGCGTCATGATTTGAATAACTTTTAATGGCCATGGGGTGTAGATTGGCCTGAGCAAATGTGGTGCCGGTGGAAAGAAAGCCTTCAGAGGAGTTAGCGAAATTCCAATGTGTGCGGATCTGCAAAAAATGCGAAATAACCCTTTAACCGTACATTTGACAGATACGCCCGCACTGACTTTTTTGTAGATCTTATTGAGATACATATGTGTGTCAATTTTTGTGTCATTTTGACAAAGCGTAAAGGCGTGACAGTCAATAGTGTGAATTTTCACCTTAGGGGGCGCTATGGAGCCATTTTGCATTTTCTTGTTTGGGCAACTTCGGAATATCAAATTTTTCACCAGGCCCGGTCATCCTGCCAAATTTCATGAGTTTTCGCCAGTGGGAAGTGGGCCATTTTCCAGTTCAAAGGGGAGGAAAAAGAAGAAAGAAAGAAACAAAGAAAAACCACTTGGGGAATAATAGGGCTCTCGCAGCTGCTTAGCAGCTACGCTCGGGCCCTAAAAACCACTTGGGGAATAATAGGGCCTACGCCCGGCTGCTCTGCAGCTGGCTCGGGCCCTAATAATAACAAAAGAAGGAAACTACAGGAACAAGAGGGCTCTCGCAGCTGCTTAGCAGCTACGCTCGGGCCCTAAAGAAGAATCCATCAGGAATAATAGGGCTCTCGCAGCTGCTTAGCAGCTACGCTCGGGCCCTAACTAGGGCCCCGGTGGGGCACTGTCGGGCCCGAGCCGCGTCGCGCCGCCCCCAGCGCGACCGCCTCCCCCTCCCGATTGCATCACACTCAAGGTCCAAAGATGGTGTGCGCACTTGTCTGTGGTCATTTCCCATTATAATGAATGGGAGGCGCAGTTTCTACCAAAACGGCCGCTGCAGACAAACTACATGTCCTATTTGAAAAAAGTCTGGACCATGAGTGAGGGCACAAACACAGCTAGGATATATCCAAATGGCAAGTTGCTCCTCCTTACGGTGTTGCCGGGAGAGCGATGCGATTGAGCCATTGAGCGATGGGCAGGGTTAACTGGACTTTTTCTCCTGCCTTGGGGGGGGGGATGTGGATTCTTTTAAGAATGTGGATATTTGGGTCATCTTTGGCGCCCCCTAGAACGTAAACCATGGGGTGCAGCGGCATGATTTTTACAACTTTGAATGGCCATGGGATGTAGATCGGCTTGAGCAAATTTGGTGTCGGTGGGAAGAAAGCCTTAGGAGGAGTTAGCCACATTCCAATGTGTGCGAATCGGCAAAAAATGCGAAATAGCCCTTTAACCGTACATTTTACAGATACGTGCCCATTGACTTTTTCGTAGATCTTATTGAGATACACGTGTGTGTCAAATTTTGTGTCATTTTGACAAAGCGTATAGGCGTGACAGTCAACAATGTGTTTTTTCACCTTAGGGGACAAGAAAAAATGGACTTTTTTCTCCTGCCATGGGGGGGCGCCCTTTTCGGGAGTAAAAATTCCTTTACAAATGTGTTGATGGCTGGACATTGCATCATCCTAGAAAACTTGGAGGCCAGTGAGGACAAAAATAAAAAGTTATAAGACTATTAAGAATGTGGATTTTGGGTTATCTTTGGCGCCCCCTAGAACCTAAACCGTGGGGTGCAGCGTCATGATTTGTACAACTTTTAATGGCCATGGGGTGTAGATTGGCCTGCGCAAATGTGGTGCCGGTCGAACTAAAGCCTTCGGAGGAGTTAGCGAAATTCCAATGTGTGCAGATCTGCAAAAAATGCAAAATAACCCATTAACCGTACATTTGACAGATACGCCCGCACTGACTTTCTTGTAGATCTTATTGAGATACATGTGTGTGTCAATTTTTGTGTCAATATGACAAAGCGTACAGCCGTCATGTGAATTTTCACCTTAGGGGGCGCTATGGAGCCATTTTGCATTTTATTGTTTGGGCGACTTCAGAATATCGAATTTTTCACCAGGCCCGGTCGTCCTGCCAAATTTCCTGAGTTTTCGCCAGTGGGAAGTGGGCCATTTTCCAGTTTAAAGCGGAGGAAAAATAATAACGAAAGAAGGAAACATGCAGGAACAAGAGGGCTCTCGCAGCTGCTTAGCAGCTACGCTCGGGCCCTAAAGAAAGAAACAAAGACTAGGGCCCCGGTGGGGCACTGTCGGGCCCGAGCGGCGTCGCGCCGCCCCCAGCGCGACCGCCTCCCCCTCCCGATCGCGTCACACTCAAGGTCCAAAGATGGTGTGCGCACTTGTCTGTGGTCATTTACCATTATAATGAATGGGAGGCACAGTTTCTACCAAAACACTCGCTGCAGACAAACTTCATGTCCTATTTGAAAAAAGTCTGGACCATGAGTGAGGGCACAAACACAGCTAGGATATATCCAAATGGCAGGTTGCTCCTCCTTACGGTGTTGCCTGGAGAGCGCTGGATTGAGCCATTGAGCGATGGGCAGGAAAAACTTGACTTTTTCTTCTGCCTTGGGGGGGGTGTGTGTGGATTCTTTTAAGAATGTGGATATTTGGGTCATCTTTGGCGCCCCCTAGAACGTAAACCGTGGGGTGCAGCGTCATGATTTTTACAACTTTGAATGGCCATGGGATGTAGATCGGCTTGAGCAAATTTGGTGTCGGTGGGACGAAAGCCTTAGGAGGAGTTAGCCACATTCCAATGTGTGCGAATCGGCAAAAAATGCAAAATAGCCCTTTAACCGTACATTTGACAGATACGCGCCCATTGACTTTTTCGTAGATCTTATTGAGATACACGTGATTGTCAAATTTTGTGTCAATATGACAAAGCGTACAGGTGTCACACTCAACAATGTGAATTTTCACCTTAGGGGACAAGAAAAAATGGACTTTTTTCTCCTGCCATGGGGGGGCGCTCTTTTGGGGAGTAAAAAATCCTTCACAAATGTGTTGATGGCTGGACATTGCATCATCCTAGAAAACTTGGAGGCCAGTGAGGACAAAAATAAAAAGTTATAAGACTTTGAAATATGTGGATTTTAGGGTTATCTTTGGCGCCCCCTAGAACCTAAACCGTGGGGTGCAGCGTCATGATTTGAATAACTTTGAATGGCCATGGGGTGTAGATTGGCCTGAGCAAATGTGATGCCAGTGGAACGAAAGCCTTCGGAGGAGTTAGCGAAATTCCAATGTGTGCGGATCAACAAAAAATGCGGAATAACCCTTTAACCATACATTTGACAGATACGCGCGCATTGACTTTTTCGTAGATCTTATTGAGATACATGTGTGTGTCAATTTTTGTGTCAATATGATAAAGCGTACAGGCGTGACAGTCAATAGTGTCAATTTCCACCTTAGGGGACAAGAAAAAATTGACTTTTTTCTCCTGCCATGGGGGGGCGCTCTTTTGGGGAGTAAAAATTCCTTCACAAATGTGTTGATGGCTGGACATTGCATCATCCTAGAAAACTTGGAGGCCAGTGAGGACAAAAATAAAAAGTTATAAGACTTTTAAATATGTGGATTTTAGGAATATCTTTGGCGCCCCCTAGAACCTAAACCGTGGGGTGCAGCGTCATGATTTGAATAACTTTTAATGGCCATGGGGTGTAGATTGGCCTGAGCAAATGTGGTGCCGGTGGAACGAAAGCCTTCGGAGGAGTTAGCGAAATTCCAATGTGTGCGGATCGGCAAAAAATGCGGAATAACCCTTTAACTGTATATTTGACAGATACGCGCGCATTGACTTTTTCGTAGATCTTATTGAGATACATGTGTGTGTCAATTTTTGTGTCATCTTGCCAAAGCGTACAGGTGTTACACTCAACAATGTGTATTTTCACCTTAGGGGACAAGAAAAAATGGACTTTTTTCTCCTGCCATGGGGGGGCGCTCTTTTGGGGAGTAAAAATTCCTTCACAAATGTGTTGATGGCTGGACATTGCATCATCCTAGAAAACTTGGAGGCCAGTGAGGGCAAAAATAAAAAGTTATAAGACTTTTAAATATGTGGATCTTAGGGTTATCTTTGGCGCCCCCTAGAACCTAAACCGTGGGGTGCAGCGTCATGATTTGAATAACTTTTAATGGCCATGGGGTGTAGATTGGCCTGAGCAAATGTGGTGCCGGTGGAACGAAAGCCTTCGGAGGAGTTAGCGAAATTCCAATGTGTGCGGATCGGCAAAAAATGCGAAATAACCCTTTAACCGTACATTTGACAGATACGCCCGCACTGACTTTTTTGTAGATCTTATTGAGATACATGTGTGTGTCAATTTTTGTGTCATTTTGACAAAGCGTACAGGCGTCAGGTGAATTTTTCACCTTAGGGGGCGCTATGGAGCCATTTTGCATTGTATTGTTTGGGCGACTTCAGAATATCAAATTTTTCACCAGGCCCGGTCGTCCTGCCAAATTTCATGAGTTTTCGCCAGTGGGAAGTGGGCCATTTTCCAGTTGACCACAGACAAGTGCGCACACCATCTTTGGACCTTGAGTGTGACGCGATCGGGAGGGGGAGGCGGTCGCGCTGGGGGCGGCGCGACGCCGCTCGGGCCCGACAGTGCCCCACCGGGGCCCTAGTTAGGGCCCGAGCCAGCTGCAGAGCAGCCGGGCGTAGGCCCTATTATTCCCCAAGTGGTTTTTCTTTGTTTCTTTCTTTCTTTTTAGGGCCCGAGCGTAGCTGCTAAGCAGCTGCGAGGCCCTATTATTCCTGTAGTGGTTTTTAGGGCCCGAGCGTAGCTGCTAAGCAGCTGCGAGAGCCCTATTATTCCTGATGGATTCTTCTTTCTTCTTCTTCTTCTTATTATTTTTCTGCCCATTTGAACTGGAAAATGGCCCACTTCCCACTGGTGAAAACTCATGAAATTTGGCAGGACGACTGGGCCTGGTGAAAAATTCGATATTCTGAAGTCACCCAAACAATCAAATGCAAAATGGCTCCATAGCGCCCCCTAAGGTGAAAAATTCACATGATTGAGTGTCACGCCTGTACGCTTTGTCAAAATGACACAAAATTTGACACACACGTGTATCTCAATAAGATCTACAAAAAAGTCAGTGCGGGCGTATCTGTCAAATGTACGGTTAAAGGGCTATTTCGCATTTTTTGCCGATCCGCACACATTGGAATTTCGCTAACTCCTCCGAAGGCTTTCGTTCCACCGGCACCAAATTTGCTCAGGCCAATCTACACCCCATGGCCATTCAAAGTTGTACAAATCATGACGCTGCCCCCCACGGTTTACGTTGTAGGGGGCGCCAAAGATAACCCAAAAATCCACATTCTTACAAGTCTTATAACTTTTTATTTCTGTCCTCACTGGCCTCCAAGTTTTCTAGGATGATGCAATGTCCAGCCATCAACACATTTGTGAAGGAATTTTTACTCCCCAAAAGAGCGCCCCCCCATGGCAGAAGAAAAAAGGCCATTTTTTCTTGTCCTATAAGGTGAAAATACACATTGTTGAGTGTCACGCCTGTACGCTTTGTCATATTGAAACAAAATTTGATAATCACGTGTATCTCAATAAGATCTACGAAAGAGTCAATGCGCACGTGTCTGCAAAATGTACGGTTAAAGGGCTATTTCGCATTTTTGGTTGATTCGCACACATTGGAATGTGGCTAACTCCTCCTAAAGCTTTCGTTCCACCGGCACCAAATTTGCTTAGGCCAATCTACACCCCATGGCCATTCAAAGTTGTACAAATCATGTCGCTGCACCCCACGGTTTACCTTGTAGGGGGCGCCAAAGATAACCCAAAAATCCACATTCTTACAAGTTATAACTTTTTATTTCTGTCCTCACTGGCCTCCAAGTTTTCTAGGATGATGCAATGTCCAGCCATCAACACATTTGTGAAGGAATTTTTACTCGCCAAAAGAGCGCCCCCCCATGGCAGGAGAAAAAAGTCCATTTTTTCTTGTCTCCTAAGGCGAAAATTCACACTATTGACTGTCACACCTTTACGCTTTGTCAAAATGACACAAAATTTGACACACACATGTATCTCAATAAGATCTACAAAAAAGTCAGTGCGGGCGTATCTGTCAAATGTACGGTTAAAGGGTTATTTCGCATTTTTTGCCGATCCGCACACATTGGAATTTCGCTAACTCCTCCGAAGGCTTTCGTTCCACCGGCACCACATTTGCTCAGGCCAATCTACACCCCATGGCCATTAAAAGTTGTACAAATCATGATGCTGCACCCCACGGTTTACGTTCTAGGGGGCGCCAAAGATAACCCAAATATCCACAGTCTTAAAAGTCTTATAACTTTTTATTTTTGTCCTCACTGGCCTCCAAGTTCTCTAGGATGATGCAATGTCCAGCCATCAACACATTTGTGAAGGAATTTTTACTCGCCAAAAGAGCGCCCCCCATGGCAGGAGAAAAAAGTCCATTTTTTCTTGTCTCCTAAGGCGAAAATACACATTGTTGACTGTCACGCCTTTACGCTTTGTCAAAATGACACAAAATTTGACACACACATGTATCTCAATAAGATCTACGAAAAAGTCAATGCGAGCGTATCTGTTCAATGTACGGTTAAAGGGCTATTTCGCATTTTTTGCCGATTCGCACACATTGGAATGTGGCTAACTCCTCCTAAAGCTTTTGTCCCATCGGCTTCAAATTTGCTCAGGTCAATCTACACCCCATGTCCATTCAAAGTTGTACAAATCATGACGCTGCACCCCACGGTTTACGTTCTAGGGGGCGCCAAAGATAACCCAAAAATCCACAGTCTTAAAAGTCTTATAACTTTTTATTTTTGTCCTCACTGGCCTCCAAGTTCTCTAGGATGATGCAATGTCCAGCCATCAACACATTTGTGAAGGAATTTTTACTCCCCAAAAGAGCGCCCCCCCATGGCAGGAGAAAAAGTCAAGTTTTTCCTGCCCATCGCTCAATGGCTCAAACGCATCGCTCTCTCGGCAAAACCGAAAGGAGGAGCAACTTGCCATTTGGATATATACTAGCTGTGTTTGTGCCCTCACTCATGGTCCAGACTTTTTTCAAAAAGGACATGGAGTTTGTCTGCAGCGAGCGTTTTGGTAGAAACTGCGCCTCCCATTCATTATAATGGTAAATGACCACAGACAAGTGCGCACACCATCTTTGGACCTTGAGTGTGACGCAATCGGGAGGGGTAGGCGGTCGCGCTGGGGGTGGCGCGACACGGCTCGGGCCCGCCAGTGCCCCAACGGGGCCCTAGTTCTTTGTTTCTTTTTTCTTTTTCCTCCCCTTTGACCTGGAAAATGGCCCACTTCCCACTGGCGAAAACTCATGAAATTTGGCAGGACGACCGGGCCTGGTGAAAAATTTGATATTCCGAAGTCGCCCAAACAAGAAAATGCAAAATGGCTCCATAGCGCCCCCTAAGGTGAAAATTCACACTATTGACTGTCACGCCTGTACGCTTTGTCAAAATGACACAAAAATTGACACACACATGTATCTCAATAAGATCTACAAAAAAGTCAGTGCGGCCGTATCTGTCAAATGTACGGTCAAAGGGTTATTTCGCATTTTTTGCCGATCCGCACACATTGGAATTTCGCTAACTCCTCCGAAGGCTTTCGTTCCACCGGCACCACATTTGCTCAGGCCAATCTACACCCCGTGGCCATTAAAAGTTATCAAAATCATGACGCTGCACCCCAAGGTTTAGGTTCTAGGGGGCGCCAAAGATAACACTAAAATCCACATATTTAAAAGTCTTATAACTTTTTATTTTTGTCCTCACTGGCCTCCAAGTTTTCTAGGATGATGCAATGTCCAGCCATCAACACATTTGTGAAGGAATTTTTACTCCCCAAAAGAGCGCCCCCCCATGGCAGGAGAAAAAAGTCCATTTTTTCTTGTCCCCTAAGGTGAAAATACACATTGTTGAGTGTCACGCCTATACGCTTTGTCAAAATGACACAAAAATTGACACACATATGTATCTCAATAAGATCTACAAAAAAGTCGATGCGGCCGTATCTGTCAAATGTACGGTCAAAGGGTTATTTCGCATTTTTTGCCGATCCGCACACATTGGAATTTCGCTAACTCCTCCGAAGGCTTTCGTTCCACCGGCACCACATTTGCTCAGGCCAATCTACACCCCGTGGCCATTAAAAGTTATCAAAATCATGACGCTGCACCCCAAGGTTTAGGTTCTAGGGGGCGCCAAAGGTAACACTAAAATCCACATATTTAAAAGTCTTATAACTTTTTATTTTTGTCCTCACTGGCCTCCAAGTTTTCTAGGATGATGCAATGTCCAGCCATCAACACATTTGTGAAGGAATTTTTACTCCCCAAAAGAGCGCCCCCCCATGGCAGGAGAAAAAAGTCAATTTTTTCTTGTCCCCTAAGGTGAAAATACACATTGTTGAGTGTCACGCCTATACGCTTTGTCAAAATGACACAAAAATTGACACACACATGTAACTCAATAAGATCTACGAAAAAGTCAATGCGCGCGTATCTGTCAAATGTACGGTTAAAGGGTTATTCCGCATTTTTTGCCGATCCGCACACATTGGAATGTGGCTAACTCCTCCTAAGGCTTTCGTTCCACCGGCACCACATTTGCTCAGGACAATCTACACCCCATGGCCATTAAAAGTTATTCAAATCATGACGCTGCACCCCACGGTTTAGGTTCTAGGGGGCGCCAAAGACCCTAAAATCCACATATTTAAAAGTCTTATAACTTTTTATTTTTGTCCTCACTGGCCTCCAAGTTTTTTAGTTTTCTAGGATGATGCAATGTCCAGCCATCAACACATTTGTGAAGGAATTTTTACTCCCCAAAAGAGCGCCCCCCCATGGCAGGAGAAAAAAGTCCATTTTTTCTTGTCCCCTAAGGTGAAAATACATATTGTTGAGATTCACGCCTATACGCTTTGTCATATTGACACAAAATTTGACAATCACGTGCCTTGCCTGGTATCATTTTTTCAGCACAACCTCACCTGTGCGAATTTACAGTTATTTTATCATGTTGACATACTGAATTTACACAATGGACCCAAATTCACACACAAAACATAAAATCCGAGTGGAAAAAAGTAACATTTTTACTGTGAAAACCACAAATATGTGTGATGAACTGTTTTTAAAACTTAAACTTCAAATAAAAATTGTAAACTTCAAAACATATGCAAATTTTTAACAAAGAACATAGTGATTTACCTCTATTTACATCAAAATGCAGGCAATGGCCCAGGCGTTCTTTGTAAAATTATTTACAAAACACTGTATAGTCTCACAAATGTCACTTTTTATTTATGCCACTACAAAAAAACATGATGTAAATGATGCATGATGTAAAACATGATGTAAAAAACTTGTGTAGATCCTCCTCTATGTCAGTCCATGTGTAATTTTTCCATAATTCTTTGTTTTTTGCAGCATTTTTGTTAGTGTAACTGCAGATTGTGCTGACAGTGTCTATGGCACAAAAAAAAAAAAATTTAAAATGCCTCAACATGAACCCCTGGTGGTCTCTGAGGGTGAAACCTGCTAACGGCTGCAGCTCTGTCAGCTTCAGTCTCCCATGCAGAGCTCTGAGCGCATGTGTGGCTCTGCACCCTTAGCAGCGTTGCTAACTCCTCAGTAAGGAAAGCCTGCTTCATGTCAGAGTCTCTAAACTCCAGAAGAAGTCGATAAAAGTCCCTTTCTTTCTAAAAAAAAGTCGTTAGGGGGTCTGAAAAGTCATTGAATCTAACAACAAAGTCGCTAGGTTTGCAACTACGTGTCCCAGACTGCATCCCTGCTGAGAGTCCCTCCCTCCCTTCTCATGTTGCAGGAAGAACGTAAGCGCCCGCCCCTTGTCAATCAGTCACCATATAATTTTGGATTGGTTGTTGTGGTGAAGTTTTCCACCAATAGGAGAGATGTTGTGGTGTGTTTTTTTTTTCTTTTGGCAAGCCTTTTCCGCCTGTAAGACCTGTCGCTAATGTCTGCATGCTATGTTTTCCTGTCTCATACAGCGCGATCGAGCGCCGAACGTGATCAAAATAAGCAGAAAAAAAGTATCGCGGACATAATTTATCATAACTCTGGTTTTATTTGGCCTATCAACACAATTTAAAAACTGGTATATAGGTTGAGGTCCTCACTTTTGAGATAAGTTGAAACGGAGAGTCAACGAGGCTCCGTCTTGCAGCTACATCCGATTAAATATGTCATGTGACTTGAACGCACACACAGACACACACACACGCACACACACACACACACACACACACACACACACTCAGAGTCTGGTTTTTAGCACCTGCAAAAACATGCTATTTACATATTTGACAAGAATGCAGAGGCTCCTTTTGCCCCTGAAAAAAATCAAATTTCAAACACAACTTGACTGGTCATTTCTCCAAAAGACAACCATGAAGCTCCATCCAAACCTGAAGCAGGCAGTTGGTGCATGTGTACAGTAACCTGAGGGGAGTGAGGTGAGTGCTTCTGAGGAGAACATGAGCAGTGAAGATTCACCTTGGAGCTAGAACAGAGACATGCACATGATTATACAGGGGCAGGGGCTCAAGTTTTTTCCAGTCGTTTATACAATATGGAAATTAATGTGAAATTAAAACACAAAGTATTAATAGAAAGGTAATGACTGTCCTGTGTAGGTGACAGTGATATCCAATAGGCTAGGCACTCACGAGGCTGGCTGTGGCAAGTGTAAGTGAAAGCAACACGCACTGGCAGGAAGAACAGCAAACGCCGATGAAGGAAAAGGGTCTTTGCAGTGATGGGCGTTACCAGAGAGGGCGATGGCCAGAGGACACAAATGGGACGGGGAGGCAGCATGTTGGGGGGTGGGGGGGTGGGGGGGGGGGGGGGACGCGACACGGCTCGGGCCCGCCAGTGCCCCAACGGGGTCCTAGTTATTATTATTATTTTTCCTCCGCTTTAAACTGGAAAATGGCCCACTTCCCACTGGCGAAAACTCAGGAAATTTGGCAGGACGACCGGGCCTGGTGAAAAATTCGATATTCTGAAGTCGCCCAAACAATAAAATACAAAATGGCTCCATAGCGCCCCCTAAGGTGAAAATTCACACTATTGACTGTCACGTCTGTACGCTTTGTCATATTGACACAAAAATTGACACACACATGTATCTCAATAAGATCTACAAAAAAGTCAGTGCGGGCGTATCTGTCAAATGTACGGTTAAAGGGTTATTTCGCATTTTTTGCAGATCCGCACACATTGGAATTTCGCTAACTCCTCCGAAGGCTTTCGGTCCACCGGCACCACATTTGCTCAGGCCAATCTACACTCCATGGCCATTCAAAGTTGTACAAATCATGATGCTGCACCCCATGGTTTAGGTTCTAGGGGGCGCCAAAAATAACCCTAAAATCCACATTCTTAAAAGTTTTATAACTTTTTATTTTTGCCCTCACTGGCCTCCAAGTTTTCTAGGATGATGCAATGTCCAGCCATCAACACATTTGTGAAGGAATTTTTACTCCCCAAAAGAGCGCCCCCCCATGGCAGGACAAAAAAGTCAATTTTTTCTTGTCCCCTAAGGTGAAAATACACATTGTTGAATGTCACGCCTGTACGCTTTGTCATATTGACAAAAAATTTGACAATCACGTGTATCTCAATAAGATCTACGAAAAAGTCAATGCAGGCGTATCTGTCAAATGTACGGTTAAAGGGCTATTTCGCATTTTTTGCCGATTCGCACACATTGGAATGTGGCTAACTCCTCCTAAGGCTTTCGTCCCACTGACACCAAATTTGCTCAGGCCAATCTACACCCCATGGCCATTCAAAGTTGTAAAAATCATGACGCTGCACCCTATGGTCTACGTTCTAGGGGGCGCCAAAGAGGACCCAAATATCCACATTTTTAAAGTCTTATAACTTTTTATTTTTGTCCTCACTGGCCTCCAAGTTTTCTAGGATGATGCAATGTCCAGCCATCAACACATTTGTGAAGGAATTTTTTCTCCCCAAAAGAGCGCCCCCCCATGGCAGGAGAAAAAGTCAAGTTTTTCCTGCCCATCGCTCAATGGCTCAAACGCATCGCTCTCTCGGCAAAACCGAAAGGAGGAGCAACTTGCCATTTGGATATATACTAGCTGTGTTTGTGCCCTCACTCATGGTCCAGACTTTTTTCAAAAAGGACATGGAGTTTGTCTGCAGCGAGCGTTTTGGTAGAAACTGCGCCTCCCATTCATTATAATGGTAAATGACCACAGACAAGTGCGCACACCATCTTTGGACCTTGAGTGTGACGCGATCGGGAGGGGGAGGCGGTCGCGCTGGGGGCGGCGTGACACGGCTCGGGCCCGCCAGTGCCCCACCGGGGCCCTAGTCTTCTTATTATTTTTCTGCCCCTTTGAACTGGAAAATGGCCCACTTCCCACTGGTGAAAAGTCATGAAATTTGGCAGGACGACCGGGCCTGGTGAAAAATTCGATATTCTGAAGTCGCCCAAAAAATCAAATGCAAAATGGCTCCATAGCGCCCCCTAAGGTGAAAAATTCACATGATTGAGTGTCACGCCTGTACGCTTTGTCAAAATGACACAAAATTTGACACACACGTGTATCTCAATAAGATCTACAAAAAAGTCAGTGCGGGCGTATCTGTCAAATGTACGGTTAAAGGGCTATTTCGCATTTTTTGCCGATCCGCACACATTGGAATTTCGCTAACTCCTCCGAAGGCTTTCGTTCCACCGGCACCAAATTTGCTCAGGCCAATCTACACCCCATGGCCATTAAAAGTTGTACAAATCATGACGCTGCATCCCACGGTTTACGTTCTAGGGGGCGCCAAAGATAACCCAGAAATCCACATTCTTAAAAGTCGTATAACTTTTTATTTTTGTCCTCACTGGCCTCCAAGTTTTCTAGGATGATGCAATGTCTAGCCATCAACACATTTGTGAAGGAATTTTTACTCCCCAAAAGAGCGCCCCCCCATGGCAGGAGAAAAAAGTCCAGTTTTTCTTCCCCCTAAGGTGAAAATTCACATTATTGAGTGTCACGCCTGTACGCTTTGTCATATTGTAACAAACTTTGACAATCACGTGTTTCTCAATAAGATCTACGAAATAGTCAATGGGCGCGTATCTGTAAAATGTACGGTTAAAGGGCTATTTCGCATTTTTGGTCGATTCGCACACATTGGAATGTGGCTAACTCCTCCTAAATATTTCGTTCCACTGACACCAAATTTACTCAGGCCAATCTACATTCCATGGCCATTCAAAGTTGTAAAAATCATGACGCTGCACCCCACGGTTTATGTTCTAGGGGGCGCCAAAGATAACCCAAAAATCCACATTCTTAAAAGTCTTATAACTTTTTATTTTTGTCCTCACTGGCCTCCAAGTTTTCTAGGATGATGCAATGTCTAGCCATCAACACATTTGTGAAGGAATTTTTACTCCCTAAAAGAGCGCCCCCCCATGGCAGGAGAAAAAGTCAAGTTTTTCCTGCCCATCGCTCAATGACTCAAACACATCGCTCTCTCGGCAAAACCGAAAGGAGGAGCAACTTGCCATTTGGATATATCCTAGCTGTGTTTGTGCCCTCACTCATGGTCCAGTCCTTTTCAAATAGGACATGGAGTTTGTCTGCGGCGAGCGTTTTGGTAGAAACTGCGCCTCCCATTCATTATAATTGTAAATGACCACAGACAAGTGCGCACACCATCTTTGGACCTTGAGTGTGACGCGATCGGTAGGGAGAGGCGGTCGTGTTGGGGGCGGCGCGACACGGCTCGGGCCCGCCAGTGCCCCAACGGGGCCCTAGTTATTATTTTTCTGCCCCTTTGAACTGGAAAATGGCCCACTTCCCACTGGTGAAAACTCATGAAATTTGGCAGGACGACCGGGCCTGGTGAAAAATTCGATATTCTGAAGTCGCCCAAACAATCAAATTCAAAATGGCTCCATAGCGCCCCCTAAGGTGAAAAATTCACATGATTGAGTGTCACACCTGTACGCTTTGTCAAAATGACACAAAATTTGACACACACGTGTATCTCAATAAGATCTACAAAAAAGTCAGTGCGGGCGTATCTGTCAAATGTACGGTTAAAGGGCTATTTCGCATTTTTTGCCGATCCGCACACAGTGGAATTTCGCTAACTCCTCCGAAGGCTTTCGTTCCACCGGCACCACATTTGCTCAGGCCAATCTACACCCCATGGCCATTCAAAGTTGTACAAATCATGACGCTGCACCCCACGGTTTACGTTCTAGGGGGCGCCAAAGATAACCCAAAAATCCACATTCTTAAAAGTCTAATAACTTTTTATTTTTGCCCTCACTGGCCTCCAAGTTTTCTAGGATGATGCAATGACCAGCCATCAACACATTTGTGAAGGAATTTTTACTCCCCAAAAGAGCGCCCCCCCATGGCAGGAGAAAAAAGTCCATTTTTTCTTGTCCCCTAAGGTGAAAATACATATTGTTGAGTGTCACGCCTATACGCTTTGTCATATTGACATAAAATTTGACACACACGTGTATCTCAATAAGATCTACAAAAAAGTATATGCGCACGTATCTGTCAAATGTACGGTTAAAGGGCTATTTTGCATTTTTTGCGGAACCGCACACATTGGAATTTCGCTAACTCCTCCGAAGGCTTTCGTTCCACCGGCACCACATTTGCTCAGGCCAATCTACACCCCATGGCCATTAAAAGTTGTACAAATCATGACGCTGCACCCCACGGTTTACGTTCTAGGGGGCGCCAAAAATAACCCAAAAATCCACAGTCTTAAAAGTCTTATAACTTTTTATTTTTGTCCTCACTGGCCTCCAAGTTTTCTAGGATGATGCAATGTCCAGCCATCAACACATTTGTGAAGGAATTTTTACTCCCCAAAAGAGCGCCCCCCATGGCAGGAGAAAAAAGTCCATTTTTTCTTGTCCCATAAGGTGAAAATACACATTGTTGAGTGTCACGCCTGTACGCTTTGTCATATTGAAACAAAATTTGACAATCACGTGTATCTCAATAAGATCTACGAAAAAGTCAATGCGCACGTATCTGTAAAATGTACGGTTAAAGGGCTATTACGCATTTTTGATCGATTCGCACACATTGGAATGTGGCTAACCCCTCCTAAAGCTTTCGTTCCACCGGCACCACATTTGCTCAGGCCAATCTACACCCCATGGCCATTAAAAGTTGTACAAATCATGACGCTGCACCCCACGGTTTACGTTCTAGGGGGCGCCAAAGATAACCCAAATATCCACATTCTTAAAAGTCTTATAACTTTTCATTTTTGTCCTCACTGGCTTCCAAGTTTTCTAGGATGATGCAATGTCTAGCCATCAACACATTTGTGAAGGAATTTTTACTCCCCAAAAGAGCGCCCCCCCCATGGCAGGAGAAAAAGTCAAGTTTTTCCTGCCCATCGCTCAATGGCTCAAACACATGTCATGTGTTCAAACTCCTCCGAAAGGAGGAGCAACTTGCCATTTGGATATATCCTAGCTGTGTTTGTGCCCTCACTCATGGATCAGACTTTTTTCAAATAGGACATGTAGTTTGTCTGCAGCGAGTGTTTTGGTAGAAACTGCGCCTCCCATTCATTATAATGGGAAATGACCACAGACAAGTGCGCACACCATCTTTGGACCTTGAGTGTGACGCGATCGGGAGGGGGAGGCGGTCGCGCTGGGGGCGGCGCAACGCGGCTCGGGCCCGACAGTGCCCCACCGGGGCCCTAGTCTTATTATTATTATTTTTCTGCCCCTTTGAACTGGAAAATGGCCCACTTCCCACTGGTGAAAACTCATGAAATTTGGCAGGACGACCGGGCCTGGTGAAAAATTCGATATTCTGAAGTCACCCAAACAATCAAATGCAAAATGGCTCCATAGCGCCCCCTAAGGTGAAAAATTCACATGATTGAGTGTCACGCCTGTACGTTTTGTCAAAATGACACAAAATTTGACACACACGTGTATCTCAATCAGATCTACAAAAAAGTCAGTGCGGGAGAATCTGTCAAATGTACGTTTAAAGGGCTATTTCGCATTTTTTGCCGATCCGCACACATTGGAATTTCGCTAACTCCTCCGAAGGCTTTCGTTCCACCGGCACCAAATTTGCTCAGGCCAATCTACACCCCATGGCCATTCAAAGTTGTACAAATCATGACGCTGCACCCCACGGTTTACGTTGTAGGGGGCGCCAAAGATAACCCAAAAATCCACATTCTTACAAGTCTTATAACTTTTTATTTCTGTCCTCACTGGCCTCCAAGTTTTCTAGGATGATGCAATGTCCAGCCATCAACACATTTGTGAAGGAATTTTTACTCCCCAAAAGAGCGCCCCCCCATGGCAGGAGAAAAAAGGCCATTTTTTCTTGTCCTATAAGGTGAAAATACACATTGTTGAGTGTCACGCCTGTACGCTTTGTCATATTGAAACAAAATTTGATAATCACGTGTATCTCAATAAGATCTACGAAAAAGTCAATGCGCACGTGTCTGCAAAATGTACGGTTAAAGGGCTATTTCGCATTTTTGGTTGATTCGCACACATTGGAATGTGGCTAACTCCTCCTAAAGCTTTCGTTCCACCGGCACCAAATTTGCTCAGGCCAATCTACACCCCATGGCCATTCAAAGTTGTACAAATCATGACGCTGCACCCCACGGTTTACGTTGTAGGGGGCGCCAAAGATAACCCAAAAATCCACATTCTTACAAGTCTTATAACTTTTTATTTCTGTCCTCACTGGCCTCCAAGTTTTCTAGGATGATGCAATGTCCAGCCATCAACACATTTGTGAAGGAATTTTTACTCCCCAAAAGAGCGCCCCCCCATGGCAGGAGAAAAAAGGCCATTTTTTCTTGTCCTATAAGGTGAAAATACACATTGTTGAGTGTCACGCCTGTACGCTTTGTCATATTGAAACAAAATTTGATAATCACGTGTATCTCAATAAGATCTACGAAAAAGTCAATGCGCACGTGTCTGCAAAATGTACGGTTAAAGGGCTATTTCGCATTTTTGGTTGATTCGCACACATTGGAATGTGGCTAACTCCTCCTAAAGCTTTCGTTCCACCGGCACCAAATTTGCTCAGGCCAATCTACACCCCATGGCCATTCAAAGTTGTACAAATCATGACGCTGCACCCCACGGTTTACGTTGTAGGGGGCGCCAAAGATAACCCAAAAATCCACATTCTTACAAGTCTTATAACTTTTTATTTCTGTCCTCACTGGCCTCCAAGTTTTCTAGGATGATGCAATGTCCAGCCATCAACACATTTGTGAAGGAATTTTTACTCCCCAAAAGAGCGCCCCCCCATGGCAGGAGAAAAAAGGCCATTTTTTCTTGTCCTATAAGGTGAAAATACACATTGTTGAGTGTCACGCCTGTACGCTTTGTCATATTGAAACAAAATTTGATAAACACGTGTATCTCAATAAGATCTACGAAAAAGTCAATGCGCACGTGTCTGCAAAATGTACGGTTAAAGGGCTATTTCGCATTTTTGGTTGATTCGCTCACATTGGAATGTGGCTAACTCCTCCTAAAGCTTTCGTTCCACCGGCACCAAATTTGCTCAGGCCAATCTACACCCCATGGCCATTCAAAGTTGTACAAATCATGATGCTGCACCCCACGGTTTACGTTCTAGGGGTCGCCAAAGATAACCCAAAAATCCACATTCTTAAAAGTCTTATAACTTTTCATTTTTGTCCTCACTGGCTTCAAAGTTTTCTAGGATGATGCAATGTCTAGCCATCAACACATTTGTGAAGGAATTTTTCTCCCTAAAAGAGTGCCCCCCCATGGCAGGAGAAAAAGTCAAGTTTTTCCTGCCCATCGCTCAATGGCTCAAACACATCGCTCTCTCGGAAAAAAACGAAAGGAGGAGGAACTTGCCATTTGGATATATCCTAGCTGTGTTTGTGCCCTCACTCATGGTCCAGACTTTTTTCAAATAGGACATGTAGTTTGTCTGCAGCAAGCGTTTTGGTAGAAACTGCGCCTCCCATTCATTATAATGGTAAATGACCACAGACAAGTGCGCACACCATCGTTGAACCTTGAGTGTGACGCGATCGGGAGGGAGAGGCGGTCGTGTTGGGGGCGGCGTGACACAGCTCGGGCCCGCCAGTGCCCCAACGGGGCCCTAGTTATTTTTCCTCCCCTTTGAACTGGAAAATGGCCCACTTCCCACCCGCGAAAACTCATGAAATTTGGCAGGACGACCGGGCCTGGTGAAAAATTTGATATTCCGAAGTCGCCCAAACAAGAAAATGCAAAATGGCTCCATAGCGCCCCCTAAGGTGAAAATTCACACTATTGACTGTCACGCCTGTACGCTTTGTCAAAATGACACAAAAATTGACACACACATGTATCTCAGTAAGATCTACAAAAAAGTCAGTGCGGGCGTATCTGTCAAATGTACGGTTAAAGGGTTATTTCGCATTTTTTGCCGATCCGCACACATTGGAATTTCGCTAACTCCTCCGAAGGCTTTCGTTCCACCAGCACCACATTTGCTCAGGCCAATCTACACCCCATGGCCATTAAAAGTTATTCAAATCATGACGCTGCACCCCAAGGTTTAGGTTCTAGGGGGCGCCAAAGATAACCCTAAGATCCACATATTTAAAAGTCTTATAACTTTTTATTTTTGCCCTCACTGGCCTCCAAGTTTTCTAGGATGATGCAATGTCCAGCCATCAACACATTTGTGAAGGAATTTTTACTCCCCAAAAGAGCGCCCCCCCATGGCAGGAGAAAAAAGTCCATTTTTTCTTGTCCCCTAAGGTGAAAATACACATTGTTGAGTGTAACACCTGTACGCTTTGGCAAAATGACACAAAAATTGACACACACATGTATCTCAATAAGATCTACGAAAAAGTCAATGCGCGCGTATCTGTCAAATGTACGGTTAAAGGGTTATTCCGCATTTTTTGCCGATCCGCACACATTGGAATTTCGCTAACTCCTCCGAAGGCTTTCGTTCCACCGGCACCACATTTGCTCAGGCCAATCTACACCCCATGGCCATTAAAAGTTATTCAAATCATGACGCTGCATCCCACGGTTTAGGTTCTAGGGGGCGCCAAAGATAACCCTAAAATCCACATATTTAAAAGTCTTATAACTTTTTATTTTTGTCCTCACTGGCCTCCAAGTTTTCTAGGATGATGCAATGTCCAGCCATCAACACATTTGTGAAGGAATTTTTACTCCCCAAAAGAGCGCCCCCCCATGGCAGGAGAAAAAAGTCAATTTTTTCTTGTCCCCTAAGGTGGAAATTCACACTATTGACTGTCACGCCTGTACGCTTTATCATATTGACACAAAAATTGACACACATATGTATCTCAATAAGATCTACAAAAAAGTCAATGCGCGTGTATCTGTCAAATGTACGGTTAAAGGGCTATTTTGCATTTTTTGCCGATTCGCACACATTGGAATGTGGCTAACTCCTCCTAAGGCTTTCGTCCCACTGACACCAAATTTGCTCAGGCCAATCTACACCCCATGGCCATTCAAAGTTGTAAAAATCATGACGATGCACCCCACGGTTTACGTTCTAGGGGGCGCCAAAAATGACCCAAAAATCCACATTCTTAAAAGAATCCACATCCCCCCCCCTATGGCAGGAGAAAAAGTCAAGTTTTTCCTGCCCATCGCTCAATGGCTCAATCGCATCGCTCTCCAGGCAACACCGTAAGGAGGAGCAACCTGGCATTTCGATATATCATAGCTGTGTTTGTGCCCTCACTCATGGTCCAGACTTTTTTCAAATAGGACATGAAGTTTGTCTGCAGCGAGTGTTTTGGTAGAAACTGCGCCTCCCATTCATTATAATGGGAAATGACCACAGACAAGTGCGCACACCATCTTTGGTTCTTGAGTGTGACTCGATCGGGACGGGGAGGCGGTCGCACTGGGGGCGGCGCGACGCGGCTCGGGCCCGACAGTGCCCCACCGGGGCCCTAGTTAGGGCCCGAGCCAGCTGCAGAGCAGCCGGGCGTAGGCCCCATTATTCCCCAAGTGGTTTTTCTTTGTTTCTTTCTTTAGGGCCCGAGCGTAGCTGCTAAGCAGCTGCGAGAGCCCTCTTGTTCCTGCATGTTTCCTTCTTTCGTTATTATTTTTCCTCCGCTTTAAACTGGAAAATGGCCCACTTCCCACTGGCGAAAACTCAGGAAATTTGGCAGGACGACCGGGCCTGGTGAAAAATTCGATATTCTGAAGTCGCCCAAACAATAAAATGCAAAATGGCTCCATAGCGCCCCCCAAGGTGAAAATTCACATGACGGCTGTACGCTTTGTCATATTGACACAAAAATTGACACACACGTGTATCTCAATAAGATCTACAAAAAAGTCAGTGCGGGCGTATCTGTCAAATGTACGGTTAAAGGGTTCTTCCGCATTTTTTGCCGATCCACACACATTGGAATTTCGCTAACTCCTCCGAAGGCTTTCGTTCCACTGGCACCACATTTGCTCAGGCCAATCTACCCCCCATGGCCATTAAAAGTTGTACAAATCATGACGCTGCACCCCACGGTTTACGTTCTAGGGGGCGCCAAAGATAACCCAAAAATCCACATTCTTAAAAGTCTTATAACTTTTTACTTTTGTCCTCACTGGCCTCCAAGTTTTCTAGGATGATGCAATGTCCAGCCATCAACACATTTGTGAAGGAATTTTTACTCCACAAAAGAGCGCCCCCCAATGGCAGGAGAAAAAGGTCAATTTTTTCTTGTCTCCTAAGGTGAAAATACATATTGTCGAGTGTCACGCCTGTATGCTTTGTCATATTGACACAAAATTTGACAATCACGTGTATCTCAATAAGATCTACGAAAAAGTCAAAGGGCATGTATCTGTCAAATGTACGGTTAAAGGGCTATTTTGCATTTTTTGCCGATCCGCACACATTGGAATTTCGCTAACTCCTCCGAAGGCTATCTTTCCACCGGCACCAAATTTGCTCAGGCCAATCTACACCCCATGGCCATTAAAAGTTGTACAAATCATCTTGCTGCACCCCACGGTTTGGGTTCTAGGGGGCACCAAATATAACCCAAAAATCCACATTCTTAAAAGTCTTATAACTTTTTATCTTTTTCCATACTGGCCTCCAAGTTTTTTAGGATGATGCAATGTCCAGCCATCAACACATTTGTGAAGAAATTTTTACTCCCCAAAAGAGCGCCCCCCCCATGGCAGGAGAAAAAAGTCCATTTTTTCTTGTCCCGAAAGGTGAAAATACACGTTGTTGAGTGTCACGCCTTTACGCTTTGTCATATTGACAAAAAAATTGACAATCACGTGTATCTCAATAAGATCTATGAAAAAGTCAATGGGCACGTAAGTGTAAAATGTACAGTTAAAGGGCTATTTTGCATTTTTTGGCGATTCGCACACATTGGAATTTCGCTAACTCCTCCGAAGGCTTTCGTCCCACTGACACCAAATTTGCTCAGGCCAATCTACACTCCATGGCCATTCAAAGTTGTAAAAATCATGACGCTGCACCCCACGGTTTACGTTTTAGGGGGCGCCAAAGATGACCCAAATATACATTACAGTAGACAAAGTAGTTTTGCCCACTGAGTGGCGCCAAAGGGACTTGTCTGTGGAGTCTGTGAGTCACTATTGGCCGTTTTTGACTACTTTAGATTTTACCTTTATATTTCCTCTTACAAAATTTTTACCTTGCCTTGCCTGGTATCATTTTTTTCAGCACAACCTCACCTGTGTCAATTTACAGTTATTTTATCATTTTGACAAACTATATTTACACATTGGACCCAAATTCACACACAAAACATAAAATCCGAGTGGAAAAAAGTAACGTTTTTACTGTGAAAACCACAAATATGTGTGATGAACTGTTTTTAAAACTTAAACTTCAAATAAAAATTGTAAACTTCAAAACATATGCAAATTTTTAACAAAGAACATAGTAATTTACCTCTATTTACATCAAAATGCAGGCAATGGCCCAGGCGTTCTTTGTAAAATTATTTACAAAACACTGTATAGTCTCACAAATGTCACTTTTTATTTATGCCACTACAAAAAAACATGATGTAAATGATGCATGATGTAAAACATGATGTAAAAAACTTGTGTAGATCCTCCTCTATGTCAGTCCATGTGTAATTTTTCCATAATTCTTTGTTTTTTGCAGCATTTTTGTTAGTGTAACTGCAGATTGTGCTGACAGTGTCTATGGCAAAAAAAAAAAAAAACTGAAAATGCCTCAACATGAACCCCTGGTGGTCTCTGAGGGTGATACCTGCTAACTGCTGCAGCTCTGTCAGCTTCAGTCTCCCATGCAGAGCTCGGAGCGCATGTGTGGCTCTGCACCCTTAGCAGCGTTGCTAACTCCTCAGTAAGGAAAGCCTGCTTCATGTCAGAGTCTCTAAACTCCAGAACTCCAGAAGAAGTCGATAAAAGTCCCTTTCTTTCTAAAAAAAAAGTCATTAGGGGGTCTGAAAAGTCATTGAATCTAACAACAAAGTCGCTAGGTTTGCAACTACGTGTCCCAGACTGCATCCCTGCTGAGAGTCCCTCCCTCCCTTCTCAAGTTGCAGGAAGAACGCGAGCGCCCGCCCCTTGTCAATCAGTCACCATATAATTTTGGATTGGTTGTTGTGGTGAAGTTTTCCAACAATAGGAGAGATGTTGTGGTGTGTTTTTTTTCTTTTCTTTTGGCAAGTCTTTTCCGCCTGTAAGAGCTGTCGCTAATGTCTGCATGCTATGTTTTCCTGTCTCATAGAGCGCGATCGAGCGCCGAACGTGATCAAAATAAGTAGAAAAAAAGTATCGCAGACATAATTTATCATAACTCTGGTTTTATCTGGCCTATCAACACAATTTAAAAACTGGTATATAGTTTGAGGTCCTCACTTTTAAGATAGGTTGAAACGGAGAATCAACGAGGCTCCGTCTTGCTGCTACATCCGGTTAAATATGTCATGTGACTTGAACGCTGGGGAACGTCAATCGACTGCAGAGCCAGCAGACAAAGTAGTTATGGCCACTGAGAGGCACACATTTGTCATATGCTATAATCCTAACATATTTAAATGCTTTTTCTATTTAAACCTAATGGATCTAAGCTTTGACCTTCAAAATTTAGGAAGAATATGTTTTTGCAGTAATGACCCCCTTAAACAACCAGAGGTCCTTTCCTAAAGTTTATGGAAATTTTAGTGAAGGCCTTGGTTTCTTTCCTTGCAAAATGTATAGAAATAATAAAGCTAAATACCATAAAATGGTCTTGGCGTATTAGCAGTGATATAAAATAGTGGTTTGAATATGAATGAACAACAAAAAAAAAACATCAACAGAGCCTTTTTGAGTTGGGATTCTTTCATTATCACACAAAAACAGACATAGACAGACATCTAAAGGGTAAGGGAATGATCAGCCCTCCTAACTCTCAGATGAATCTTCAAAATTCACCTCAGAAATATGCTTATTATTCTTCTCAGAGTACTGCAGGACACACACACACACACACACACACACACACTCAGACTCTCAAGAATACAGAGGCTCCTTTTGCCCCTGAAAAAAATCAAATTTCAAACACAACTTGACTGCTCATTTCTCCAAAAGACAACCATGAAGCTCCATCCAAACCTGAATCAGGCAGTTGGTGCATGTGTACAGTAACCTGAGGGGAGTGAGGTGACTGCTTCTGAGGAGAACATGAGCAGTGAAGATTCACCTTGGAGCTAGAACAGGGACGTGCACATGATTATACAGGGGCAGGGGCTCAAGTTTTTTCCAGTCATTTATACAATATGGAAATTAATGTGAAATTAAAAACAAAGTATTAATAGAAAGGTAATGACTGTCCTGTGTAGGTGACAGTGGTATCCAATAGGCTAGGCACTCACGAGGCTGGCTGTGGCAAGTGTAAGTGAAAGCAACACGCACTGGCAGGAAGAACAGCAAACACCGATGAAGGAAAAGGGTCTTTGCAGTGATGGGCGTTACCAGAGAGGGCGACAACCAGAGGACGCAAATGGGACGGGAAGGCGGTCTCGCTGGGGGCGGCACGACACGGCTCGGGCCCGCCAGTGCCCCAACGGGGCCCTAGTTCTTTCTTTCTTTCTTCTTTTTCCTCCCCTTTGAACTGGAAAATGGCCCACTTCCCACTGGCGAAAACTCATGAAATTTGGCAGGACGACCGGGCCTGGTGAAAAATTCGATATTCTGAAGTCGCCCAAACAATAAAATGCAAAATGGCTCCATAGCGCCCCCTAAGGTGGAAATTCACACTATTGACTGTCACGCCTGTACGCTTTGTCATATTGACACAAAAATTGACACACATATGTATCTCAATAAGATCTACAAAAAAGTCAGTGCGGCCGTATCTGTCAAAATTACGGTTAAAGGGTTATTTCGCATTTTTTGCCGATCCGCACACATTGGAATTTCGCTAACTCCTCCGAAGGCTTTCGTTCCACCGGCACCACATTTGCTCAGGCCAATCTACACCCCGTGGCCATTAAAAGTTATCAAAATCATGACGCTGCACCCCAAGGTTTAGGTTCTAGGGGGCGCCAAAGATAACACTAAAATCCACATATTTAAAAGTCTTATAACTTTTTATTTTTGTCCTCACTGGCCTCCAAGTTTTCTAAGATGATGCAATGTCCAGCCATCAACACATTTGTGAAGGAATTTTTACTCCCCAAAAGAGCGCCCCCCCATGGCAGGAGAAAAAAGTCAATTTTTTCTTGTCCCCTAAGGTGAAAATACACATTGTTGAGTGTAACACCTGTACGCTTTGGCAAAATGACACAAAAATTGACACACACATGTATCTCAATAAGATCTACGAAAAAGTCAATGCGCGCGTATCTGTCAAATGTACGGTTAAAGGGTTATTCCGCATTTTTTGCCGATCCGCACACATTGGAATTTCGCTAACTCCTCCGAAGGCTTTCGTTCCACCGGCACCACATTTGCTCAGGCCAATCTACACCCCATGGCCATTAAAAGTTATTCAAATCATGACGCTGCATCCCACGGTTTAGGTTCTAGGGGGCGCCAAAGATAACCCTAAAATCCACATTTTTAAAAGTCTTATAACTTTTTATTTTTGTCCTCACTGGCCTCCAAGTTTTCTAGGATGATGCAATGTCCAGCCATCAACACATTTGTGAAGGAATTTTTACTCCCCAAAAGAGCGCCCCCCCATGGCAGGAGAAAAAAGTCAATTTTTTCTTGTCCCCTAAGGTGGAAATTCACACTATTGACTGTCACGCCTGTACGCTTAATCATATTGACACAAAAATTGACACACATATGTATCTCAATAAGATCTACAAAAAAGTCAATTCGCGCGTATCTGTCAAATGTACGGTTAAAGGGCTATTTTTCATTTTTTGCCGATTCGCACACATTGGAATTTCGCTAACTCCTCCTAAGGCTTTCGTCCCACTGACACCAAATTTGCTCAGGCCAATCTACACCCCATGGCCATTCAAAGTTGTAAAAATCATGACGCTGCACCCCACGGTTTACGTTCTAGGGGGCGCCAAAGAGGACCCAAAAATCCACATTCTTAAAAGAATCCACATCCCCCCCCCATGGCAGGAGAAAAAGTCAAGTTTTTCCTGCCCATCGCTCAATGGCTCAATCGCATCGCTCTCCAGGCAACACCGTAAGGAGGAGCAACCTGGCATTTCGATATATCATAGCTGTGTTTGTGCCCTCACTCATGGTCCAGACTTTTTTCAAATAGGACATGAAGTTTGTCTGCAGCGAGTGTTTTGGTAGAAACTGCGCCTCCCATTCATTATAATGGGAAATGACCACAGACAAGTGCGCACACCATCTTTGGTTCTTGAGTGTGACTCGATCGGGACGGGGAGGCGGTCGCACTGGGGGCGGCGCGACGCGGCTCGGGCCCGACAGTGCCCCACCGGGGCCCTAGTTAGGGCCCGAGCGTAGCTGCTAAGCAGCTGCGAGAGCCCTATTATTCCCCAAGTGGTTTTTCTTTGTTTCTTTTTTCTTTTTCCTCCCCTTTGAACTGGAAAATGGCCCACTTCCCACTGGCGAAAACTCATGAAATTTGGCAGGACGACCGGGCCTGGTGAAAAATTTGATATTCTGAAGTCGCCCAAACAATACAATGCAAAATGGCTCCATAGCGCCCCCTAAGGTGAAAAATTCACCTGACGCCTGTACGCTTTGTCAAAATGACACAAAAATTGACACACACATGTATCTCAATAAGATCTACAAAAAAGTCAGTGCGGGCGTATCTGTCAAATGTACGGTTAAAGGGTTATTGCGCATTTTTTGCCGATCCGCACACATTGGAATTTCGCTAACTCCTCCGAAGGCTTTCGTTCCACCGGCACCACATTTGCTCAGGCCAATCTACACCCCATGGCCATTAAAAGTTATTCAAATCATGACGCTGCACCCCACGGTTTAGGTTCTAGGGGGCGCCAAAGATAACCCTAAAATCCACATATTTAAAAGTCTTATAACTTTTTATTTTTGTCCTCACTGGCCTCCAAGTTTTCTAGGATGATGCAATGTCCAGCCATCAACACATTTGTGAAGGAATTTTTACTCCCCAAAAGAGCGCCCCCCCATGGCAGGAGAAAAAAGTCCATTTTTTCTTGTCCCCTAAGGTGAAAATACACATTGTTGAGTGTTACGCCTGTACGCTTTGGCAAAATGACACAAAAATTGACACACACATGTATCTCAAGAAGATCTACAAAAAAGTCAATGCGCGCGTATCTGTCTAATGTACGGTTAAAGGGTTATTCCGCATTTTTTGCCGATTCGCACACATTGGAATTTCGCTAACTCCTCCGAAGGCTTTCGTTCCACCGGCACCACATTTGCTCAGGCCAAATTACACCCCATGGCCATTAAAAGTTATTCAAATCATGACGCTGCACCCCACGGTTTACGTTCTAGGGGGCGCCAAAGATAACCCAAAAATCCACATTTTTAAAAGTCTTTTAACTTTTTATTTTTTGTCCTCACTGGCCTCCAAGTTTTCTAGGATGATGCAATGTCCAGCCATCAACACATTTGTGAAGGAATTTTTACTCCCTAAAAGAGCGCCCCCCCATGGCAGGAGAAAAAAGTCCATTTTTTCTTGTCCCCTAAGGTGAAAATACACATTGTTGACTGTCACGCCTGTACGCTTTGGCAAAATGACACAAAAATTGACAATCATGTGTATCTCAATTAGATCTACGAAAAAGTCAAAGAGCGCGTATCTGTATAATGTACGGTAAAAGGGCTATTTTGCATTTTTTGCCAATTCGCACACATTGGAATTTCGCTAACTCCTCCTAAGGCCTTCGTCCCACTGACACCAAATTTGCTCAGGCCAATCTACACTCCATGGCCATTCAAAGTTGTAAAAATCATGATGCTGCACCCCACGGTTTACGTTTTAGGGGGCGCCAAAGATGACCCAAATATACATTACAGTAGACAAAGTAGTTTTGCCCACTGAGTGGCGCCAAAGGGACTTGTCTGTGGAGTCTGTGAGTCACTATTGGCCGTTTTTGACTACTTTAGATTTTACCTTTATATTTCCTCTTACAAAATTTTTACCTTGCCTTGCCTGGTATCATTTTTTTTCAGCACAACCTCACCTGTGTCAATTTACAGTTATTTTATCATTTTGACATACTATATTTACACATTGGACCCAAATTCACACACAAAACATAAAATCCGAGTGGAAAAAAGTAACGTTTTTACTGTGAAAACCACAAATATGTGTGATGAACTGTTTTTAAAACTTAAACTTCAAATAAAAATTGTAAACTTCAAAACATATGCAAATTTTTAACAAAGAACATAGTAATTTACCTCTATTGACATCAAAATGCAGGCAATGGCCCAGGTGTTCTTTGTAAAATTATTTACAAAACACTGTATAGTCTCACAAATGTCACTTTTTATTTATGCCACTACAAAAAAACATGATGTAAATGATGCATGATGTAAAACATGATGTAAAAAACTTGTGTAGATCCTCCTCTATGTTAGTCCATGTGTAATTTTTCCATAATTCTTTGTTTTTTGCAGCATTTTTGTTAGTGTAACTGCAGATTGTGCTGACAGTGTCTATGGCAAAAAAAAAAAAAAAAAAACTGAAAATGCCTCAACATGAACCCCTGGTGGTCTCTGAGGGTGAAACCTGCTAACTGCTGCAGCTCTGTCAGCTTCAGTCTCCCATGCAGAGCTCGGAGCGCATGTGTGGCTCTGCACCCTTAGCAGTGTTGCTAACTCCTCAGTAAGGAAAGCCTGCTTCATGTCAGAGTCTCTAAACTCCAGAAGAAGTCGATAAAAGTCACTTTCTTTCTAAAAAAAAGTCGTTAGGGGGTCTGAAAAGTCATTGAATCTAACAACAAAGTCGCTAGGTTTGCAACTACGTGTCCCAGACTGCATCCCTGCTGAGAGTCCCTCCCTCCCTTCTCATATTGCAGGAAGAACGTAAGTTCCCGCCCCTTGTCAATCAGTCACCATATAATTTTGGATTGGTTGTTGTGGTGAAGTTTTCCACCAATAGGAGAGATGTTGTGGTGTGTTTTTTTTTTCCTTTGGCAAGCCTTTTCCGCCTGTAAGACCTGTCGCTAATGTCTGCATGCTATGTTTTCCTGTCTCATACAGCGCGATCGAGCGCCGAACGTGATCAAAATAAGCAGAAAACAAGTATCGCGGACATAATTTATCATAACTCTGGTTTTATTTGGCCTATCAACACAATTTAAAAACTGGTATATAGGTTGAGGTCCTCACTTTTGAGATAAATTGAAACGGAGAGTCAACGAGGCTCCGTCTTGCAGCTACATCCGGTTAAATATGTCATGTGACTTGAACGCACACACACACACACACACACACAGACACACACACACACGCACACACTCAGAGTCTGGTTTTTAGCACCTGCAAAAACATGCTATTTACATATTTGACAAGAATGCAGAGGCTCCTTTTGCCCCTGAAAAAAATCAAATTTCAAACACAACTTGACTGGTCATTTCTCCAAAAGACAACCATGAAGCTCCATCCAAACCTGAAGCAGGCAGTTGGTGCATGTGTACAGTAACCTGAGGGGAGTGAGGTGACTGCTTCTGAGGAGAACATGAGCAGTGAAGATTCACCTTGGAGCTAGAACAGAGACGTGCACATGATTATACAGGGGCAGGGGCTCAAGTTTTTTCCAGTTGTTTATACAATATGGAAATTAATGTGAAATTAAAAAACAAAGTATTAATAGAAAGGTAATGACTGTCCTGTTTAGGTGACAGTGATATCCAATAGGCTAGGCACTCACGAGGCTGGCTGTGGCAAGTGTAAGTGAAAGCAACACGCACTGGCAGGAAGAACAGCAAACGCCGATGAAGGAAAAGGGTCTTTGCAGTGATGGGCGTTACCAGAGAGGGCGACGGCCAGAGGACGCGAATGGGACGGGGAGGCAGCGCGTTGGGGGGGGGGACGCGACACAGCTCGGGCCCGCCAGTGCCCCAACGGGGTCCTAGTTCTTCTTTTTCCTCCCCTTTGAACTGGAAAATGGCCCACTTCCCACTGGCGAAAACTCATGAAATTTGGCAGGACGACCGGGCCTGGTGAAAAATTCGATATTCTGAAGTCACCCAAACAATAAAATGCAAAATGGCTCCATAGCGCCCCCTAAGGTGGAAATTCACACTATTGACTGTCACGCCTGTACGCTTTGTCATATTGACACAAAAATTGACACACATATGTATCTCAATAAGATCTACAAAAAAGTCAGTGCGGCCGTATCTGTCAAAATTACGGTTAAAGGGTTATTTCGCATTTTTTGCCGATCCGCACACATTGGAATTTCGCTAACTCCTCCGAAGGCTTTCGTTCCACCGGCACCACATTTGCTCAGGCCAATCTACACCCCGTGGCCATTAAAAGTTATCAAAATCATGACGCTGCACCCCAAGGTTTAGGTTCTAGGGGGCGCCAAAGATAACCCTAAAATCCACATATTTAAAAGTCTTATAACTTTTTATTTTTGTCCTCACTGGCCTCCAAGTTTTCTAGGATGATGCAATGTCCAGCCATCAACACATTTGTGAAGGAATTTTTACTCCCCAAAAGAGCGGCCCCCCCATGGCAGGAGAAAAAAGTCAATTTTTTCTTGTCCCCTAAGGTGAAAATACACATTGTTGAGTGTCACGCCTATACGCTTTGTCAAAATGACACAAAAATTGACACACACATGTAACTCAATAAGATCTACGAAAAAGTCAATGCGCGCGTATCTGTCAAATGTACGGTTAAAGGGTTATTCCGCATTTTTTGCCGATCCGCACACATTGGAATGTGGCTAACTCCTCCTAAGGCTTTCGTTCCACCGGCACCACATTTGCTCAGGCCAATCAACACCCCATGGCCATTAAAAGTTATTCAAATCATGACGCTGCACCCCACGGTTTAGGTTCTAGGGGGCGCCAAAGATAACCCTAAAATCCACATATTTAAAAGTCTTATAACTTTTTATTTTTGTCCTCACTGGCCTCCAAGTTTTCTAGGATGATGCAATGTCCAGCCATCAACACATTTGTGAAGGAATTTTTACTCCCCAAAAGAGCGCCCCCCCATGGCAGGAGAAAAAAGTCAATTTTTTCTTGTCCCCTAAGGTGAAAATACATATTGTTGAGATTCACGCCTATACGCTTTGTCATATTGACACAAAATTTGACAATCACGTGCCTTGCCTGGTATCATTTTTTTTCAGCACAACCTCACCTGTGCGAATTTACATTTATTTTATCATGTTGACATACTGAATTTACACAATGGACCCAAATTCACACACAAAACATAAAATCCGAGTGGAAAAATGTAACATTTTTACTGTGAAAACCACAAATATGTGTGATGAACTGTTTTTAAAACTTAAACTTCAAATAAAAATTGTAAACTTCAAAACATATGCAAATTTTTAACAAAGAACATAGTGATTTACCTCTATTTACATCAAAATGCAGGCAATGGCCCAGGCGTTCTTTGTAAAATTATTTACAAAACACTGTATAGTTTCACAAATGTCACTTTTTATTTATGCCACTACAAAAAAACATGATGTAAATGATGCATGATGTAAAACATGATGTAAAAAACTTGTGTAGATCCTCCTCTATGTCAGTCCATGTGTAATTTTTCCATAATTCTTTGTTTTTTGCAGCATTTTTGTTAGTGTAACTGCAGATTGTGCTGACAGTGTCTATGGCACAAAAAAAAAAAATTTAAAATGCCTCAACATGAACCACTGGTGGTCTATTAGGGTGAAACCTGCTAACTGCTGCAGCTCTGTCAGCTTCAGTCTCCCATGCAGAGCTCTGAGCGCATGTGTGGCTCTGCACCCTTAGCAGCGTTGCTAACTCCTCAGTAAGGAAAGCCTGCTTCATGTCAGAGTCTCTGAACTCCAGAAGAAGTCGATAAAAGTCCCTTTCTTTCTAAAAAAAAGTCGTTAGGGGGTCTGAAAAGTCATTGAATCTAACAACAAAGTCGCTAGGTTTGCAACTACGTGTCCCAGACTGCATCCCTGCTGAGAGTCCCTCCCTCCCTTCTCATGTTGCAGGAAGAACGTAAGCGCCCGCCCCTTGTCAATCAGTCACCATATAATTTTGGATTGGTTGTTGTGGTGAAGTTTTCCACCAATAGGAGAGATGTTGTGGTGTGTTTTTTTTTTCTTTTGGCAAGCCTTTTCCGCCTTTAAGACCTGTCGCTAATGTCTGCATGCTATGTTTTCCTGTCTCATACAGTGCGATCGAGCGCCGAACGTGATCAAAATAAGCAGAAAAAAAGTATCGCGGACATAATTTATCATAACTCTGGTTTTATTTGGCCTATCAACACAATTTAAAAACTGGTATATAGGTTGAGGTCCTCACTTTTGAGATAAGTTGAAACGGAGAGTCAACGAGGCTCCGTCTTGCAGCTACATCCGGTTAAATATGTCATGTGACTTGAACGCACACACAGACACACACACACGCACACACACACACACACACACACACACACACACACACACACACACACACACACTCAGAGTCTGGTTTTTAGCACCTGCAAAAACATGCTATTTACATATTTGACAAGAATGCAGAGGCTCCTTTTGCCCCTGAAAAAAATCAAATTTCAAACACAACTTGACTGGTCATTTCTCCAAAAGACAACCATGAAGCTCCATCCAAACCTGAAGCAGGCAGTTGGTGCATGTGTACAGTAACCTGAGGGGAGTGAGGTGAGTGCTTCTGAGGAGAACATGAGCAGTGAAGATTCACCTTGGAGCTAGAACAGAGACATGCACATGATTATACAGGGGCAGGGGCTCAAGTTTTTTCCAGTCGTTTATACAATATGGAAATTAATGTGAAATTAAAACACAAAGTATTAATAGAAAGGTAATGACTGTCCTGTGTAGGTGACAGTGATATCCAATAGGCTAGGCACTCACGAGGCTGGCTGTGGTAAGTGTAAGTGAAAGCAACACGCACTGGCAAGAAGAACAGCAAACGCCGATGAAGGAAAAGGGTCTTTGCAGTGATGGGCGTTACCAGAGAGGGCGATGGCCAGAGGACACAAATGGGACAGGGAGGCAGCACGTTGGGAGGGGGACGCGACACGGCTCGGGCCCGCCAGTGCCCCAACGGGGTCCTAGTTATTTATTTATTTCTGGACATGGTTTAAAAAATGTATATGAAAAAACACACAAAATAACAGTTAAGAATAAAATCAGTGCCTCACTTAGAAGCACATCAATCTCACTTATCACAACAAAATAAGAACAAAAACAAAACCAGAGTATCCAAATGTCCAAAAAAGGAGTAAGAAGAAGTCAAAGACTTGTCTAGTCTTACCCCTCTGTTACTGATCTCATATAACTTAACTTAAACACGATAACTAAATGTTTTTTTTATCTTTGTTTATAAATGATTCTGTCATTGAAACTAGAAGAGATAAATGGTGTTGGTTGGTGTTGAAGTAAAGCATTAGGCGAACAGCCACCACACCAAACACTTTATGAAAAGGAAAAAAGAACGAGCACGCCTCCGTGAAGAGCCTAAAAGGAGTCCAACAGAAAAAAATCCACACAAAGAAAAATGATCATTGACCCTGAGACTATGTAGTTCCTGTGCTTGATCCGTTTCCACGTCCACAGAAAACAACTCACTTCTTCTCGTTGGTGGGTGCTCAGTTCACCCCTCCACCGCTCCTCTGCTGATATATCAAAATTCTATGATAGAATCCACTGAGATAGGTCACTCGCTCTAGCCTGTTAGTCTGCTATGATGTTATATAACATTAAGGGAGAGCAGAAATGATTGAAAACAGCAACAGAAGCTAAATACTGAAGAAACTGAACTACACTGACATTTTTGAACAATTGCTGTGGGGATGGGAACCTGGTCCTGGAGACTAAACTGATAGTTGGGGAATTGATGAATAATTCTTGATGCCATTCTCAGCCCCAGTCCATTCTTTGTGAATTTGTTTGTGGTCTCTGGTCCAGGTCCAATCATCCCGGTCCTCAGACTCAGGGTTGGAAGAGTCTCCTCCACAGTCTCTTGTTGTAATCCTCATTTTCTGACTTGTTCAGGTTCTCCATCCTTCCATCAGCTCCTGTTTCTTCATCCTCCTTCTCCCCTGATTAGTTTTGATGAAGTGCTGAAGTCTTTGAATAATCCTGAGACTGAGAGAATTTTTGTTCTCAGACGCTGCAGCTAAACAGTTTTCTTTCTATCCTCCCAGTGTGAACTAACATGTGTGAGGTCAGATACGTTCAACAATTAAACCCTGTGACATACCATGTGACATTTTAGGGTACATTTATGGCAAAAAAAAATTCAACACTCAGAGCAGCTGAAAGGTTTCTCCCCTGTGTGAACTACACTGTGTCTGGTCAGATGCTGTTTTTGTGAAAATCTTTTACCGCACACAGAGCAGCTAAAAGGTTTCTCTCCTGTATGAATTGCTCTGTGTCTGATCCTACTCTGGTTCGATGAAAATTTTATCCCACACTCAGAGCAGCTGAAAGGTTTCTCTCCTGTGTGAACTACCATGTGATTGGCCAGATACACTCTCTTTGTGAATCTTTTACTACAATCAGAGCAGCTGAAAGGTTTCTCCCCAGTGTGAACAAACATGTGTACTTTTAGAGTGCGTTGAGATTTGAATCTCTGACTGCACTCAGAGCAGTTGAAAGGTTTCTCTCCTGTGTGACTTAACATGTGTCTGTTCAGTTGCCATCGACATTTAAAATTTTTCACGCACTCAGAGCAGCTGTAAGGCTTCTCCCCTGTGTGAGCAAACATGTGACTGGCCAGAGACGTTTTATGAAGATATTTTTTACCACACTCAGAGCAGCTGAAAGGTTTCTCCCTTGTGTGAGTTAACATGTGTTTGGTCAGAGAGTTTTTATCAAAATATTTTTTATCACACTCAGAGCAGCTGTAAGCTTTCTTCCCTGTGTGACTCAACATGTGTCTGTTCAGTTGCCATCGACATTTAAATTTTTTCACGCACTCAGAGCAGCTGTAAGCCTTCTCCTCTGTGTGAATAAACATGTGATTGGCCAGAGAATCTTTATCAAAATACTTTTTACCACATTTAGAGCAGCTGAAAAGTTTCTTTCTTGTGTGAACTAACATGTGTCTGTCCAGATTCCATTGACGATTGAATCTTCTACCACACTTGGAGCAGCTGAAAGGTTTCTCCCCTGTATGAACTAACGTGTGACTGGCCAGATCACTTTTTTGTGTAAATCTTTTACCACATTCAGAACAACTGAAGGGTTTCTCTTCTGTGTGAAATAACATGTGTCTGGTCAGATAGTGTTTATATGAAAATCTTTTACCACACTCAGAGCAGCTGAAAGGTTTCTCTCCTGTGTGAACTACCATGTGTATTTTCAGAGCCCGTTGACAGTTGAAGCTTTTACTGCACTCAGAGCAGCTGAAAGGTTTCTCACCTGCATGGGTTGCCATGTGTTTGACCAAATCTCTTTTTTGTGAATATCTTTTACCACATTCAGAACAACTGAAGGGTTTCTCTCCTGTGTAAACTACCATGTGTATTTTCACAGCCTCTTGAGAGTTAAATCTTCTACCAGACTCTGAGCAGCTGTGAGATTTCTTTACAGTTTTCTGTCCTCTTCTTTTCATTAATTTCCCAGAGTTTAATCCTGACTGATCCTCTCTGGTCTCCTTCCAATCATCATCATCATCAGTCTCAGAGGAGTCTTCTGACCTGTTATCACTCACAGGATTTGAGTTTCCAGCTGGTTCTGAAACTCCACAGATTTCTCCATCATCTCCTGTTTCCATCTTTTGAATTGGTTTTGGGTGAAGCTGTGGAGGCTGAGGTTTTTCTTCATCCTCTTCACTCTTCACAATGGCAGCAGTGAATGGGAACATGGTGGCCTCAGCCTCCTCAAACCCTTGAAGCTGCTCTCCCTCCTGACTGCTCCAGAGTTCCTCCTCCTTAATGTGCATGTGCTTGGTGTCCTTTTGGTTTAGATCAGGGCTCCACTCCTGGAGCTCAGGAGGTTCCTCTTTAATCACTGACAGCTGCTGGACATCTGCAGGAAACACCAAAGTACAGAAAGACACATCAAGATAAGCTTGGCATCTATGTTGGAGCCAAACTTTGGATAGAGATTCTTGCTTTTTATCATCCCACAAAATTTGTCATTGTTCCTGGCCTAGATACAGGATTTGGAGACAGATACTAAAAAACTGAAAAAACAGCTGGTTATTAAACTAGAAACAACAAAATTTAAAGACAGATTGATATTCTCTCCTGCCATCTGATAGGAGTTAGGAAAAGTCAAATAATGGTTTGATTTTCTTTTTTTTTTTAACTTCATTCATTTTTTTCATTAAAGAGAAACACAAACAATCCTTGACAACATCACAGGTTATGTTTGTCAGTGCTGAGGACATGAAAAAAGAAAACCTATAGCGCACGGAAAACCGAGTCATACAAATGAGTGAAAAATAATAGATGAATAAAGAAGTGGACAGTTAAGACATCCCAGCGTATTGTGGGGTCCCCCTCAGTTAGAGAGATATCACCTCCTCACAAAAACATCAGACCTTAACTGTAATTTAGCAGGTCAAGCCTCCATTCCATACACCCCCCTCAGTTTCTGTTTCCACGGTAGGTGGCTGTGGATTCATCCATTTTATTGTCACCATCTTCCTAGCAGTCATCATGAGTAAATGTAACAAGTGCTTTTGGTCTCTAGTGTTCACGTCTTCAGGAGTTCGATTGGAGAGAAACTGACTTGGGGTGGATAATATATTAATTCCCAGAACTTTATCTATCTCACTCTTTACCCCTTTCCAAAAAGGAAGCATCATTGGCCAATCCCAAAATTTGTGTGAGTGGTCGCCAACCGCTCCACATCCTCTCCAACAGTAAACTGCAGCTGAGTTATCGACAAGTTTAGAGACAATGGAGGGCGTCTTAAAGAACCTTGTCTTCACCTTCCAATCAAACTCCTTCACGTGATACTATTGACACCTTTATGACATCCAGTGAAGGTTCTTTCCCATCCTCAGTTATAATATTTAACTCAAGCTCTCATTTGTTTTTAATATAAAAAGTATTGTCTGGAGTATCTAGTAACAGATTTCTGTATATATGGGACACATGCTTTTTATTGGGTAATTGATGTTTAATTATATTAATGAAGTAAGTTTCTGTTTTACTAATATTCCAGTCCTTATGGTTTGTAATGTAATTCCTAATCTGAAAATACCAGAACATCATGTCATTTTGGGGTCGACAGAATTTGTCTTGGAGATATGAGAATGGCTGTACACCGGTGTCGCAGAACAACTGGTCAATAACCTTCAGATTTCTGCCTGCCCACCTCTTAAAAAAGGTGTCTGTTGTTGAGGGAGGAAATCCAGATTTCCAGTAATCTGCATAGCTGTTGAGAGGGCAGCTGTCCCTCTAATTCTCTTTTGGACTATCGTCCATACTTTGAAGGTGTGTTTTACCCTTCCATTTTTGATTTCACATTTCTTCTGGGACCGCTTGTTTAGAAACACTGAACTGTTCTTTGACTTCCTTACTCGTTCCAGACAGCAGAAAAGAAAATCAAGCTTTAGTTCATTATTTTGGTGTTTCTATTTTAAAACAAAAATAAAACAGTCCTTTTTCTATGTTTGATATCTATTTCCAACCGTGATATTCAGTCAACAAAAAAGACACAGAGCATCACTTCCAGGTCACGCAGCTTGTTCTAGTCGGATGTGGAACAATTGAATAAACTTTGTCGTTATCCGATTTTTCCATTTTGTATTTGAACACAACATATTGGGAAAACGAGTCGGTATCCTTTTTTTCTTAACCATGTTTAGGAAATAGATGAGCGTCATTTCTTGTTTTTAACGTTTGGTTTTATTTTGAAAAACCAGTGAGCGAATGATACGTGGGTTGAATTCGCGCCTTTTTTTAAATCGTGTTTGAGTTTCATCTGTTGAGCTTTAAAGTTTGAGTCTTAAGTCACTGTAATGAGCTAAAAACAGACACTAAAACTGATCAGATGAAGCTCCACCAAACACAGAACAACGATCACAACATCCAATCCAGAGTTTCAATCCGGAAGAAGAGGAAGAAGGTGAACTAACCTGCTCTCTTCAGTTTGATTTCAGGCATTAAAATCACACTCAGCAGTTTTCTTTGCCGTTGGAGCTCCTCTTCATACACAGATGTTGCTGATCGTCCTGAGAGGTCTCCGTTAGCAGCAGCGAGCAGCCGCCGGCTGAAGAAATCTTCAAGATCCTGAAACCTGGACATTTTCTACCGACCCAAGAGTCAAACAGAGACAAGACAACTGCAGATGGACGCCTTAACTCGGGTTATTCTGATCCGGGGTCTTCAGGAAACTTCCCTCGTGGTTCTTCTTCTCTTTCTTTTGTTCGTGAGGGCGGTTGGCAACCAGCTCGGAGGTGCATTACCGCCGACTACTGGGCTGGAGTGTGACTGAGCATTCGATTGGCAGACAGATTCAAGTCAAAATCAATCAATCAATCAGTCTTTATTTGTATCGCACTTTTCATACAAAAAGATGAAGCACAAAGTGTTTTACATAGTAGAGAAATAAAAGAAACAAAGAAAACCTGAATCTACCCCAACCCAACCCCTCATTCCCACCCCGCAATCTCAGCTCAATAGAAACATGTATAAAAATGCATGAACTTAAAAAGGGTTCGATTCATATAAACAGGAATGTGCGCACTGAGGAAACACCGTTTTAAAATTCAAGGTAAAGAAACACTGGAGGTTTAAAATCTAAAAACAAAGCAACATAAAATGAAATTAAGAATTATTAAATAAAATGAAATAAAAACAAGAGTAAAAGATACAACAATAATAACACCAAAATATCTTAATAAAAGATGATTCTTTATTTATTTATTTATTTATTTATGGACATGGTTAAAAAAAATGTATATGAAAAAACACACAAAACAACAGTTAAGAATAAAATCAGTGCCTCACTTAGAAGCACATCAATCTCACTTATCACAACAAAATAAGAACAAAAACAAAACCAGAGTATCCAAATGTCCAAAAAAGGAGTAAGAAGAAGTCAAAGACTTGTCTAGTCTTACCCCTCTGTTACTGATCTCATATAACTTAAACACGATAACTAAATGTTTTTTTTATCTTTGTTTATAAATGATTCTGTCATTGAAACTAGAAGAGATAAATGGTGTTGGTTGGTGTTGAAGTAAAGCATTAGGCGAACAGCCACCACACCAAACACTTTATGAAAAGGAAAAAAGGACGAGCACGCCTCCGTGAAGAGCCTAAAAGGAGTCCAACAGAAAAAAATCCACACAAAGAAAAATGATCATTGACCCTGAGACTATGTAGTGCCTGTGTTTGATCCGTTTCCACGTCCACAGACAACAACTCACTTCTTCTCGTTGGTGGGTGCTCAGTTCACCCCTCCACCGCTCCTCTGCTGATATATCAAAATTCTATGATAGAATCCTCTGAGATAGTTCACTCGCTCTAGCCTGTTAGTCTGCTATGATGTTATATAACATTAAGGGAGAGCAGAAATGATTGAAAACAGCAACAGAAGCTAAATACTGAAGAAACTGAACTACACTGACATTTTTGAACAATTGCTGTGGGGATGGTAACCTGGGCCTGAAGACTAAACTGATAGTTGGGGATTTGATGAATAATTCTTGATGCCATTCTCAGCCCCAGTCCATTCTTTGTGAATTTGTTTGTGGTCTCTGGTCCAGGTCCAATCATCCCAGTCCTCAGACTCAGGGTTGGAAGAGTCTCCTCCACAGTCTCTTGTTGTAATCCTCATTTTCTGACTTGTTCAGGTTCTCCATCCTTCCATCAGCTCCTGTTTCTTCATCCTCCTTCTCCCCTGATTAGTTTTGATGAAGCGCTGAAGTCTTTGAATAATCCTGAGACTGAGAGAATTTTTGTTCTCAGACGCTGCAGCTAAACAGTTTTCTTTCTATCCTCCCAGTGTGAACTAACATGTGTGAGGTCAGATACGTTCAACAATTAAACCCTGTGACATACCATGTGACATTTTAGGGTACATTTATGGCAAAAAAAAATTCAACACTCAGCTGAGCAGCTGAAAGGTTTCTCCCCTGTGTGAACTACACTGTGTCTGGTCAGATGCTGTTTTTGTGAAAATCTTTTACCGCACTCAGAGCAGCTAAAAGGTTTCTCTCCTGTATGAATTACTCTGTGTCTGATCCTACTCTGGTTCGATGAAAATTTTATCCCACACTCAGAGCAGCTGAAAGGTTTCTCTCCTGTGTGAACTACCATGTGATTGGCCAGATACACTCTCTTTGTGAATCTTTTACTACAATCAGAGCAGCTGAAAGGTTTCTCCCCAGTGTGAACAAACATGTGTACTTTTAGAGTGCGTTGAGATTTGAATCTCTGACTGCACTCAGAGCAGTTGAAAGGTTTCTCTCCTGTGTGATTTAACATGTGACTGGCCAGAGACGTTTTATGAAGATATTTTTTATCACACTCAGAGCAGCTGAAAGGTTTCTCCCTTGTGTGAACGAACATGTGTTTAGCCAGAGAGCTTTTATAAAGATATTTTTTATCACACTCGGAGCAGCTGAAAGGTTTCTCTCCTGTGTGAGTTAACATGTGATTGGCCAGAGAACTCATATCAAAGTATTTTTTATCACACTCAGAGCAGCTGAAAGGTTTCTCCCCTGTGTGAGTTAACATGTGTTTGGTCAGAGAGTTTTTATCAAAATATTTTTTATCACACTCAGAGCAGCTGTAAGGTTTCTCTCCTGTGTGAACTAACATGTGTCTGTTCAGTTGCCATAGAAATTTAAATTTTTTCACGCACTCAGAGCAGCTGTAAGACTTCTCCTCTGTGTGAGCTAACATGTGATTGGCCAGATCCCTTTTCTCACAATATCTTTTACCACACTCAGAGCAGCTGAAAGGTGTCTCTCCTGTGTAAATAAACATGTGATTGGCTAGAGAATCTTTATCAAAATGCTTTTTACCACATTTAGAGCAGCTGAAAAGTTTCTTTCTTGTGTGAACTAACATGTGTCTGTCCAGATTCCGTTTACGATTGAATCTTCTACCACACTTGGAGCAGCTGAAAGGTTTTTCCCCTGTATGAACTAACGTGTGACTGGCCAGATCAGGTTTTCGTCTAAATCTTTTACCACATTCAGAACAACTGAAAGGTTTCTCTTCTGTGTGAAATAACATGTGTCTGGTCAGATAATGTTTATATGAAAATCTTTTACCACACTCAGAGCAGCTGAAAGGTTTCTCTCCTGTGTGAACTACCATGTGTATTTTCAGAGCCCGTTGACAGTTGAAGCTTCTACCACAATCAGAGCAGCTGTGAGATTTCATGACAGTTTTCTGTCCTCTTCTTTTCATTAATTTCCCAGAGTTTAATCCTGACTGATCCTCTCTGGTCTCCTTCCAATCATCATCATCATCAGTCTCAGAGGAGTCTTCTGACCTGTTATCACTCACAGGATTTGAGTTTCCAGCTGGTTCTGAAACTCCACAGATTTCTCCGTCATCTCCTGTTTCCATCTTTTGAATTGGTTTTGGGTGAAGCTGTGGAGGCTGAGGTTTTTCTTCATCCTCTTCACTCTTCACAATGGCAACAGTGAATGGGAACATGGTGGCCTCAGCCTCCTCAAACCCTTGAAGCTGCTCTCCCTCCTGACTGCTCCAGAGTTCCTCCTCCTTAATGTGCATGTGCTTGGTGTCCTTTTGGTTTAGATCAGGGCTCCACTCCTGGAGCTCAAGAGGTTCCTCTTTAATCACTGACAGCTGCTGGACATCTGCAGGAAACACCAAAGTACAGAAAGACACATCAAGATAACCTTGGATTCTATGTTGGAGACAAACTTTGGATTTATGACATTATTCTTGTGATATAATGACTTTATTCCTGTAAATGTATGATTTTATTCTTGTTTATTTATGACTCTATTCCTGTCAATTTATGACTTTATTGTTGTAATTTTATGACTTTGTATGAAAATATTATTTTCTCACTGTGGCCCTAAATACTAAAACTGCTTACTACATGCCACCACCTGGATTTCTCCTCCACCAGTAGCAAACAAATATAAGGGCACTTTTTCAATTTGTGTCTATTTATCTGTAAAAGATTGAAACTGAACTGTTCTTTGACTTTTCCTTACTCGTTCCAGACAGCAGAAAAGAAAATCAAGCTTTATTTCATTATTTTGGTGTTTCTATTTTAAAACAAAAATAAAACAGTCCTTTTTCTATGTTTGATATCTATTTCCAACCGTGATATTCAATCAACAAAAAAGACACGGAGCATCACTTCCGGGTCACGCAGCTTGTTCTAGTCGGATGTGGAACAATTGAATAAACTTTGTCGTTATCCGATTTTTCCATTTTGTATTTGAACACAACATATTGGGAAAACGAGTCGGTATCCTTTTTTTCTTAACCATGTTTAGGAAATAGATAAGCGTCATTTCTTGTTTTTAACGTTTGGTTTTATTTTGAAAAACCAGTGAACGAATAATACGTGGGTTGAATTCGCGCCTTTTTTAAGTCGTGTTTGAGTTTCATCTGTTGCCTCTCAGCTTAAAGGGATAGTTCTGCATAAAAATTAATTTAGGGTCAAACCCACCGTAACACAGAGTTAGACCCCCCCTCCAGAGATGAATGTTGTCGACCGCTTGCTTCTCTAGTTATACCAACTTTAGAAACGACCGCAGGATAGAAATACAGAGAGTCACGCCCCCAACCAAAACGCCACTCTATAGCCACAAATAATGCTCAATAATAATACAAATAATAGTCTGTAATGGACTGGCCTGAGGTCTCTCTACAAACAAGCGTCTGCTGGAAGAGAGTAGGTGAGTTGTGTTTAGTCTCTTTGCTAAAGAAATGAGTCAAAGTTAAAAAGATGTTTGGTGTCTAGTACTATGTCTGTGACCCTATATGTCCTGTTGATGAAGTTAGGTGCTGTTCTGAGCATTATTTGTGGCTATAGAGTGGCGTTTTGGTTGAGGTTTGTTTATGGCTCCTCAGACCGCTGTGTATTGCTATCCTGCGGTCGTTACTAAAGTTGGTATAAAACTAGAGAAGAGAACGGTCGGAAACGTGGTCCGGTCCGGAACTGAAGGATTTGTGGGTCTGTGTGATTTCTGAAAGATTGTTGACATTGAAGGAATTCATGAGTTTAGTTTGCTAAAGTGGTGTAAGCTTTTTGATGCAAGGCGGCATAACCTAAGGGAAGCTCTGTGTCCTACTGGTAAGCTGTGCAATTATTGGGAGACTTATTTTGAAAGGGGACTGTGCTTCCTGTTTTTGTAAATATAAGTAGAATGGCTTCTGTCTGTCTCAGAGATCTTTTTAGCTTTTATTGTGCTGGGACGTTACTGTGGCAACAGATGAAAGGCACTGCCGACACAGAACAGGTGCTTGGTGACGTCATCCTTTCTGTAACCGAAATAATTACAGATAAGTGACGTTGCTGTTCTGTTTGTCAACAAGTATTGATCTTCAAAGGTCAGTGACGTTGCTGTTCTGTTTGTCAACAGGTTTTGATATTCGGTGGTTTTCTCTTGTTCGTTTCTCATGTTGAAGAAGAAGAAGAAGGTGAACTAACCTGCTCTCTTCAGTTTGATTTCAGGCATTAAAATCACACTCAGCAGTTTTCTTTGCCGTTGGAGCTCCTCTTCATACACAGATGTTGCTGATCGTCCTGAGAGGTCTCCGTTAACAACAGCGAGCAGCCGCCGGCTGAAGAAATCTTCAAGATCCTGAAACCTGGACATTTTCTACCGACCCAAGAGTCAAACAGAGACAAGACAACTGCAGATGGACGCCTTAACTCGGGTTATTCTGCTAATGACTCCTCGGGAGAGTCCCTCCGTGCTCCGGACATGATTCTTCCGCTTCCTCTTTGGTGTTTTACGGCAGCCAGCGTCCATTGAGTTGCATTACCGCCACCTACTGGACTGGGATTTGGAACAGGAGTTTAGGGCAGAAAATAAAAGAGTCGTTTTAAAAAAGATCATTTTTTAAACTAATTCAGTGTCGATCAAGAATTAGATTTTAGTCGTATTAATTTCCCAGCTGTCTTTCCTGATAGACCTTCAATTAAAACGTTTTTATGCTTTGACCTTGTCAAAGACTGAAATGAAACGTGAACTCCCGACTCTGACCTCTTTCACCAACATCTTAAAGCTTTGCTATTGGAACAACACTGTTACCACAACCATGCCTAATCTGCCCTTTAGCACCTAATTCTAGCAGTTAAGAAGAAAGTGGAACTGAACAGCATGAGGATTGGATAAAGTGATGCTTTAATCAGGTACCTAAACAACATCAAACATCCAATCCAGATAAAAACCCTTCAAGTGTAACTTTACATATATGTGGTCCAACTGTTCAATGATCATACCGACAAGACCACCTCTGAAAAGACATGGAAATGATGCATCTTTACATGAAGTCTCTTACAATGAGCCTGGCACAACCACTGATGTTACTCTCAGCAGTTCTGGACGGTCAGAAATGATGAATAATTCTTGATGCCATTCTCAGCCCCAGTCCATTCTTTGTGAATTTGTTTGTGGTCTCTGGTCCAGGTCCAATCATCCTGGTCCTCAGGCTCAGGGTTGGAAGAGTCTCCTCCACAGTCTCTTGTTGTAATCCTCATTTTCTGACTTGTTCAGGTTCTCCATCCTTCCATCAGCTCCTGTTTCTTCATCCTCCTTCTCCCCTGATTAGTTTTGATGAAGCGCTGAAGTCTTTGAATAATCCTGAGACTGAGAGAATTTTTGTTCTCAGACGCCGCAGCTAAACAGTTTTCTTTATCCTCCCAGTGTGAACTAACATGTGTGAGGTCTATCTATCACAATGTGATCACATGTGTTTGGCCAGAGACCCTTTATCAATAGATTTTAATCACACCTTAAGCAGCTGAAAGGTTTCTCTCCTGTGTGAATTATTTTGTGTCTGATCATATTCTGTTTAAGTGAAAATTTTTTACCACAATCAGAACAGCTGAAAGGTTTTTCTCCTGTGTGAATTAACATGTGTCTGTTCATAGACCTTTTATCAATATATTTTTTATCACATTCAGAGCAGCTGAAAGGTTTCTCCCCTGTGTGAATTAACATGTGTCTATTCAGAGACCTTTTATCAAAATATTTTTTATCACACTCAGAGCAGCTGGAAGGTGTCTCTCCTGTGTGAATTAACATGTGATTAGCCAAATCCCTTTTATCAAAATATTTTTTATCACACTCAGAGCAGCTGAAGGGTTTCTCTCCTTTGTGAACTAATGTGTGTCTTGCCAGATCACGTTTTTGTGTAAATCTTTTACCACAATCAGAACAACAAAAGGGTTTCTCCCCGGTGTGAACTGCCATGTGTCCTTTCAGGGCCTGTTGATAGTTGAATCTTTTGCTGCACTCAGAGCAGCTTAAAGGTTTCTCTCCTGTGTGAACTAACATGTGTCTGTTTAGAGACCTTTTATCAAGATATTTTTCCCCGCACTCAAAGCAGCCGAAAGGTTTTTCCCCTGTGTGAACTAACACGTGTCCTTTTAGAGCCTTTCGAGATTTGAATCTTTTACCACACTTAGAGCAGCTGAAAGGTTTTTCCCCTGTATGAACTAACACATGTCTGGCCAGATCACATTTTTGTGTAAATCTTTTACCACAATCAGAACAACTGAAGGGTTTCTCTCCTGTGTGAAACAACATGTGTCTTTTCAGAGTCTCTTGATAGTTGAATCTTTGACCGCACTCAGAGCAGCTGAAGGGTTTCTCTCCTGTGTGAACTAACATGTGTCTGGTCAGATGGTGTTTTTGTGAAAATCTTTTACCACACTCTGAGCAGCTGTGAGATTTCATGACAGTTTTCTGTCCTCTTCTTTTCATTAATTTCCCAGAGTTTAATCCTGACTGATCCTCTCTGGTCTCCTTCCAATCATCATCATCCTCAGTCTCAGAGGAGTCTTCTGACCTGTTATCACTCACAGGATTTGAGTTTCCAGCTGGTTCTGAAACTCCACAGATTTCTCCATCATCTCCTGTTTCCATCTTTTGAATTGGTTTTGGGTGAAGCTGTGGAGGCTGAGGTTTTTCTTCATCCTCTTCACTCTTCACAATGGCAACAGTGAATGGGAACATGGTGGCCTCAGCCTCCTCAAACCCTTGAAGCTGCTCTCCCTCCTGACTGCTCCAGAGTTCCTCCTCCTTAATGTGCATGTGCTTGGTGTCCTTTTGGTTTAGATCAGGGCTCCACTCCTGGAGCTCAAGAGGTTCCTCTTTAATCACTGACAGCTGCTGGACATCTGCAGGAAACACCAAAGTACAGAAAGACACATCAAGATAAGCTTGGCATCTATGTTGGAGACAAACTTTGGATAGAGATTCTTGCTTTTGATTTTCAAACTCCCCTACAAGTTAAATTTAATCAACTCCTAAACAGACCAACCAGATTTTATTTTGGTGTTTTATCGAAGGAGAAGTTGTTTCAAGCACTCCCAAAAAAACAGGCTAGAAACGCCTGCCCTGAAGCATAACATTCGGGTCATACAGTTTGTGTCGGTCAGAGAAGAACCAACTGATCAACTGGAGAAACTTTGTCATCATGGATTTTTTTGCACTTTGACTTTGAACACCACACATTGGAAAAACAAGTCATTATCACTTTTTTTATGATGTTTTGGAAACAGCCATAGTGATGGTCATTAGGAACAAGTGGGGCTTAGCCCCACCTCTTGTCATAAAAAAACTAAATGAATCTGTTATCAGCAGTTGTCAAAAAAATGATGAGACATGATGAGGCCTATTGCATGATAACTGCAGAGTCACCATTTGCATTTTCTTTTGGTTGCAAATGCAAATATATGTTTTTAATGATTGTAGAAGTCCTTCTCCTCCCGTTGGTGTCTGCAGAGAACTACAATGGCTGCAGGGTCAATGTTAGGCCAGCCACTCTCTCACAGCTGAGTGTGTATTATACATGGGAAAATTGAAATGAACACTCTCAGAGTGTTTGTCTGTTTACTGTACATCCGCCTAAAGAATTAAACATCATGCCTTTTTAAAGACTTGATTGGCTGATAATTCAAAGCAGTTTCGGTGATTTGCTGCTGTCATTCAAGCTGCTAAACTGCTAAAAGTCAGAAAACCATTTCTGGACAGGATACAGAAACTTTTAGTAATGCTGGCTAACTTTAAAGGTGAACGAGGCAGATTTTTAACTGTGGCACAGGTTTAAACCTTGACTCTACAAGAGAAATGTGGAAATAAAGCAGCTTGGACCCCATCAGCTGCAGGATATTATTATATTATTGTCACTCAAACTGCCTATAAGACAAACCACAGATTTACTGGGAGTGGTCCTCCAAGAAAAAGTGGCTAACTGTCAGCAGAGAATATTTTTTTTTCCCATGTTTGTTGTTTAGAGGAGAAGGTACTGGGTCCAGACGGGGATTGAAGGATTTGTGGGACTGTGTGATTTCTGAAAGATTGTTGACATTGAAGGAATTCATGAGTTTAGTTTGCTAAAGTGGTGTAAGCTTTTTTGATGCAAGGCGGCATAACCTAAGGGAAGCTCTGTGTCCTACTGGTAAACTGTGCAGTTATTGGGAGACTTATTTTGAAAGGGGACTGTGCTTCCTGTTTTTGTAAATATAAGTAGAATGGCTTCTGTCTGTCTCAGAGATCTTTTTAGCTTTTATTGTGCTGGGACGTTACTGTGGCAACAGATGAAAGGCACTGCCGACACAGAACAGGTGCTTGGTGACGTCATCCTTTCTGTAACCGAAATAATTACAGATAAGTGACGTTGCTGTTCTGTTTGTCAACAAGTATTGATCTTCAAAGGTCAGTGACGTTGCTGTTCTGTTTGTCAACAGGTTTTGATATTCGGTGGTTTTCTCTTGTTCGTTTCTCATGTTGAAGAAGAAGAAGAAGGTGAACTAACCTGCTCTCTTCAGTTTGATTTCAGGCATTAAAATCACACTCAGCAGTTTTCTTTGCCGTTGGAGCTCCTCTTCATACACAGATGTTGCTGATCGTCCTGAGAGGTCTCCGTTAACAGCAGCGAGCAGCCGCCGGCTGAAGAAATCTTCAAGATCCTGAAACCTGGACATTTTCTACCGACCCAAGAGTCAAACAGAGACAAGACAACTGCAGATGGACGCCTTAACTCGGGTTATTCTGATCCGGGGTCATTATGAGGAAGTCGCCCCGGATGCTAAAGACGCTGCTCCAGGAAAAACAATCGCCCTTCAAAATAAAGTGCAGCTGTAATGGTTTTACAGCAGTTGTGAAAATGTGTCTTATTGCTGCATGCAGAGGCGGCACAAGCCTCAATGGAGCCCCAAGAAAATGTTGATTTCGGGGCCCTCTATTTCTGCTAATAATATTGATTATTGATCATTCACACAGCTTCATAAATCTCTTTAACATTCCCTGACATGTAAACAGACCTTTATCTTGGCGTTTTTCCTCTTTCTTTTCTCGGCTCCTGAAGGATATGTCCTTTTTTGTCCCACAGTTACCTGCTCTTTGGATGTTCAGTGACCATTTCACAGCAGGAGGCACATAACGGGGGCGGAGCTTTGACATATCGCAGTAAGAATCATCGGCCTACATCAGCAGCAGCACTAAAATGTTTTTACTTTATTTTATTTTTACAATAATCTATATTGATCAGACAGAAAGCATCACTCATACATGGAAATATATATATATATATTTTTGTCCCCCTATTGGCCCTAAGCAGGCGTTTAGTTCGCTTTTGCCTTCGGCCGGCTCTGGCTGCCTGGGCGACTTTATTGTATCGACAGAGCCGGCCCAAGGCAAAAGCGAACTAAGTGCCTTCTTAGGGCCCCGCAGCCAATAGGGGGCCCCCAAGAGCAATTATAAAAATAAAAAACTCACACTTATGGGAATACTCGGGCTCAGCGTGAACCATCAGTAAAACCATGGATGAGAAGAAACATGGACAGTCCTGATTGATAAGTGATCAGACATGATGTCATCCTGAGTCCATTGATAAACTGTCATTAGAAGAGTAAAAACTCATGTCAGATGTCGGTCCTGGATGTCTACAGTAGGTGTCAGACTGGGAGTTGTTTCTCTGATCAGCTCAGCTCAGTAACCATGGAAACCCAGATGCACCACTGCCGAACCATGAAACAGACAAGTTTCACTTCTACTTTGAGTCATAAGATGTATTTTGAACATCTGCTGGTTTCATGTTTGGTCTCAGAACTGCAGAAATATCTTCTATCTGCTGTCGTTCCAAACTCACAGTCGTCCTGTCAGAACAAATCAATCTGAACTTCCTGTGAAAGAACAATGACAGGTTCTAACAGAGGATTTTTATTACTGTCATCAGACAAACTATTAGGAAATAAACTAATTCAACAGACTGAGTTACTTTATTCACTAACTGTCGAGTTTAATCTCCTAAAAACTCTGTTAACTTCATTTTGCACATTTTTGATTAGATATTGTTCTTCAGTAAATCACCGACAGAGACGGACAGGAAGTGGACCGAGTTTTTCTGTAAGCATCAAACTGAAATCAAGTCACATGGAATCAAAAACAACCATTTCCAATCAATACCTTTAGTGGTTTATCAATGGATTGACATAAATCATTTCCATAGAGAGTGAGTTTGCATGAGCAGCAGCATGCTCCAGTGCTCTGGGAGACTTTATAGTCCTGAGAGTTGAAGACTGGATTACTACTCTCTAAGTTGGTTCCTCATCTCCTATCATCAGATCAATACACATTAATTTAAATGAAGCGTTTTTATCATCTAGTTTGTCTTCGTCTCCATCACTCATGGACAGTTTTTGTCAAATCCTAATCCTTCTTGTTTTAGTTTTATTACAATCTCTGCAAAACAAATCTCATTTTCTTAAACTTTAAAAATTCATATTCTGAAAGTTCATCATTTTGATCAGATTTAACAAAATCAAACATAAATGAACTCATCAGAGAGTTTTTTCTAACATTATTTCAGTGTCTTTGTTGGTGTCATTATTTAATATGAAACAGTGAAAATAAACACAAACGACGTCCTCAGCCATTAAAGTTCATTTATAAATCAAACTTTTAATTTCAGAGGATCAGATTTTCTTTTCTTTCAGAGGTGATCTGTCTCTGTCCCAAAGGTCATCCAGTGTCTTTTTCAGATTTTTATCATTTTCAGCTTCTTTGGCATTAAAAATCTTTAATCTCTGTGAATTTTTATATGTTAACATATAATTATGACTCTTAAAAAGTGTAACTTGACTCCAGGAATTTAAACTTTAACATCCTGAAGTTACAAAACCAATCCTGTGACCTGTTTTATATATTTAGTACAGAAACTTGTCTGCAGTCATGGTTAAGCAGTGATGCCTGTCTGTTGCCATGGTGATCAAGCTAAGAGGGAAGTGAAACACCTGATATTATCCTAATCTTCTCAAACAAAGATCAGGAGGTGTGTCGGCCTCCTCTGCTGGTCTGCTGAAGTCATAGTGAAGTCATAAAGTCATCATGTTTTCACCAAAGTGTGACTGTGTGAGCGAATGAATGATGTCTCCGATGTAAAGCGCTTTGAGGGTCTCTGATAAAGCGCTATATGAAATCTGATGCATTATTGTTGTGTAAATAAAGTCATGAATTCACCGTATTGTGTAAATAACATCATAAAAACGTTGTTGTGTTGTGAGTCACATGACTAATCGAGCATAAATTGATTGGCTGGTCGATGGACGATTGAGTCAGGAATCAATTGCTTTCCCTGATTACCCGGATGTCGAGTCGATCTCTTTTACACTGAATTTTTTTCATGTTGAATTATTTTCTACACAGTTTTTTAAGTTGAATTATTACTAAACGAATATTTATGAGAGACCTTTTTTTTACATGGAATTTCTTTCTTCATTGTGAAAAAAAATTAGTGTCAGAAATAAAAATGATTGAAACTCAAAGTCTGATGTTGATGCAAAAATAATTCAGCTTTAGAAATTCAAATTGAAAATCAGATGGCGCAGATTTACTCCCATAATTATTTTCGTGTTTTTGAATTTGCTATAAAAACCAACTGCACTAAACCTCCAGTCCGGTAGGTGGCGGTAGTTCACCTGTAAGCTGGTTTGACCGCCGAATGAAGGAGGTGGTGTTTTTACATCCGGGCCTCGGAGGCTCCAGCTGAGCCCGAGTATCATGGATGAAGAAGGAGGAGGATAATAGTCCGAGAAAAGGCGGCAGGGTTCGTTCTTTTCCGGCTCTGACCGATGGAGTAGTCGAAAATGTCCGAGTGTCGGGATCCGAAAGGTTTCTCCAGTCCACGGCTGCCTGCTGTGACCCGCAGTGACCTGTCAGGACCAACAAGAGGATCCAGAGACGAAGAGGAGCTGATGTCTCCACCGGACCTGGACCTGAGGAGGAGGAGGAGGAGAGCAGGTTTGTTTCAGAGACCTGAGTCTGGATCAGAACCCTGACAGTCAGCTCCTGTCAACTTCTCGGTGTGTTTCCTCTCAGCTCTGTCAGAGGGTCAGACTGGGTTTGGTGCTTCATGTTTTTATGAAGATCTGTGCTGGAAGGAGAGAAAGCTCTGGACTCACAAAACCATCTTATCAGCAGGTTCTGATTCTTGGCCCTCATCTTCAATCACAGAACCTAGACCTGTCAGATCTGGACTAGATTTCCAAAGAGCGAACAAAGAAAAACTGGATTTCTGTTTTTTTATATATATCTATATATATATCTATTTGCAAAAATTCAAACAGGGTATTTCCATTTCTTTCTTTCTTTCTTTCTTTTACTGTTTAGACCACATGTGACCCAAGTCCTCACCCAGAACCAAAATACCTGGACTTTTCAGATCTGGACTTAAAGGTGGGGTCGGCAGGAATCCGTTAAAGAGGCATCTGTTTTTGTGGTGTATTTATCAAAAAGCTTTTAATATCAGTCAATAGTTATTAGTTATTGATGACATTTGGTAATATATCGATATCTCTGTGTTCTCTTAAGGTCCGTACACACCGGGACCGACGCGAAATTACGAAATATTCGGAGGCGACTTTGACGCTCCTGACTGTACACACACCACAGCAGACTGAGTGTTTCTCAGTTCTGATCAGACTCTAGTGTTGAGATGTCTGTCTGTCATGATAGCATGAACTGAGTCGGGTCAGAACCAGATAAGAACATTAAACTATAATCCATAAACGTAAGGGAACAACTGAGACCTGATGGTGCTGTGACAGCGACGCTGTGACTGAGGTCACTCTTAGACAGAAACGGTCTCCATAGAAACGAAAACGTGCCGTTTCGTTTTCAGTTTTTATGCTGTTTACACAAAAACGCAATTCGGTTGAAAACGCTGTAATGTGCATGCCAGGTCGCTAGGTGGCGCGTGTCGGTGTGACCGCGCTCCCGTATAGACCAACAACGCACACGTACAACAACTTCTGTTCTACTTCCTAGAAGCACGCAGCACAATATGGCGAACAAACGATCCAATTAATTATTAATCATTTATTTGATGCAAATAATTCCGCCGCCTCCTCTGCTGAGCTTTGTGATTCTGTACGGGTCGAAACTGAGCTCCTGCCTGTTCAGTAATAACGACAGCGCGACTCGGATGTCTAGCATAGTTGTTATTGTTATTTTCAAGGAAGCTGCGCATGGCTATGATGTCATAAACGTGAGCCAGGACGTCACAGGTTCGACTGTTTTCAGCGTTTTTGTACTTTAGACCAAAGCGGGACGAGCAGAGCGTTTACAACATTTCCACTCCGGAGGGGTTTTCACTTTGTGACGTTTTCATCTCCTGAAAACGCAGCTGCCGTCTAAACGGACCCCCCTAAACGAAACGAAACTTTTCCGTTTCCTATGGAGACCGTTTCCGTCTAAAAGTGGCCTGAGTTTGAGACAGTCAAAATACATATGGTATGTTGTATCTGAACTAGGGCCCGACTGATTTATCGGCGAGCCGATTAAATCGGCCAGTTTTAGCCGTTTGAGACTAATCAGTAATCAGCCGAAACTCGCCGATGTTCTACGATATTTTCAGAAATAAAATGCGGAGAATAAGAATCGGTTTCACTTTGAAAATGTTCCTCCATTTTAAAAAGTTCCCCGACTTATCCTGTAGATGGCGCTACAGAGACCTCATGACGATCTTCATCCACTAACGACCTCACAGCAGAGTGAGGATCTGAAGCAGCAGCTCAGGGACACGGAGGAGAGTGGTCCGCCTCAACGGGAAATAAACCAGTTTGTGAAAAACACAATTAAGCTCCTCTCAGACCGGGACAGTTTTTTTCGTACGATTATTTCAGACGTCAATATTTTTTTTCAAACCCGTATCCTGTCAACACAAGCGTTCACATCAGCGACGTTTCCCCGTCCTGCGATATCGCAGCATTTATTTTTTCGGATCACGGTCGATTTTTCTAAAGTTTCTCAGACTGTGTGTCCACTTCTGACCAATCAGATTTCGTGTTGTTGCGACGTCAGATTCACCGGTATATCCAACATGGCCGACCGGCTGATTGTTTCCGTGTCGGGGAACACAGTGATTTTTGATCAAAGACACAAACATTACAAAGATAACGACCTGAAGGACGACTTGTGAAGACGATGGTTTGTGAGCTTTAACGGTTTGATAAACGGTCCTGCAGTGAAAGGACCTTCACTCTCCTAACTCATGATTATTTTCCCCGCTGTGTCTCTCTCTCTCTCCATATTCTAGTGTGTTCTCCTGAGATCCAGCAGCTCTCTGGGGTTAAAGAAGAGCTTCACGAGCAGCAGGGATGGAGTCCCAGTCTGGGTCAGGAGGAAACCAAACCCCCACACATTAAAGACGAACAGGAGGAACTTTGGAGCGGTCAGGAGGAAGAGGAGCTTCAAGGACGGGAGGTGGAAGATACCACAGAGTTCCCGTTCACTGTTGTCACTGTGAAGGGTGAAGATGATGAGGAGAAACCTCAGTGCTCACAGCTTCATCAGAGACAGACTGAACGGGGAGAATCAGACGCTGATGGAGAGGACTGTGGAGGATCCAGTAACTTTGATGCTCAGAGTCATTTACACTCAGAGATCGAGGTCAAGGTTGAAGACTTTTCTGAACCCGAGACTGAAGATGGTGAGGATTATTGGGAGGGTAGAAATCATCCACCAGGTTCGAACCCTCTGGAGAACATGAGCGATACTGCGGACAGATCCCACACCTGTTATGAGTGTGGGAAAACCTTTAAAAGGAAAGGTCATCTGACCGCACACATGATCGTTCACACAGGAGAGAAACCCTTCAGCTGTTCAGAGTGCGGTAAAAGTTTTAACTGTAAAGGAAATCTGACCAAACACATGATCATTCACACAGGAGAGAAACCCTTCAGCTGCCCGATGTGTGGCCGAACATTCAACTGTCGAGGTAGTATGACCCGGCACATGTTAGTCCACATAGGAGAGAAATCCTTCAGCTGCTCCGAGTGTGAGAAGATCTTTAAGAGTAAAGGAAGTTTGACCCAGCACATGTCCGTTCACAGAGAGGAGAAATCCTTCAGCTGCTCTGAGTGCGGGAAAATATTTAAGAGTAAAGGAAACCTGACCCAGCACCTGTCAGTCCACAGTGGAGAGAAACCATTCATCTGTACCGTGTGTGGTAAAAGATTAAAAGGAAGGTATTATCTGGCCAAACACATGAGAAATCACACCAGGGAGAAACCGTCCGAGTGTGATGACCCTCGAGAGAATCAGGCAGTTCACAAGGAGCAGCACAGTGAGGAGGTGCCCTTCATCGTAGTAGAAATATGTTAGATCACGGAGAAAAGAGACCGTTCAAAAAATCATGAAGAAGAGTCTCGACTGACAGAAGAGAGGAGAGGGTGGGTCTGCTGTGAGGACACTGAGACAGAGGACGTGATACCATCTGTGTATGAGGCGAAAACTGAAATACGAACTTGTTATTTCTGAAACGCTGCATAACTGTTACTCATCTATGTAAACAAGACGAGACGTGCGTGTGTGTGTGTGTGTGTGTGTGCGTGTGTGTGTGTGAACCTCCAGCTGCAGCCGTCAGTTCAGTTTCACTTCAGTCTGACTGAGGGAGGTTTTTGTACGACGCTTTTTCACTGTGTGAACACGTACACACTGTTGATGTAGTTCGCTCCTTGACAGTAATAAACTGCTGCATCTTTAGTCATGACTTCACTGATGGTCAGAGTGAAACTGGATCCAGATCCACTGCCGGAGAAACGACTCGACGTCCCTGATAACAGCTGACTGGCGTATCTAAGGAGCAGTTTAGGAGTTTCTCCAGCCTTCCGTTGGTACCAGGATAAGTAGTTATAGCTAACAACATCGTGACTGGTCCTACATGAGATGGTGACGGTTCCTCCTGGAGCAGAGGTCATGGCTGCAGGCTGAGTCACTGTGACCTGTCCTCTGGACTCTGAGGACACAGAGACAAAGACAGAAAGCAGCGTCATGGTTTTGTGGGCTTCATTTCAGAGGGACGGATGTTCATAGAGGAGAGGAGTTGGATTCTCTGGACTTTACCTGTGAAGCAGCAGCAGAGGAGAGTCCAGATGAGGACGCAGATCACAGTCATGTTTCTGATCAGGAGGAGGAGGAGGAGGATTTCTGTGTCTTCTGTTGTGATGAAGGACAGCTGTCAGTCATCCAGTCTTCAACTCTCAGGACTATAAAGTCTCCCAGAGCACTGGAGCATGCTGCTGCTCATGCAAACTCACTCTCTATGGAAATGACTCCTATCATCAGATCAATAAACTTCTTTTGTCATTAAGCTCATTGATTAAAAAGAGTTTCATTGCCACATCAGTTTACAACATCAGTTCATATGTCTCAGTTGAAAACATTCATTCTGTGGGTTGATTGGACTGAATTATTATCCAAGTTAACTGGACAAACTTCAGAATAATAACTTTTTTAAAGGTTTTCTGCCTGAAGTAATTCTTTAAAAAAGCTCCAAACTTTTTCACAACAATACGTCGGCTAATTGTTTTTCTTTGAAAGTTGTGAAAATCTTATTTCTACATTATTACTTTGGTTTATCAGAGGTACTCAGGACTTCTTTTATAGCACTGAAACATGTCTGCAGTCATGGTTAAGCAGCGATGCCTGTCTGTTGCCATGGTTACTGGAGTAAGAGGGAAGTGAAAGAGCTGAGATCAGTTTCATCTTCTCAGCTGTAGTCAGCTGTAGTGACCTCTTGTGCTGAAGTTTATGGAAGCTCTTTCTTCATCTCTCTCAGGTGACCCTCAGACTGATGGAGATGGTCCACTCCAGAAACTAAGGCCTTCATAGACAGGAGCTCTCTCTCCTCTAAAAACACCTTTGGACTAAAACTTGTGTCCTCTTTCAGCTCTCCTTCTTTCCTGAACATAACATGACACAACACCTGCAGCAGAGCTGATGAGTGCATTTGTCCATTCAGAGGAGTCATTTCCATAGAGAGTGAGTTTGCATGAGCAGCAGCATGCTCCAGTGCTCTGGGAGACTTTATAGTCCTGAGAGTTGAAGACTGGATGACTGACAGCTGTCCTTCATCACAACAGAAGACACAGAAATCCTCCTCCTCCTCCTCCTGATCAGAAACATGACTGTGATCTGCGTCCTCATCTGGACTCTCCTCTGCTGCTGCTTCACAGGTAAAGTCCAGAGAATCCAACTCCTCTCCTCCATGAACATCCGTCCCTCTGAAATGAAGCCCACAAAACCATGACGCTGCTTTCTGTCTTTGTCTCTGTGTCCTCAGAGTCCAGAGGACAGGTCACAGTGACTCAGCCTGCAGCCATGACCTCTGCTCCAGGAGGAAACGCACAAATCAGCTGCACCACCAGTCAGGCTCTTTACAAATTCAGCAATGGCTACTTCTTATCCTGGTTCCAACAGAAGGCTGGAGAATCTCCTAAAGCGCTCATTCACGGCATCAATGAGAGGGTGTCGGGGATATCAAGTCGTTTTTTAGGCAGTGGATCAGGATCTAGTTTCACTCTGACCATCAGTGAAGTCATGACTAAAGATGCAGCAGTTTATTACTGTCAAGGAGCGAACTACATCAACAGTGTGTACGTGTTCACACAGTGAAAAAGCGTCGTACAAAAACCTCCCTCAGTCAGACTGAACACACAGCTGCAGCTGAAGTTCCTGCAGACCCTGATACACTTCAGTGAGGACACAAACACACACACTAACACACACTTACACTATTTTCACTGTCAAGATTTAACTTATTAAGTGTCCAAGAGTACAAGGGTGCATAATTCAGGTAAATAACATAATTGTAATTCATGAACAATGTCCTGTTTGTTGCTACACAGGGCATAGAGAAAGCTGAATTAATTAGCTAGGCAAAGATTTTACACAGCTAATGCAAGCACAGAAGTCTGTTTTTGCAACTATAGCTGGGTTAAGATAGCTAGATGTTGGTTTGTTAGCTCATGTCTAGAATACAGCTAGCTATTAGACATCCACCATGAAAGTAATTTAATCTAGTTCTGATTCAAAGATGTATAAGTACTGTATGTGCCATGGTTGCGTTATCTTGGTTAATCAGTTCCATTATTTGCGTGGCAGTCTGTGGGGCCTACATTCTGACCATGCTAATTTATGGCATCAGGGAAATCAGACTTTTTTAGTTCGGCTAATTTCAATGGCACCCTCTGGTGTCTGTATGTAAAGTGAATCTGAACAACTTGATGCTTAAATTTTAAACCAAAATGGAGTGAGAGCTCTCTACGTAACATAAAACACTTCTTTTTAGAAAGAAATAAAATAAAAATCCACCTGTATTGTGCAGTACTTAATGAAATGTGTACAGGTACCAGGTGTCTTGATACTCTATTTTACACATTATTTTGGAGGTTTAATAATCAGTGAACAAATTTAAATCAGTTTCACCCTCTTCAGTGGACAAAAAAAAACAAACTTTATCACCAGTGTTCTCCTTATGACTCAAGAATGTATTTATTTTTTAATAGAAAAACAACTTTTGTGTTCTATATGGATACTTCTGATATCTGTGTTGGGCTTTTACTATGTCCTAAGGAAGCTTCATACAAAATTTGGCGCTTATATCAGCAAGATCAAAATCCACCTAAAAAAGTGAGCTAAGTCTCTTGACTAAGAGTCCAGAGCTGAACATCCAGGTATCCGAACTTTATTGTGCCGCTCAAACATCAGAGAGCTGTGAAATGTTGACCTGAAAATAAGACAACCCTGATTATAAGACGACCCCTATTTCAGGACTAGTTTAAAGAAAAAGACTTATGAGGACAAGATCTGGTTTACAAAAAGAAAACAATCCAAATTAAATATGAAATAAAGAACTAAAAGAGTTTTTGGTCGTTAAAAAAAAATAAGAGAGTATCATCAGCATACAGAGTTATCAGGAGGATTTAAGGAGTTCACTTGGACCATTCTTGAGGAGGACTGCTGTGTGTAAGTGTGTGTTAGTGTGTGTGTTTGTGTCCTCACTGAAGTGTATCAGGGTCTGCAGGAACTTCAGCTGCAGCTGTGTGTTCAGTCTGACTGAGGGAGGTTTTTGTACGACGCTTTTTCACTGTGTGAACACGTACACACTGTTGATGTAGTTCGCTCCTTGACAGTAATAAACTGCTGCATCTTTAGTCATGACTTCACTGATGGTCAGAGTGAAACTGGATCCTGATCCACTGCCGGAGAAACGACTCGACGTCCCTGATAACAGCTGACTGGTGTATCTAAGGAGCAGTTTAGGAGTTTCTCCAGCCTTCCGTTGGTACCAGGATAAGTAGTTATAGCTAACAACATCGTGACTGGTCCTACATGAGATGGTGACGGTTCCTCCTGGAGCAGAGGTCACAGCTGCAGGCTGAGTCACTGTGACCTGTCCTCTGGACTCTGAGGACACAGAGACAAACACAGAAAGCAGCGTCATGGTTTTGTGGGCTTCATTTCAGAGGGACGGATGTTCATGGAGGAGAGGAGTTGGATTCTCTGGACTTTACCTGTGAAGCAGCAGCAGAGGAGAGTCCAGATGAGGACGCAGATCACAGTCATGTTTCTGATCAGGAGGAGGAGGAGGAGGATTTCTGTGTCTTCTGTTGTGATGAAGGACAGCTGTCAGTCATCCAGTCTTCAACTCTCAGGACTATAAAGTCTCCCAGAGCACTGGAGCATGCTGCTGCTCATGCAAACTCACTCTCTATGGAAATGATCAGATTAACTCCAACAGGCCTTAGATTATAGACATGATGATGATGTTCAATAATGGATCAATCAATCCATCTCCTGATTGATCAAACAGCTTTCCTGACTTGTATCATGAAGGTTTGAGTTTGTTCTTCTTCATCCATCTGTTTGGAGAGATTTCTTCAGTCTTAGCCCGATGCTGAGGACAATGAATGTCAACTATTCAGTAAATCAATAAAGATCTTCAAAAACTGGATTCATTCAAATGAACTACATTGAATTCTCTGCTTTCATTGGAGCTCAAAGCTCCTGCAGACAGAAACACATTTAGGTGACTTTGTTTGTGTCAGAGTCAGAGAGCCGTGTCTCTCTAGAGTCAGAGGTTTTTGTACGGCGCCTCAGTGACTTTGTCTCACTGTGGTGGACTTTTGGTGGAGGAACCAGACTGGATGTTGGAAGTAAGTCAAATATAAAGTCTTTTTCTTTTGAGTCAGTCATTTTTGTTTCTGATTTCTTCTTTTGAAAGACTGAAGGAAAAATATTCGCGTTTCTTTTTCTTTTTGCATGTTTTAGAGCGAGTGAAACTTGAGGGATCCAGGTGTCAGTTAGAAACTAAAACTGTATAAAAACTCCAATTAAATCTGAGTCCATGAAATAATGAAGTGTTTTTAATGTTGGTATTCAGTTGGATCCTGAGGGCTGGTAGGTTTAGTTCAGTCAGAGTCAGAGAGCCGTGTCTCTCTACAGTCTGAGGTTTTTGTACGGCGCCTCCATGACTTTGTCTCACTGTGGTGGACTTTTGGTGGAGGAACCAGACTGGATGTTGGAAGTAAGTTTCTATTTTAATATCAAATCTTTCAGTTCAACATAGTGTATAAATTCTTATTCGAACTCTTTCTGTAGAATTTGGACATTTTGATTTGATCTTTTTTTATTGATCTCTGTTGTTTCTTCACACCGAGGTTCATTCAGGACAGTTACTCTGAACAGTTTTTCACACAGTCTGGTCATAAAATGTCAAAATTCTGACCGACTTGAAGGTTGAATTTTATTTTTAGAAAAAATTTTCACTTTTTTGAAATTCATTTAAACTCTTTTTCTAAAACTGCATTTTGAACTCTTGATGATATTGATCTGATTTGGACGTTTGAAGATTTCTAACCCAGTGTCGACATAAAAACCATGAAGGAAAAAGAAGAACATCTCTGATCTCTTCATGTCTTTTTAAATGAGACTCTTTTGAACCTGACTGCTGAGGATTTCAACTCACATGAAGAACATCAGATCGTCTGATCGATCGATTGATTGACTGATGAGTATTGATATGTATTTCCTCAGAATAGTCAGAAGTGTAATGTCTGAATGGTCTGATAGTGTTTGTGTTATTTCAGTGATTTTCAGTGGGGTTAGTCAGTGTGTGAGTGTCTCTGTGCTGATGAGAGGTTTCTGAAAGGGAAGTGAAAGTCCATGAAGAAGAAAATCAACGTTCAACATGAAAGCTGTCCCAGTGTCTGCTGTTTGATTGACAGCTGTGTGCTCCCTGTCCTCTAAGCTGATTGGTGTCTCCTAGGTGATTCCCGTCCCACCCTGACGGTGCTGCCCCCCTCCAAAGACGAGCTGGAGCAGCAGGGGAAGGCCACGCTCATGTGCCTGGCCAACGAGGGCTTCCCCTCAGACTGGACTCTGGTCTGGAAGGTGGACGGCAGCAGCAGCGGCGGCGGGGAGGAGAGCAGGAGCCCCGCGGTGCTGGAGAAGGACGGTAAATACACCTGGAGCAGCACCCTGAGGCTCCCTGCAGAGCAGTGGGACAAGGTGGTCTCTGTGACCTGTGAGGCCACCCAGGGCTCCCAGACTCCGGTCTCTGAGACCCTGAGGAGAGACGAGTGTTCCCAGTAGTGATCTGATTCACTGGGACCCTGATTCAGTTTCTCCTCTCTCTCTCTCTCTCTCTCTCTCTCTCTCTCTCTCTCTCTCTCTCTCTCTCTCTCTCTCTCTCTCTCATGTTTTTGCTTTTTGTCTCTTTGATCGTTTCAGAAGTTAAACTCAATAAAAACATTAAAGTCAGCTCTGTGTGGTTCACCTCCTCATTTATTTCATGATCCCCAAAGAAGAACAAAAATATCATTCACTTTAGTTTTTCAGACCTTATTAAAACCTAAAGGTGGTTCATGGTTGGTCCAGGTTAAAATAAACACTAACTGTAAATCCAGTATGATTTCATTCAACAACAGAAACCAGCCGATCATCTCACTGAAGTCTGCTGGAGATGTTTCATCTGCTGTGAGGTCTTCAAACTGAGAGAAGAAGTGAAGATGGTTCAGATCTTTGAGACCTTTAGGTCGACAAAGAAGAGCGGGAGATCGTCGCCGTACGGTGATATCATGTGTTTACAATGGAAGATTAGAGTTCAGTGAGTTTAATGGAAAATAATGAAGAGAATAAAACATAATAATAATAATAATTTCATTATGGAGGGATGAATCTTTTCTGTGGTGAAACAACATTAAATCTCTCTAATAGATGTGGAGTGTTCAAAGTTTGATTCTAAATGATGATTTTACACATTTCCACTCTCAGTGTTTTATTCTGTGTCTCTGTCACTGATCTTCAGTCTGATCACTTCCTCTTCAGCTGAGGAGGTTTTTTCACTGTGTGAACGGGGTGTCTTCATCCTGCTGACAGTAATAAACTCCTGAATCTTCAGCCTGGACTCCACTGATGGTCAGAGTCAAATCTGTTCCTGACTGACTTCCACTGAAACGATCAGGAACTCCAGACTGACGGCCTGTAGAATCATGAATCAGGAGTTTAGGAGCTTCTCCAGGTTTCTGAAGGTACCAGTGTACGTCATCACTCACAGAGAGAAACCGTCTGTCCTGGAACAACAGCTCCATCACTGATGATCCTTTGGCCTTCACTGAACAGGTGCAGCAACATGATCCTGAAGGTTCATGAAAACATGATTCAGTTTTTATTATTTCAGAGGATGTGAGTGAAAAAGTTTGAGTCTGAAAAACTTCTTCTTTTGTTTTCGTAGATACTGACAGTTTCATATAGAAAGGTGTTTGAATTCATGGTGGAATAGTGATCATGATCAAAACCAAGGGAGGGTTTGGTGACCTGTGACAGTGTGTGTGTGTCTGTGTGTGTGTGTGTGTGTGTGTGTGTGTGTGTGCGTGTGTGTGTGAACCTCCAGCTGCAGCCGTCAGTTCAGTTTCACTTCAGTCTGACTGAGGGAGGTTTTTGTACGTCACTTTTTCACTGTGTGAACACGTACACACCGTTGATGTAGTGAAGACTCTGACTCTAATAAACTGCTGCATCTTCAGTCATGACTTCACTGATGGTCAGAGTGAAACTAGATCCTGATAAACAGCATCTGGAAAAGGATTCAAGTCATTAATGGAGTATTTGAGGGAGAGAGTTTAACTCCGGAGTTAGTGAGGAGATGTAGAAGAAGAGGCACATACTTTTCTACTGTTTGTCCTGATTCATTTCCTGCGCCACACTCCAGCCCAGTAGGTGGCGGTAATTCACCTGAAGTTAGTTTTTCCACCCGCCAGTAAAACGAAGAAGAAAAAGAATTATCACAGAAGAAGAAGAAGAAGAAGAAGAAGAAGGACGTGTTTTTCTTCCGGGTCTTCCTCGACCAGTCCACTGCGCATGTTTGATCGAGACCCTTTTTTTATTATTGTACCACGGGGACCTTCTGAAGGGGGTGTTTTTCTGTCCCCCGTGTTTCTTTGACCCCTCAGATCTGGGGAAATGTCCCGGCTCCAGGATCCTGAAGGTTTCTTCAGACCTCGGTCCGGTTCGCAGAGATCTGGGGATGAAGAGGATCTCCACAACCCAAGAAGACCACGGGATGATGTTTCAACTCCTGAAACCGAGCAGCAGAGAGCAGGTTCGTGTCTTCTCTAAATGTGTTTCTGTGACCTGCAGAGATCCTGTCCGCTCTGAGATCCCACTAAAACCTGGTCCTGGTCTCTGGGTTTCAAACTCTTCCCTGGTCTTTGTGTGAAGAGAGAAAGATCTGACTGTTCCATGAGTTGAATGTATTTGTTTGTGATGGGAAGGTGAGAGGTGATGACCTGGTGTTCTGGATTAAAATGTGACCCTGTAGACTGCTGACTTTGAACCATGCAGGTCTACAGACTCCAGGAAGACTCCTCTGGAGTTCAGGTGAGTGTAGGAGCTGACCGACTCCTTCTCCGCTGGCAAGGTGAGCATCCATAACCCTGAGGAGAAGTCTGCCGGGGATCAGCACACTCAGCCCGGTCCCCCATGAAGAGATGGTTCCAGGTCTTTTCAGGGTGGTACTGACAGAACCGGACCACCAAACACTCACCGTACAGCCCACCTCAGCGCTCGCTATTCGTCCGGATGAGAGTGAACTTTCACACTTGTTGGTCTCAGTTTGGATGTTCATACGGAGTCACCGAGTGCTTCGTATGATTTTGGCGAAGTATCCGAGGATCAGTCAGACCACAGCCGTGGTTCCTGGGAGTTCGTTGTTAAAGGTGGTGTAGTCAGGATCTGAGTTAGTTCCAGTTTTTAGGAGAAATCTTGAATGTAAACTCGACCCCTCCAACCAGTTTTCCCCTCAGCTCCTCCCCTCCCTCTCTTAAGCCCCGCCCACAAACAGACGCTCCTGCTCGCTCGTATCGTTCCAGTTAAATTCAGATATAATGCAGATAAATACTTCAGATCATTACAAATGGGGCCCAGTCAAGGTGACAGTCAAAAGCATTGGTGCTACTGTAGATGCCAACAGACTACCAGCAAACACAATGTTTGCAGGACTTCTACAACGAGGATAAAGTGACATAGTCCAGGACCCGAGGGAGGACAGTTTAGCGATGGCGCTACAACACGCTACAGCAGGTCCGTTTGACAAGAAACACTTCTGTTACAGACACTTGTCTTACTTTGTTAAAGCGGTTTACCTGTCCAGCAGAAAGGTTACAGGGTCACCAAGATCCCCAAGCGTCCCCCATGGTTTATGTTGACCCGGCTTTTTAGCTCTTGTCCGGTCTACCTCCGTTTTAAGCGCCCGTTATTCCTCCAGAGTCTCCGGTATTTACTTTGTTTTCTTGCTTGTGTCGGCAGTCGTGGCCAAAGGAGGATTCCGACAATTTTCCGAACTTTCTGGTTGGTTTTTACTGTCCGATATTGTAGCACGCTAACTTTGTTTGGGCTCCTGAACGACACGGGGGAGCAGCGTCTGCCTCACAACCAATCAGGTTAGAGGAGGTGGAGAACGGCTTTGTTTACAGTCAGAAAGAGCGGACCGCTCAAAAATGTTCAAATGTTGACGACACAGACAGAAGAGAACACAGAGATATCGATATATTACCAAATAATCAATAACTAATAACTATTGACTGATATTTAAAGGTTTTTGTAAATAAATCACAAAATAAAAAGATGCGTCTTTAACAGATTCCTGCCGACTCCACCTTTAACTGAATTTGAAGTTGTTGAGCAGCGTGGCGCTCAGATGTGACTGTCATAAAAATACAGTCTAGACCTTTTTCCTTTTATTTGTCAAACATTTGATGACTGAAAATTGATGTAATTATGAAATCTAAAGTGGAACCTCTAAAACTACATGAATGGTACAATTTGATCAAGTTTGCTCATTAACTCACAGCATCCTCTTTGTCTCTTTACATGTTCTCACGTTTCCAACTGATGTCTGACAACTGTCGGTGTGTAAAGGAGGAGCACTTCTCCCAAGTCTGGACCAGAAGGATGCCAAAGGTCCTCAAATGAAGGAGGAAGAGGAGGAACTCTGGAGCAGTCAGGAGGGAGAGGATGATATCAGCGAGTTTATATTCGCTCCTGTGTCTGTGAAGAGTGACGACGATGAAGAGGAACTTTACTCCTCACAGTTTCAACAAAGTCCAACTGAGCTGATGGAAACAGGAGCTGATGGATCAGACTGTGGGGGATCAGAACCAGCTAGAGACTTTGATCCAGAGAGACATTTTCAAGCAGAAAGTCATAACAAAAGTGAACCTGGGACTGACAAACGAGGTGATTCAAACAGTCCAAAAAAACACCAGTCTGTGGGAAACACTGAATACAACTCACCAAAGACGGGTGTGAAACTGCACAGCTGCTCCCAGTGCGGTAAAGAATACAAACAGAAACAGAAGCTGACCACACACATGCTCATTCACACAGGAGAGAAACCATTCAGCTGCTCTGAATGTGGTTCAAGATTTATTAGTAAAGAAAACATGATTACACACATGAGAACTCACACAGAAGAGAAACAGTTTCACTGCCCTCAGTGCGGGAAAGCATTTACGAGTAAAGGGAATGTGACCAGACACTTAAGAATTCACACAGAGGAGAAAGACTTTGACTGTCCTGAGTGTGGGAAAAGATTTAACATGAAAGCAAATATGATCCGACACATGAGGACTCACACAGGAGAGAAAAGTTGGAGCTGCCCGGACTGTGGGAAAAGATTCACCCAAAAAACACATCTGGACATACACATGAGAACTCACACCGGAGAGAAACCTTTCAGCTGCTCTGAGTGTGGTAAAAGATTTAATCAGAAAGGATCTCTGAACATTCACATGAGAATTCACACAGATGAGAAACCCTTCAGCTGCCCTGACTGCGGTAAAAAGTTTAACCAAAAAGGATATTTTCATATCCACGTTAGAAATCACCAAGGAGACAAAACCTACAGCTGCTCTGAGTGTGATAAACGATTCGTCCAAAAGTCGAGTCTCACACGCCACTTCATGGCCCACCACGGCAAAGAGAAACCATTTGGCTGCCCTGAGTGTCGTAAAAGGTTTAACTTTAGAGGGAATCTTATCAAACATTTGAGAACTCACACAGGAGAGAAATGTTACACCTGCTCAGAATGTGGTCAAGGATTTAGTCAGAAGGAAAATCTAACGGCACATCTGAGAATTCACACGGGAGAGAAACCCTTCAGCTGCTCTGAGTGTGGGGAAAAGTTCATCCGCATGGCTCGTCTAACAGCTCACATGGCCACTCACGGTGGGGAGAAACCCTTCAGCTGCTCCGAGTTTGGCTTTTCTTCACCCTGTCAGATCAAATTTCACGAATGTGTTGGCATTCGGGTTCCAGAACTGGATCAGAACCAAGCTCAGGACCAAAGAGAGGAAGAAAGGAGAGCTGATGGAGAGGACTGTGGACCAGAACCAGTCAGGAACCTGAATCCAGACAGACATCATCAACAAGCAGCTGAGGTGAAAACTGAAGAATCTCAGACTGAGGACACTTCCACAGACTGGATCATGGTTCAGATTTGATTCTTTAGAATGATTCGGTTCTTATCAGGGATATGAAAACTCATCCCGGTAAGAATCCTGTTAACGATTTATTTTTTAATTTGTTGTGTTTTTGTCTGCATGAATTTCAAAGGTTTTATACAGCAGAGGTCGTTTTAAATACTCATTACACTAATATAATCATGTATTCTGGAGTAGATTTTTGGTCCAAGTTCAAACTGAGAAGAACTTGATGTTGTTTATTAATTTTATGTCCCCATGAGGCCTGAAAAAAAACTAATTCTTATTCTCTCAAAAAGTGGAGCTTTGATCAGTTATTCCATTAGGATTTTGAGGTAAAACACTCTCATCTGTCAAAAAGCAGATTTAATGAGAGGGACGTTGGTACAATGTTGACTAGACTAAACAAAATATTTCATATGTTAACATCTACGAAGAAAAAGTTAAAATATTATTCCTTTTTATGTGTGTGTGTGTGTGTGTGTGTGTGTGTGTGTGTGTGTGTGTTTGAACCTCCAGCTGCAGCCGTCAGTTCAGTTTCACTTCAGTCTGACTGAGGGAGGTTTTTGTACGACGCTTTTTCACTGTGTGAACACATGCTGACTATTGATGTAGTGTTCACTCTGACAGTAATAAACTGCTGCATCTTCAGTCTGGACTCCACTGATGGTCAGAGTGAAACTAGATCCTGATCCACTGCCTGAAAAACGACTCGATGTCCCTGATAGTCGACTATTCGCACCATAAATGAGCAGTTTAGGAGTTTCTCCATCCCTCTGTTGGTACCAGGATAAAAGGTGATAGCTGCTATAAACATGCACATTCTGACTGGTCCTACATGAGATGGTGACGGTTCCTCCTGGAGCAGAGGTCACAGCTGCAGGCTGAGTCACTGTGACCTGTCCTCTGGACTCTGAGGACACAGAGACAAAGACAGAAAGCAGCGTCATGGTTTTGTGGGCTTCATTTCAGAGGGACGGATGTTCATGGAGGAGAGGAGTTGGATTCTCTGGACTTTACCTGTGAAGCAGCAGCAGAGGAGAGTCCAGATGAGGACGCAGATCACAGTCATGTTTCTGATCAGGAGGAGGATTTCTGTGTCTTCTGTTGTGATGAAGGACAGCTGTCAGTCATCCAACCTTCAACTCTCAGGACTATAAAGTCTCCCAGAGCACTGGAGCATGCTGCTGCTCATGCAAACTCACTCTCTATGGAAATGATTTATGTCAATCCATTGATAAACCACTAAAGGTATTGATTGGAAATGGTTGTTTTTGATTCCATGTGACTTGATTTCAGTTTGATGCTTACAGAAAAACTCGGTCCACTTCCTGTCCGTCTCTGTCGGTGATTTACTGAAGAACAATATCTAATCAAAAATGTGCAAAATGAAGTTAACAGAGTTTTTAGGAGATTAAACTCGACAGTTAGTGAATAAAGTAACTCAATCTGTTGAATTAGTTTATTTCCTAATAGTTTGTCTGATGACAGTAATAAAAATCCTCTGTTAGAACCTGTCATTGTTCTTTCACAGGAAGTTCAGATTGATTTGTTCTGACAGGACGACTGTGAGTTTGGAACGACAGCAGATAGAAGATATTTCTGCAGTTCTGAGACCAAACATGAAACCAGCAGATGTTCAAAATACATCTTATGACTCGAAGTAGAAGTGAAACTTGTCTGTTTCATGGTTCGGCAGTGGTGCATCTGGGTTTCCATGGTTACTGAGCTGAGCTGATCAGAGAAACAACTCCCAGTCTGACACCTACTGTAGACATCCAGGACCGACATCTGACATGAGTTTTTACTCTTCTAATGACAGTTTATCAATGGACTCAGGATGACATCATGTCTGATCACTTATCAATCAGGACTGTCCATGTTTCTTCTCATCCATGGTTTTACTGATGGTTCACGCTGAGCCCGAGTATTCCCATAAGTGTGAGTTTTTTATTTTTATAATTGCTCTTGGGGGCCCCCTATTGGCTGCGGGGCCCTAAGAAGGCACTTAGTTCGCTTTTGCCTTGGGCCGGCTCTGTCGATACAATAAAGTTGCCCAGGCAGGCAGAGCCGGCCGAAGGCAAAAGCGAACTAAACGCCTGCTTAGGGCCAATAGGGGGGCAAAAATATATATATATATATATATTTCCATGTATGAGTGATGCTTTCTGTCTGATCAATATAGATTATTGTAAAAATAAAATAAAGTAAAAACATTTTAGTGCTGCTGCTGATGTAGGCCGATGATTCTTACTGCGATATGTCAAAGCTCCGCCCCCGTTATGTGCCTCCTGCTGTGAAATGGTCACTGAACATCCAAAGAGCAGGTAACTGTGGGACAAAAAAGGACATATCCTTCAGGAGCCGAGAAAAGAAAGAGGAAAAACGCCAAGATAAAGGTCTGTTTACATGTCAGGGAATGTTAAAGAGATTTATGAAGCTGTGTGAATGATCAATAATCAATATTATTAGCAGAAATAGAGGGCCCCATTGAGGCTTGGGCCGCCTCTGCATGCAGCAATAAGACACATTTTCACAACTGATGTAAAACCATTACAGCTGCACTTTATTTTGAAGGGCGATTGTTTTTCCTGGAGCAGCGCCTTTAGCATCCGGGGCGACTTCCTCATAATGACCCCGGATCAGAATAACCCGAGTTAAGGCGTCCATCTGCAGTTGTCTTGTCTCTGTTTGACTCTTGGGTCGGTAGAAAATGTCCAGGTTTCAGGATCTTGAAGATTTCTTCAGCCGGCGGCTGCTCGCTGCTGTTAACGGAGACCTCTCAGGACGATCAGCAACATCTGTGTATGAAGAGGAGCTCCAACGGCAAAGGAAACTGCTGAGTGTGATTTTAATGCCTGAAATCAAACTGAAGAGAGCAGGTTAGTTCACCTTCTTCTTCTTCTTCAACATGAGAAACGAACAAGAGAAAACCACCGAAGATCAAAACCTGTTGACAAACAGAACAGCAACGTCACTGACCTTTGAAGATCAATACTTGTTGGTAAAAAGAACAGCAACGTCACTGACCTTTGAAGATCAATACTTGTTGACAAAAAAAAATCACACAAATCCTTCAGTCCCGGACTGGACCATGTTGTCGACCGCTTGCTTCTCTAGTTATACCAACTTTAGTAACGACCGCAGGATAGAAATACAGAGAGCCACGCCCCCAACCAAAACGCCACTCTATAGCCACAAATAATGCTCAGAACAGCACCTAACTTCATCAACAGGACATATAGGGTCACAGACATAGTACTAGACACCAAACATCTTTTTAACTTTGACTAATTTCTTTAGCAAAGAGACTAAACACAACTCACCTACTCTCTTCCAGCAGACGCTTGTTTGTAGAGAGACCTCAGGCCAGTCCATTACAGACTATTATCTGTATTATTATTGAGCATTATTTGTGGCTATAGAGTGGCGTTTTGGTTGAGCGCGTGGCTCTCTGTATTTCTATCCTGCGGTTGTTACTAAAGTTGGTATAACTAGAGAAGCAAGAGGTCGACAACATTCATCTCTGGAGGGGGGGTCTAACTCTGTGTTACGGTGGGTTTGACCCTAAATTAATTTTTATGCAGAACTATCCCTTTAAGCTGAGAGGCAACAGATGAAACTCAAACACGACTTAAAAAAGGCGCGAATTCAACCCACGTATCATTCGTTCACTGGTTTTTCAAAATAAAACCAAACGTTAAAAACAAGAAATGACGCTCATCTATTTCCTAAACATGGTTAAGAAAAAAAGGATACCGACTCGTTTTCCCAATATGTTGTGTTCAAATACAAAATGGTAAAATCGGATAACGACAAAGTTTATTCAATTGTTCCACATCCGACTAGAACAAGCTGCGTGACCCGGAAGTGATGCTCCGTGTCTTTTTTGTTGATTGAATATCACGGTTGGAAATAGATATCAAACATAGAAAAAGGACTGTTTTATTTTTGTTTTAAAATAGAAACACCAAAATAATGAAATAAAGCTTGATTTTCTTTTCTGCTGTCTGGAACGAGTAAGGAAAAGTCAAAGAACAGTTCAGTTTCAATCTTTTACAGATGAATAGACACAAATCGAAAAAGTGCCCTTATATTTGTTTGCTACTGGTGGAGGAGAAATCCAGGTGGTGGCACGTAGTATGCAGTTTTAGTATTGGGGCCACAGTGAGAAAATAATATTTTCATACAAAGTCATAAAATTACAACAATAAAGTCATAAATTGACAGGAATAGAGTCGTAAATAAACAAGAATAAAATCATACATTTACAGGAATAAAGTCATTTTATCACAAGAATAATGTCATAAATCTACAAACAAATATAAGGGTAATTTTTTGATTTGTGTTTTCTGCTTTATTCCTTTGTAATGTTAGAAGTTATTATTAAAAATCAAACCATTATTTGACTTTTCTTTACTCCTTCCAGACAGCAGGAAAGAAAATCAAGCTGTATTTCAATTTTGGTGTTTCTATTTTAAAACCAAAATCAATAACCAGTTGTTTTTTCTATTTTTGATATCTGTCTCCAAACCTTAGATCTAGGCCAGGAACAATAACAAATTTTGCGGGATGATAAAAGCAAGAATCTCTATCCAAAGTTTGTCTCCAACATAGATGCCAAGCTTATCTTGATGTGTCTTTCTGTACTTTGGTGTTTCCTGCAGATGTCCAGCAGCTGTCAGTGATTAAAGAGGAACCTCTTGAGCTCCAGGAGTGGAGCCCTGATCTAAACCAAAAGGACACCAAGCACATGCACATTAAGGAGGAGGAACCCTGGAGCAGTCAGGAGGGAGAGCAGCTTCAAGGGTTTGAGGAGGCTGAGGCCACCATGTTCCCATTCACTGTTGTCATTGTGAAGAGTGAAGAGGATGAAGAAAAACCTCAGCCTCCACAGCTTCACCCAAAACCAATTCAAAAGATGGAAACAGGAGATGATGAAGAAATCTGTGGAGTTTCAGAACCAGCTGGAAACTCAAATCCTGTGAGTGATAACGGGTCAGAAGACTCCTCTGAGACTGATGATGATGATGATTGGAAGGAGACCAGAGAGGATCAGTCAGGATTAAACTCTGGGAAATTAATGAAAAGAAGAGGACAGAAAACTGTCATGAAATCTCACAGCTGCTCTGAGTCTGGTAGAAGATTTAATTCTCAAGAGGCTTTCATCAGACACATGTTGGTTCACACAATGGAGAAACCTTTCAGCTGCTCTAAGTGCAGTCAAAGATTCAACTGTCAACAGGCTCTGAAAATACACATGGTCGTTCACACAGGAGAGAAACCTTTCAGCTGCTCTGAGTGTGGTAAAAGATTTTCACGAAAACAACATCTGACCACACACAATTTAGTTCACAAAGGGGAGAAACCTTTCAGCTGCTCTGAGTGTGATAAAAAATATTTTGATAAAAGGTCTCTTGCCAACCACATGTTGGTTCACACAGGAGAGACACCTTTCAGCTGCTCTGAGTGTGATAAAAAATATTTGGTCATGAGTGCTCTGGCCAGACACATGTTAGTTCACACAGGGGAAAAACCTTTCAGCTGCTCTGAGTGCGGGAAAAATTTTTCACTTAAACAGAGTATGATCAGACACAAAGTTAATCATTCAGGAGAGAAACCTTTCAGCTGCTCTGAGTGTGATAAAAGATTTTCCCAAAAAAACCAAGTGACTAAACACATGTTACATCACAGGAAAGAGAAACCATTCAGCTGCTCTGAGTGCGATAAAAGATTCAAATTTAAAGAGGTTCTTAAACGACACATGTTATTTCACACAGGAGAGAAACCCTTCAGTTGTTCTGATTGTGGTAAAAGATTTACACAAAAAAGTGATCTGGCCAGACACATGTTAGTTCACACAGGAGAGAAACCCTTGGGTTGTTCTGATTGTGGTAAAAGATTTACACAAAAACAAGATCTGGCCAGACACATCTTAGTTCACACAGGGGAGAAACCTTTTAGCTGCTCTGAGTGTGATAAAAAATATCGTGATAAAAGGTCTCTGGCCAAACACATGTTTGTTCACACGGGGGAGAAACCTTTCAGCTGCTCTGAGTGTGGTAAATCATATTGTGAGAAAAGGGATCTGACCTTACACATGTTACGTCATACAGGAGAGAAACCTTTCAGCTGCTCTTAGTGTGGTAACAAATATTGTGATAAAAGATATCTGACCTCACACATGTTAGTTCACACAGGGAGGATAAAGAAAACTGTTTAGCTGCAGCGTCTGAGAACAAAAATTCTCTCAGTCTCAGGATTATTGGTCTTGTTGGTATGATCATTGAACAGTTGGACCACTAGGCCTGTCGCGATAATCAATAAATCGCCTTATCGCTCGGTAAATAAAAACGAGGTCGGTCATTTTGCCAGCCTCGATAATTGACGTGCGTTTGTTTTCCTCCTCTCTTGCTACCAAAGACGCTGGATGAGAGAAGAGGTCTCACTCTGCGCATTTTTCTCGGCACCTGGGGGCGTTGGCTCTATAGCGGAATGAACGGAGTTAGTGAACCCTCCTTTCAGTCATTCAGTGTCTTTGTCACGGGGGGCGCGCACAGGCACACAGACACAGACTTTGGGATACAGTGCTGCAAGTGAGCGTCGTGAGTGAAAAGCAAGCGAACAAAATGAACACAACAGCTTTGGTGTCTAAACCGAACGCAACAGCCCAAGTGTGGGAATATTTCGGCTTTAAACCAGTTTTGTTTTCGTCAACCACAAAACTCCACGTGTGTGTGTGCGCGCGTGTGTGTGTGTCTGTGTGTTGGAGGAGCACAGCAGGCTGATGAGAGCTGTCAGAGCGGACTGAAGCTGCTCCTATATGTTTAGCGTTTAACTGACTGAGTTTTGCAACTCTGTTCGTCATTTTCGTCTCGTCCCATCAACGTAAACGCGCTTTCGTCTCGTCACATTTTAGTCATCTCCGACTTATGTTTAGCTCGTCAACGTTACGTCTTCGTCATGGGTGAAATTAAAGTTTATCACTTTTGACACGGTCTACTCGCATTATTATGCCATTTAATATCATTATCTATAATTTAAAAAACGGTGTCAATAATATCGTTTATCGGCAATAATTTGTAGCACAATTATCGTCCAGCAAAATTTGTTATCGTGACAGGTCTATGGACCACATATATGTAAAGTTACACTTGAAGGGTTTTTATCTGGATTGGATGTTTGATGTTGTTTAGGTACCTGATTAAAGCATCACTTTATCCAATCCTCATGCTGTTCAGTTCCACTTTCTTCTTCTCTGACAACAACACAGTTCTATCATCGCCTCTTTGACACCATCAACATGACATGAATCCAACATGTCATGGTTAGTTTACCACCACACCCAGATTATAATCCAACTTCCTCAAATATCCTTTGTACTCTGTTTTATGTCTTTATAAGATTTTTATTCCACCCACAATTTTAGTATTAAATCATTTCCAGTTTTCAAAGTGTACCAGCAACAGAAATGACTTATTTCAGTCTTTGACAAGGTCAAAGCATAAAAACGTTTTAATTTAAGGTCTCTCAGGAAAGACAGCTGGGAAATTAATACGGTTAAAATCCAATTCTTGAACGACACCGAATTAGTTTTAAAAATGATCTTTTTTTAAAACTACTTTTTTATTTTCTGCCCTAAACTCCTGTTCCAAATCCCAGTCCAGTAGGTGGCGGTAATGCAACTCCATGGACGCTGGCTGCCGTAAAACACCAAAGAAGAAGAAGAAGAAGGGTCCGGCGCACAGAGGGACTCTCCCGAGGAGTCATTAGCAGGATAACCCGAGTTAAGGCGTCCATCTGCAGTTGTCTTGTCTCTGTTTGACTCTTGGGTCGGTAGAAAATGTCCAGGTTTCAGGATCTTGAAGATTTCTTCAGCCGGCGGCTGCTCGCTGCTGTTAACGGAGACCTCTCAGGACGATCAGCAACATCTGTGTATGAAGAGGAGCTCCAACGGCAACGAAAACTGCTGAGTGTGATTTTAATGCCTGAAATCAAACTGAAGAGAGCAGGTTAGTTCACCTTCTTCTTCTTCTAAAACGGGACTGATACTGAAAAAGAGAGAGAACTTGAGGTCAACAGATGAAATTCAAACACGATTATAACAGAGGAGTGATACAACTCACGTTTCCTGCGTACACTCGTTTTTCAAAATAAAAGCAAAAGTTAAAAAACAAGAAAACGAAATTTCTTTAAAAGTCTGTTTCCGTAACATTTTTCTTTAAAAGCAGAGAGACTCGTGTTCCCAGTTTTTTTGTTCAACTACAAAATGGAAAAAACGTCAAAGTTTCTCCCTTTATTCCATCTCCGACCGTAGACATTACATACATAGATGCCTCATTACGTGCTGGAGACTGTATCTAGAATAGACGCCGTCTGCCTCCTCCTCTCTGTGAGAACAGCGCCCTCTGGTGACGGGCTGCAGTATAGGTCATAAACCCCGCCTCCTTATGGAGCTGTGGACAAACTTTATAAATGAATGACACAGAATATAAATGTTTCTCCCCCCTGGTTGTGATGTTGACATGCAGTTACTTAAAAGTTATTAGGGGGTTCATGTTTTCTATGATTGACACCTGATACAGCCAATGGGAGGACAGAGATTGAGTAGATCACTGGGGGATACGCTGTTTGAGCCGAGCGTCATCGCAGCGACTCTCGGCGACTGCGCAGCCGAATGCGCGCATCGCTACTGCGCAGCTCTGGTTTCAGGAAATGAAGAAAAATCGTGGAAATATCGAGAGCTTTTTGGCTTCAAATCCGTAAACAGGCAGGGGGGGCAGAACGAAGTCGTCCAGAGTAAAGACAGTCTATGGTCTCCCCACTCCAGGTTCACTCAAGAGCCGAATGGGGTCAGAGGAGAACGAGCAACCATGCCTGTATTTTTGCACTCTATGGTTGAAAAACCCGACACAGTATTGAAACCAGATCATGTAGGATTACATTTCACAAATAGGATTGAAAAATATTTGGGTTTATTTTTAATGTGTGACATTGTCCTGTATTATTGCTACATCCCTGCTGTTGTTACAAACCAAACAGTGAAAATCAGGCAGAGATTCGGAGAGTTATTGTTAGTATGGTTGGGCATCCCTACCTACCTTAATGCACTGGCGGCACATGGGGGACCTATCCAAGATGGCGGCTGCACTGATACGTGAGCTCCAACAGGCAGCGTCAGGCTTTTAGGCGTCTACATTTATTATGTCTATGTCTGTGTCCGAAATGAATCACTCAACCCCTGACCCCTGACCCCCATATGGAGTTTCACTATATATCTGACTATGTAGTGAACTCAATCACCGGAGGTATCCGACACTACATGGCATGACGGGATGCCCACCATCGGTTAGTGACCATCGGATGGTCACTACTTTTTGCAATGCTTTATGGGAAATTTTGAGTCGCCTATATGGGGCACTGGAATTGATCACTCAGGTTTGGGACACCCCTCAAAATGGCGCTAACCCCTATATAGTCGCCTCTATAGGGGTGAGGGAGCCATTTCGGACACAGCCTAAGTCTCCGACTGCTCAAGAGGACTTGAGCACAAACCAGTCTGACAGTAACTACACGTCAACATCACAACCAGGGGGGAGAAACATTTATATTCTGTGTAATAAATTTTCCCACAGCTCCATAGGGATGGCTGGAGGAGGTGGGATTTATGACCTATATTGCAGCCCGTCACCAGAGGGTGCTGTTCTCGAAGTGGCTTCACCCAGCAAGGAGGCAGACGGCGTCCGTTCTATATACAGTCTATGGCCAAAACCAAATATAGAATATGATTGAAGCAAACCTCTTAATCACAAAAATGCAGTAGCACCTTCTCCTTGGAAATAAAACAAAGAATAAATTACAACATAGATGCCAAGCTGGTCTTGATGTGTCTTTCTGTACTTTGGTGTTTCCTGCAGATGTCCAGCAGCTGTCAGTGATTAAAGAGGAACCTCTTGAGCTCCAGGAGTGGAGCCCTGATCTAAACCAAAAGGACACCAAGCACATGCACATTAAGGAGGAGGAACTCTGGAGCAGTCAGGAGGGAGAGCAGCTTCAAGGGTTTGAGGAGGCTGAGGCCACCATGTTCCCATTCACTGTTGTCATTGTGAAGAGTGAAGAGGATGAAGAAAAACCTCAGCCTCCACAGCTTCACCCAAAACCAATTCAAAAGATGGAAACAGGAGATGATGGAGAAATCTGTGGAGTTTCAGAACCAGCTGGAAACTCAAATCCTGTGAGTGATAACAGGTCAGAAGACTCCTCTGAGACTGAGGATGATGATGATTGGAAGGAGACCAGTGAGGATCAGTCAGGATTAAACTCTGGGAAATTAATGAAAAGAAGAGGACAGAAAACTGTCAAGAAATCTCACAGCTGCTCGGAGTGCGGTAAAAGATTTAACGCTCCAGGGGCTCTCATCAGACACATGTTGGTTCACACAGGGGAGAAACCTTTCAGCTGCTCTGAGTGCGGTCAAAGATTCAACTGTCAAGGGACTCTGATCAGACACATGTTAATTCACACAGGAGAGAAACCTTTCAGCTGCTTTGACTGCGGTAAAACATTTTCACAAAAACAGAATATGATCAGACACAGAGCAGTTCATACAGGGGAGAAACCCTTCAGCTGCTCTGAGTGTGGTAAAAGATTCACACAAAAAAAAGATCTGATCAAACACATGTCAGCCCACACAGGAGAAAATGTTTTCAGCTGCTCTGAGTGCGGAAAAAGGTTTTATGATAAAAGATCTCTGGCCCAACACATGTTAGTTCACACAGGAGAGAGACCTTACAGCTGCTCTGAGTGTGGTAAAAGATTTTCACTGAAACAGAATATGATCAGACACAAAGTAATTCATTCAGGAGAGAAACGCTTTGGGTGTTCTAAATGTGATAAAAGATTTACACAAAAACAAGTTCTGGTCGGACACATGTTAGTTCACACAGGAGAGAAACCGTTCAGCTGCTCTGAGTGTGGTAAAAGGTTTTACCGCAAAACACACATGACTTCACACATGTTAACTCACAGTAAAGAGAAACCTTTCAGCTGCTCTGAGTGTGGTAAAAAATTTAGCCATAAATATAACCTGACAGTTCACATGGTATGTCACAGGGCAGAAACCTTTCAGCTGCTCTGAGTGCAGTAGAAGAGTTAATTGTTGAACGTATCTGACCTCACACATGTTTGTTAACATGAAGGAAAAAGAAAACTGTTTAGCTGCAGCGTCTGAGAACAAAAATTCTCTCAGTCTCAGGATTATTCAAAGACTTCAGCGCTTCATCAAAACTAATCAGGGGAGAAGGAGGATGAAGAAACAGGAGCTGATGGAAGGATGGAGAACCTGAACAAGTCAGAAAATGAGGATTACAACAAGAGACTGTGGAGGAGACTCTTCCAACCCTGAGTCTGAGGACCGGGATGATTGGACCTGGACCAGAGACCACAAACAAATTCACAAAGAATGGACTGGGGCTGAGAATGGCATCAAGAATTATTCATCATTTCTGACCGTCCAGAACTGCTGAGAGTAACATCAGTGGTTGTGCCAGGCTCATTGTAAGAGACTTCATGTAAAGATGCATCATTTCCATGTCTTTTCAGAGGTGGTCTTGTCGGTATGATCATTGAACAGTTGGACCACATATATGTAAAGTTACACTTGAAGGGTTTTTATCTGGATTGGATGTTTGATGTTGTTTAGGTACCTGATTAAAGCATCACTTTATCCAATCCTCATGCTGTTCAGTTCCACTTTCTTCTTCTCTGACAACAACACAGTTCTATCATCGCCTCTTTGACACCATCAACATGACATGAATCCAACATGTCATGGTTAGTTTACCACCACACCCAGATTATAATCCAACTTCCTCAAATATCCTCTGTACTATGTTTTATATCTTTATAAGATTTTTATTCCACCCACAATTTTAATATTAAATCATTTCCAGTTTTCAAAGTGTACCAGCGACAGAAATGACTTATTTCAGTCTTTGACAAGGTCAAAGCAAAAAAAAGGTTTTAATTTAAGGTCTATCAGGAAAGACAGCTGGGAAATTAATACGGTTAAAATCTAATTCTGGATCGACACTGGATGAGTTAAGAAAGTTATATATTTCTTAATTATTCTTTTATTTCCTTCCCTAAACTCGTTCCAAATCCCAGTCCAATAGGTGGCGGTAATGCAACTTTATGGTCGCCCGCACCGAAGAAGAAGAAGAAGAAGGGTCCGGAGCACGGAGGGACTCTCCCGAGGAGTCATTAGCAGGATAACCCGAGTTAAGGCGTCCATCTGCAGTTGTCTTGTCTCTGTTTGACTCTTGGGTCGGTAGAAAATGTCCAGGTTTCAGGATCTTGAAGATTTCTTCAGCCGGCGGCTGCTCGCTGCTGTTAACGGAGACCTTTCAGGACGATCAGCAACATCTGTGTATGAAGAGGAGCTCCAACGGCAACGAAAACTGCTGAGTGTGATTTTAATGCCTGAAATCAAACTGAAGAGAGCAGGTTAGTTCACCTTCTTCTTCTTCTTCAACATGAGAAACGAACAAGAGAAAACTACCGAAGATCAAAACCTGTTGACAAACAGAACAGCAACGTCACTGACCTTTGAAGATCAATACTTGTTGACAAACAGAACACCAACGTCACTTATCTGTAATTATTTCGGTTACAGAAAGGATGACGTCACCAAGCACCTGTTCTGTGTCGGCAGTGCCTTTCATCTGTTGCCACAGTAACGTCCCAGCACAATAAAAGCTAAAAAGATCTCTGAGACAGACAGAAGCCATTCTACTTATATTTACAAAAACAGGAAGCACAGTCCCCTTTCAAAATAAGTCTCCCAATAACTGCACAGCTTACCAGTAGGACACAGAGCTTCCCTTAGGTTATGCCGCCTTGCATCAAAAAAGCTTACACCACTTTAGCAAACTAAACTCATGAATTCCTTCAATGTCAACAATCTTTCAGAAATCACACAGTCCCACAAATCCTTCAATCCCCGTCTGGACCAAGTACCTTCTCCTCTAAACAACAAACATGGGAAAAAAAAATATTCTCTGCTGACAGTTAGCCACTTTTTCTTGGAGGACCACTCCCAGTAAATCTGTGGTTTGTCTTATAGGCAGTTTGAGTGACAATAATATAATAATATCCTGTAGCTGATGGGGTCCAAGCTGCTTTATTTCCACATTTCTCTTGTAGAGTCAAGGTTTAAACCTGTGCCACAGTTAAAAATCTGCCTCGTTCACCTTTAAAGTTAGCCAGCATTACTAAAAGTTTCTGTATCCTGTCCAGAAATGGTTTTCTGACTTTTAGCAGTTTAGCAGCTTGAATGACAGCAGCAAATCACCGAAACTGCTTTGAATTATCAGCCAATCAAGTCTTTAAAAAGGCATGATGTTTAATTCTTTAGGCGGATGTACAGTAAACAGACAAACACTCTGAGAGTGTTCATTTCAATTTTCCCATGTATAATACACACTCAGCTGTGAGAGAGTGGCTGGCCTAACATTGACCCTGCAGCCATTGTAGTTCTCTGCAGACACCAACGGGAGGAGAAGGACTTCTACAATCATTAAAAACATATATTTGCATTTGCAACCAAAAGAAAATGCAAATGGTGACTCTGCAGTTATCATGCAATAGGCCTCATCATGTCTCATCATTTTTTTGACAACTGCTGATAACAGATTCATTTAGTTTTTTTATGACAAGAGGTGGGGCTAAGCCCCACTTGTTCCTAATGACCATCACTATGGCTGTTTCCAAAACATCATAAAAAAAGTGATAATGACTTGTTTTTCCAATGTGTGGTGTTCAAAGTCAAAGTGCAAAAAAATCCATGATGACAAAGTTTCTCCAGTTGATCAGTTGGTTCTTCTCTGACCGACACAAACTGTATGACCCGAATGTGATGCTTCAGGGCAGGCATTTCTAGCCTGTTTTTTGGGAGTGCTTGAAACAACTTCTCCTTCAATAAAACACCAAAATAAAATCTGGTTGGTCTGTTTAGGAGTTGATTAAATTTAACTTGTAGGGGAGTTTGAAAATTAAAAGCAAGAATCTATCCAAAGTTTGTCTCCAACATAGATGCCAAGCTTATCTTGATGTGTCTTTCTGTACTTTGGTGTTTCCTGCAGATGTCCAGCAGCTGTCAGTGATTAAAGAGGAACCTCTTGAGCTCCAGGAGTGGAGCCCTGATCTAAACCAAAAGGACACCAAGCACATGCACATTAAGGAGGAGGAACTCTGGAGCAGTCAGGAGGGAGAGCAGCTTCAAGGGTTTGAGGAGGCTGAGGCCACCATGTTCCCATTCACTGCTGCCATTGTGAAGAGTGAAGAGGATGAAGAAAAACCTCAGCCTCCACAGCTTCACCCAAAACCAATTCAAAAGATGGAAACAGGAGATGATGGAGAAATCTGTGGAGTTTCAGAACCAGCTGGAAACTCAAATCCTGTGAGTGATAACAGGTCAGAAGACTCCTCTGAGACTGAGGATGATGATGATTGGAAGGAGACCAGAGAGGATCAGTCAGGATTAAACTCTGGGAAATTAATGAAAAGAAGAGGACAGAAAACTGTCAAGAAATCTCACAGCTGCTCTGATTGTGGTAAAAGCTTCAACTGTCAACAGGCTTTAAAAATACACATGTTGGTTCACACAGGAGAGAAACCTTTCAGCTGCTCTGACTGCGGTAAACATTTTTCACAAAAACAGCATCTGACCAGACACATGTTAGTTCATACAGTGGAAAAACCCTTCAGCTGCTCTGAGTGCGGTAAAAGATTCAAATCTCAAGAGGCTCTAAGAGGACACATGTTGGTTCACACTGGGGAGAAACCTTTCAGCTGCTCTGACTGTGGTATAAGATTTTCAGACAAACGGAATATGATCAGACACAGAGCAATTCATACAGGAGATAAACCCTTTAGCTGCTCTGAGTGTGGTAAAAGGTTTTCACAAAAACAGCATCTGACCAGACACAGTGTAGTTCACACAGGGGAGAAACCTTTCAGCTGCTCTGAGTGTGGTAAAAAATATTGTGATAAAAGATATCTGACCTCACACATGTTAGTTCACACAGGGAGGATAAAGAAAACTGTTTAGCTGCAGCGTCTGAGAACAAAAATTCTCTCAGTCTCAGGGTTATTCAAAGACTTCAGCGCTTCATCAAAACTAATCAGGGGAGAAGGAGGATGAAGAAACAGGAGCTGATGGAAGGATGGAGAACCTGAACAAGGCAGAAAATGAGGATTACAACAAGAGACTGTGGAGGAGACTCTTCCAACCCTGAGCCTGAGGACCGGGATGATTGGACCTGGACCAGAGACCACAAACAAATTCACAAAGAATGGACTGGGGCTGAGAATGGCATCAAGAATTATTCATCAAATACCCAACTATCAGTTTAGTCTTCAGGCCCAGGTTACCATCCCCACAGCAATTGTTCAAAAATGTCAGTGTAGTTCAGTTTCTTCAGTATTTAGCTTATGTTGCTGTTTTCAATCATTTCTGCTCTCCCTTAATGTTATATAACATCATAGCAGACTAACAGGCTAGAGCGAGTGACCTATCTCAGAGGATTCTATCATAGAATTTTGATATATCAGCAGAGGAGCGGTGGAGGGGTGAACTGAGCACCCACCAACGAGAAGAAGTGAGTTGTTGTCTGTGGACGTGGAAACGGATCAAACACAGGCACTACATAGTCTCAGGGTCAATGATCATTTTTCTTTGTGTGGATTTTTTTCTGTTTGACTCCTTTTAGGCTCTTCACGGAGGCGTGCTCGTCCTTTTTTCCTTTTCATAAAGTGTTGGACATTCTTACAAAACCAACCAAACTTCAGAGAGAAAGCTGATCATTTTGTAAGAAAAAGAAAATACATTCAATAAAAATAAGGAAAGATAAAGTTCTAGACATGAACTTCTCCTGTTCATAGTTTTTTATACAAACAGAATCTATGTGGGAGGTCCACTTCAGGTCCCTGGAGACAGTGGATCCCAGGAGCCGGAACAGGTCCACAGTCGACACCACACTGTTGAGGATTGTTAGGGGGGCGGGTCAAGAGAGTTTAAAACATAAAAAACCTAAGTCCTATGAAGTTGGGAAGATGTGTAGATCGGAAATAAAAACGGAATACAATGATTTGCAAATCCTTTTCAACCTATATTCAATTGAATTCCCTACAAATACAAGATATTTAATGTTCAAACTGACTAACTTGATTGTTTTTTGCAAATTATCATTAACTTTAGAATTTGACGGCTGCAACACGTGCCAAAGAAGTTGGGAAAGGTGGCAAAATTAATGAGAAATTTGAGAAATGCTCATCAAACACCTATTTGGACCGTCCGACAGGTGAGCAGGCTTATAGGGAACAGGTGGGTGTCATGATTGGGTATAAAAGCAGCTTCCCCAAAAACTCTCAGTTATTCATGAGCAAGGATGGGGCGAGGTTCACCACTATGTCAACAACTGTGTGAGCAAACAGTCGAACAGTGTAAGAACATTTCTCAAAGTACAATTGCAAAGAACTTATGGGTTTCAACATCTACGGTCCAAAATATCATCAGAAGGTTCAGAGAATCTGGAGAAATCACTGCAGGTAAGCGGCACGGCAGGAAACCAACATTGAATGGTCATGACCTTTGATCCCTCAGGCGGCGCTGTATCAAAAACCGACATCAGTGTGTAAAGGATATCAGCACATGGGCTCAGGAACACTTCAGAAAACCACTGTCAGTAAATACAGTTTGTCTCTACATCTGTAAGTGGAAGTTAAAACTCTACTATGCAAAGAGAAAGCCATTTATCAATGACATCCAGAAATGCCGCTGGCTTCTCTGGGCCCGAGCTCATCGAAGATGGACTGATGCAAAGTGGAAAAGTGTTCTATGGTCTGATGAGTCCACATTTCAGATTGTTTTTGGAAATAGTGGACGTCGTGTCCTCCGGGCCAAAGAGGAAGAGAACCATCCGGACTGTTATCGATGCAGAGTTCAAACGCCAGCATCTGTGATGGTATGGGGGTGCATTAGTGCCCAAGGCATGGGCTGAAAGGTACATACAGGTTTTGGAGCAACATACACTACAGGCCAAAAGTTTGGAAGCAAGATCAGATTTGTACAAAAAAAGATCATAGTTTCATAAATATAATTTTCAACAAAATAAACATGACTATTGTGTAAAGAGTAACTCATCACAAGACATTTTGACTATAATTATGAGGTATTTGAGTTATTGTTGCTTAGACTTTGCTTTCTTTAAAGTTACCTCCTCTGGCTTTAACAACAGCTCGGCATATACCAGGCATTCGTTCCACAAGTTTTCTAAGGTCTGTTCCAGGGATTACATTCCAAGCTTCATCCCGCACAAGCTCAATTGGAGAAAGGTCTGGAGACTGAGGGGGCCAAACCATCTTTTGAAGAACACCTTCCTCTTCTTTTTTGTCTCGGTAACCCTGACAGAGCTCGGCAGAGAGCTTAGGGTCATTGTCTTACTGCAAAACAAACTTATGAACCACAAGTCTGAGTCCAGATGGAGCAGCATGGTGCTGGAGGATGGAGTGGTACTGTTCCTTCTTCATGATACCCTTTACTTCAAACAAATCTCCTACTCCATCACCTGCTAAACATCCCCATACCATGGAACTACCACCTCCATGCTGAATTGTGGGTGTAACACATGGAGCTTTCAGACGTTCACCAGTTTGTCTGCGGACATAGACTCTGCGTTTGGAACCAAACAGTTCAAATTTGCTTTCATCGATACAGAGAACTTGTCTCTCGTCATCCTAAGTCCAATTTTTGTGAGCTTTTGCCCACTCATGTCTCTTTTTCTTGTTCTGTGGATGAAGTAGTGTTTTTTTGCAGATACACAACCCTTCAGACCAGCCTTTCTCAAACGTCACGGTTGTCACAGATATGGGTTTCGACCTTGTCATGTTGATTTCCTCCCTTATTTGTGGTGCTGTCTTTCGCCGATCTCTCTTCCTGGTGACAATGCTCTGTTTGTCCTCTGCTTTTGTAGTAACTCTCTTTCGTCAAGGTCTTTTTCTATCATCATAACTTCCAGGTTCCTCTAATAATAATAATGCATCAGATTTCATATAGCGCTTTAACAGAGACCCTCAAAGCGCTTTACATCGGATACATCATTCATTCACTCACACAGTCACACTTTGGTGGTGGTAAACTACCTTAGTAGTCACAGCTGCCCTGGGGCGGACTGACGGAAACGTGGCTGCCATTTTGCGCCTACGGTCTCTCCGACCACCACCACACAACACTCACAATCATACACCAGTGGAGGACACACACTGGGAGCAAGGTGGGTTAAGTGTCTTGCCCAAGGATACAACAGACAGACTTGGGATAGGGGGAATCGAACAGCCAACCTTCCAGTTATTGGACGACCACTCTACCTCCTGAGCTGCTGCTGCCCCTAGTCTCTAGTCTCTTCAGAGTGTAGTGGACTCCTTTGTTAAACACCTTTAGGCGTTTTTCTCTTTCTGTGTATCCTTCTTTCCTCGATGTACAAATCTGTACTTTTGTTTCTTTACTCAGTTGCTTCTTTCTAGCCATTTCTGCGGTAGTTTGAACGCAGTTTAGATTTATTAGGATTTTTGTCTGCAGACTCTCAAAAGACAAAAAGTTGAAGTGAATAATCCAACTGTGATTTGTTGTTTTTTTGCTTTTGCACTGAAGTTGTGACTCTTGCAAATGTTTTCAACCCTAAAACTAAGCCCTTATTATTATTTTTGCTGACATATATTTAGCAATGGTCTGTTAACATCAATGTATATCTAAAGGTAAATGGAGTAAAATGGTGCATTTCCATGGAAACAACATCTGATCATGGAGTAAATACATCCCAAAATACATCAAACTCATGCTGGATTTTAAAAAAATCATTGTGAACAAAAACTTGAAGTAACTCCCAACTGTTCGGCCTGGAATGGCCATGCTTTCAAACTTTTGGCCGGTAGTGTATGCTGCCATCCAAGCAACGTCTTTTTCATGGACGCCCCTGCATATTTCAGCAAGACAACGCCAAGCCACATTCTGCACGTGTTACAACAGCGTGGCTTCTTAGTGAAAGAGTGCGGGTACTCGACTGGCCTGCCTGCATCCCAGACCTGTCTCCCATTGAAAATATGTGGAGCATTATGAAGTGTAAAATACGACAACGGAGGTGCTCTTATTGTCGTATCTTTTACTCTTGTTTTTATTTCATTTTATTTAATAATTCTTAAATTTCATTTTATGTTACTTTGTTTTTAGATTTTAAACCTCAAGTGTTTCTTTACCTTGAATTTTAAAACGGTGTTTCCTCAGTGCGCACATTCCTGTTTATATGAATCGAACCCTTTTTAAGTTTATGCATTTTTATACATGTTTCTATTGAGCTGAGATTGCGGGGTGGGAATGAGGGGTTGGGTTGGGGTAGATTCAGGTTTTTTTTGTTTCTTTTATTTCTCTACTATGTAAAACACTTTGTGCTTCATCTGTTTGTATGAAAAGTGCGATACAAATAAAGACTGATTGATTTTGACTTGAATCTGTCTGCCAATCGAATGCTCAGTCACACTCCAGCCCAGTAGTTGGCGGTAATGCACCTTCGACCTGGTTGCCAACCGCCCTTACGAACAAAAGAGAGAGAAGAAGAACCACGAGGGAAGTTTCCTGAAGACCCCGGATCAGAATAACCCGAGTTAAGGCGTCCATCTGCAGTTGTCTTGTCTCTGTTTGACTCTTGGGTCGGTAGAAAATGTCCAGGTTTCAGGATCTTGAAGATTTCTTCAGCCGGCGGCTGCTCGCTGCTGTTAACGGAGACCTCTCAGGACGATCAGCAACATCTGTGTATGAAGAGGAGCTCCAACGGCAACGAAAACTGCTGAGTGTGATTTTAATGCCTGAAATCAAACTGAAGAGAGCAGGTTAGTTCACCTTCTTCTTCTTCCTCAACATGAGAAACAACAAAAAGAACAAAAAGAACAGCAACGTCACTGACCTTTGAAGATCAATACTTGTTGACAAACAGAACAGCAACGTCACTTATCGGTAATTATTTCGGTTACAGAAAGGATGACGTCACCAAGCACCTGTTCTGTGTCGGCAGTGCCTTTCATCTGTTGCCACAATAACGTCCCAGCACAATAAAAGCTAAAAAGATCTCTGAGACAGACAGAAGCCATTCTACTTATATTTACAATAACAGGAAGCACAGTCCCCTTTCAAAATAAGTCTCCCAATAACTGCACAGCTTACCAGTAGGACACAGAGCTTCCCTTAGGTTATGCCGTCTTGCATCAAAAAAGCTTACACCACTTTAGCAAACTAAACTCATGAATTCCTTCAATGTCAACAATCTTTCAGAAATCACACAGTCCCACAAATCCTTCAATCCCCGTCTGGACCAAGTACCTTCTCCTCTAAACAACAAACATGGGAAAAAAAAATATTCTCTGCTGACAGTTAGCCACTTTTTCTTGGAGGACCACTCCCAGTAAATCTGTGGTTTGTCTTATAGGCAGTTTGAGTGACAATAATATAATAATATCCTGTAGCTGATGGGGTCCAAGCTGCTTTATTTCCACATTTCTCTTGTAGAGTCAAGGTTTAAACCTGTGCCACAGTTAAAAATCTGCCTCGTTCACCTTTAAAGTTAGCCAGCATTACTAAAAGTTTCTGTATCCTGTCCAGAAATGGTTTTCTGACTTTTAGCAGTTTAGCAGCTTGAATGACAGCAGCAAATCACCGAAACTGCTTTGAATTATCAGCCAATCAAGTCTTTAAAAAGGCATGATGTTTAATTCTTTAGGCGGATGTACAGTAAACAGACAAACACTCTGAGAGTGTTCATTTCAATTTTCCCATGTATAATACACACTCAGCTGTGAGAGAGTGGCTGGCCTAACATTGACCCTGCAGCCATTGTAGTTCTCTGCAGACACCAACGGGAGGAGAAGGACTTCTACAATCATTAAAAACATATATTTGCATTTGCAACCAAAAGAAAATGCAAATGGTGACTCTGCAGTTATCATGCAATAGGCCTCATCGTGTCTCATCATTTTTTTGACAACTGCTGATAACAGATTCATTTAGTTTTTTTATGACAAGAGGTGGGGCTAAGCCCCACTTGTTCCTAATGACCATCACTATGGCTGTTTCCAAAACATCATAAAAAAAAGTGATAATGACTTGTTTTTCCAATGTGTGGTGTTCAAAGTCAAAGTGCAAAAAAATCCATGATGACAAAGTTTCTCCAGTTGATCAGTTGGTTCTTCTCTGACCGACACAAACTGTATGACCCGAATGTGATGCTTCAGGGCAGGCGTTTCTAGCCTGTTTTTTGGGAGTGCTTGAAACAACTTCTCCTTCAATAAAACACCAAAATAAAATCTGGTTGGTCTGTTTAGGAGTTGATTAAATTTAACTTGTAGGGGAGTTTGAAAATTAAAAGCAAGAATCTCTATCCAAAGTTTGTCTCCAACATAGATGCCAAGCTTATCTTGATGTGTCTTTCTGTACTTTGGTGTTTCCTGCAGATGTCCAGCAGCTGTCAGTGATTAAAGAGGAACCTCTTGAGCTCCAGGAGTGGAGCCCTGATCTAAACCAAAAGGACACCGAGCACATGCACATTAAGGAGGAGGAACCCTGGAGCAGTCAGGAGGGAGAGCAGCTTCAAGGGTTTGAGGAGGCTGAGGCCACCATGTTCCCATTCACTGCTGCCATTGTGAAGAGTGAAGAGGATGAAGAAAAACCTCAGCCTCCACAGCTTCACCCAAAACCAATTCAAAAGATGGAAACAGGAGATGATGGAGAAATCTGTGGAGTTTCAGAACCAGCTGGAAACTCAAATCCTGTGAGTGATAACAGGTCAGAAGACTCCTCTGAGACTGATGATGATGATGATTGGAAGGAGACCAGAGAGGATCAGTCAGGATTAAACTCTGGGAAATTAATGAAAAGAAGAGGACAGAAAACTGTCAAGAAATCTCATCCTTGCTCAGAGTGCGGTAAAAGATTTTCACTAAAACAGCATCTGACCAGACACATGTTAGTTCACACAGGAGAGAAACCTTTCAGCTGCTCTGAGTGCGGTCAAAGATTTAACCGTCAATGTGCTCTGATCAGACACAAGCCAATTCACTCAGGGGAAACACCTTTCAGCTGCCCAAAGTGTGATAAAAAATATTCCAACATGGCGTCTCTGGCCAAACACATGTCAACTCACGTAGGGAAAAAACCTTTCAGCTGCTCTGAGTGTGGTAAAGGATTCAACTATCACGACACTCTGAACAGACACATGTTAATTCACACAGGAGAGAAACCTTTCATCTGCTCTTACTGTGGTAGAAGCTTCAACTGTCAAGGGCATATGAAAAGACACATGATAGTTCACTCAGGAGAGAAACCTTTCAGCTGCTCTGAGTGTAGTAAAACATTTAGACGGAGAGAGACTCTGACCAGGCACAAATTAGTTCACAAAGGGGAGAGACCTTTCTGCTGCTCAGAGTGTTATAAAAATTTTTTTGATGAAAAGTCTCTGGCCAAACACATGTTAACTCACACAGGGAAGAGACCTTTCAGCTGCTTTGAGTGTGATAAAAGATTTTCACTAAAACAGCATCTGACCAGACACATGTTAGTTCACACTGGGGAGAAACCTTTCAGCTGCTCTGAGTGTGATAAAAGATTCAAATCTCAAGAGGCCCAAAAACGACACATGTTAATTCACACAGGGGAGAAACCTTTTAGCTGCTCTGAGTGCGATAAAGGATTCAAAGTTCAAGAGGCTCTAAAACGACACATGTTAGTTCACACAGGAGAGAAACTTTTCAGCTGCTCTGAGTGCAGTCAAAAGTTTTCCCAAAAAACAGAGATGACTGCACACATGTTGTCTCACAGGGAAGAGAAACCTTCAGATGATCAAAGTGAGATAAAAGATATTTTGATAGAAGGTCCTTGGCCATGCACATGGTAGTTCACACCGTAGAGAAACCTTTTAGCTGCTCTGAGTGTGGAAAAAGATTTAGCCATAATTGTACTCAGAAAGTTCACATGGTATATCACAGGATTTAATTGTTGAATGTATCTGACCTCACACATGTTAGCTTACACGTAGAAAAATAAACCTTTTTCGCCTGCAGTGGCGCATTATGAACTGTAAAATACGACAACGGAGACCCCGGACTGTTGAACAACTGAAGCTGAACATCAACCAAGAATGGGAAAGAATTCCACCTTCAAAGCTTCAACAGTTCGTCTCCTCAGTTCCCAAACATTTACTGAGTTTGTTAAAAGGTGATGGAACACAGAGGTAAACATGACCCTGTGTTGCTGCCATCAAATTCTGAGTTAATTATTATTTCCCCCAAAAATTAAGGTTTATGAGTTTGAACATTTAATATCTTTTCTTTGTAGTGAATTCAATTGAATATAGGTTGAAAACGATTTGCAAATCATTGTCATCTGTTTTTATTTACGTTTATCACAATTTCCCAACTTTAATGGAACTGGGTTTTGTACATCAAAACAGTCATACTCATACAACACAACACAATACACTATCTGTAGTCCATAACCTCCACACAAGAACTGAAGCAGCAGCTGTTCATCAGGATCACCCAGAATGAAGAATGAATCAAAGCGTGTTCATTGGGATGTGTCTGCCTCCAGGTCTTTCAGCGTTCTCTTCAAAGTATCCGATGAAATGAGCTCATTGAGTTTCCACTCTGTTGGTAGATCATACAGAACCAGGTTGGAGGGAAAGTGAAGCTTCATCAGTACAGTGTGTTCTCATTGAATGCAGGAGGTATGATGACAAGAGGAAAATACTGAAAGCAGCAGCAGAGAAAGCTAAAATAACCTTCAGGAGAGGAAGTCTTGGTGGCTTTTGTTTCAGGATTCTCACCGTGTTATTAGAGGAAACGGAAACTTTGACAGGATCTAAAGGTCTAAATTTATTTACAGTTCAGAGAGTAGCCAAGACATACGATGAGATAACGATGAGATAACGCCACCAATCCCAGTCATAATAAGTAATAGACATACTAATCTGCCTAAAAACAGAAGGTATCTAACTAAGAATTTATCAAACTTAGTCTCCATCCCCCGTCAGCCCATCATGAAAACCAGTACAGAAAATTTCTCTAGCACACTACACTCAGCTCTTTTAAATGTCAGATCTTTAGCTGGAAAATCATTCTTAATCAACGATCTTATCATCAAGCACAATCTCAACTTAATGTTTTTAACTGAAACCTGGTTAGAACAAGATAACAGTGCAACTGTACTTATTGAGTCAGCCCCCCCTAACTTCAGCTTTATGAGTGAAACGAGGAAGCATAGAAAAGGAGGTGGAGTAGCTATTCTATTCAAGGACTCAATGCAATGTAAACAGATGTACTACGGGAATTTTCCTTCCTTTGAATATGTGGCCTTCCAGTTGAACTCTGCTACTAGAGCAATATTCCTTAACATCTACAGACCTCCTAAATACTGTGTGAATTTCTTTGATGACTTTACTGAATTGCTGTCTATAATCTGTATTGACTTTGACTGTGTAGTGATTGTTGGTGATTTTAACATTCACGTTGACAACCCCCAGGACAGAGGCACCAAAGAATTGTGCTGTCTCCTTGATAACTATGGTTTGACCCAACATGTAACAGAGCCCACACACAATAGAGGTCACACTCTAGACTTAATTATTTCCAAGGGCCTGAACATACCCAAAATTATGGTTACTGATGTTGCTATTTCTGATCACTCCTGTGTGTTTTTTGAGAGTACTATCTCTATGTTATTCACCACTGCTCAGACAGAGGTAATCACCAAGCGGCTTATCACTGACTACACCAGTGAAATATTTAATCAGGCTTTGACTCCTCTCCCAGCTCTCTCACGGCTCTCGGTCAATGAGCTTGTAGAAGACCTTTGCTCTAGAATCACAAATGTGATGGATGCCATTGCGCCCACCAAGGTGAAAATAGTCTCTGGCAAGAAAAGATCTCCATGGAGGAATGCCGCGCTGGTCAGAGCTGAAAAAAGAGAGTGTCGGAAAGCCGAACGCAGATGGCCAAACACAAGCCTTCAGGTTCACTATCAGATCTATAAAGAGAGACTTCGTATCTTCAACCTAGAACTAAGAAATGCTAGACGATCCTTCTTCTCAGACATCATCACCAAAAACAAAAATAATGCACGCGCCCTATTTACCACAGTCGACAGGCTAACAAACCCTCCAGTATCAGTAGCCTCTGAATTTCTGTCTGCCAAGGCTTGTAATGAATTTGCCTCCTTCTTCAATAACAAAATCCAGAAAATTAGACAAACAGTCAGTAGCTCAATATCCGGTACAGGATATGTGTTGTCCATGTGTACTAACCCCAGTAGCATGACACAATTCAACCCGATCAACATTAAAACCCTGGAGGACATCATACTAAATCTGAACTCCTCCACCTGCTGCCTTGATATTCTGCCAACAGGTTTCTTTAAAACAGTTTCTAATTGCATGGCCTCAGATCTTCTACAGATTGTCAACATGTCACTTCTGTCAGGTGTCTTTCCACAGGCCCTGAAAACTGCTGTCATAAAGCCTCTCCTAAAAAAAAGCAACCTAGACAACTCAGTAATGAACAATTATAGGCCTATATCGAACCTCCCGTTTTTAAGCAAAATCATTGAAAAAGCAGCCTTCCAACAGCTTCACAACTTCTTAGTCCTAAACAATTGTTTTGACGTTTTCCAGTCAGGGTTTCGACTGCATCACAGCACTGAGACTGCTCTTATCAAAGTCTTTAACGACATCCACTTAAACTCAGACAATGGCAAAATTTCAGTCCTAGTATTGCTCGATCTCAGTGCCGCTTTCGACACGGTTGACCACAGCATCCTACTCGATCGACTGGAAAACTGGGTGGGACTTTCTGGAACAGTACTAAACTGGTTTGCATCCTACTTAAAGGATAGAGACTACTTTGTGTCTCTAGGTAATTACACATCAGAGCGAACAAAAATGACATGTGGGGTTCCCCAAGGCTCCATTCTGGGGCCACTCCTGTTCAACATTTACATGCTCCCTCTAACTCAAATCATAGCAAACAACAAAATATCTTACCATAATTATGCAGACGACACACAGATTTACATAACCATGTCGCCAGGCGACTACAATCCAATACAAACACTGAGTCAGTGTATTGAACAAATCAACGATTGGATGTGTCAGAATTTTCTTCAACTAAACAAAGATAAAACTGAAGTAATTGTATTTGGAGCAGAAGACGAGCAATTAAAAGTCTGCGCTCAGCTTCAATCGATAATGTTAAAAAGCACAAACCAAGCCAGAAACCTTGGTGTTGTCATGGACTCAGACCTGAATCTTAACAGCCACATAAAGACAATTACAAAGTCAGCCTACTATCACCTGAAGAATATATCCAGGGTCAAAGGACTGATGACCCAGCAGGATTTGGAAAAGCTTGTCCATGCATTTATCTTCAGCAGACTTGACTACTGTAACAGTGTCTTCACAGGTCTCCCCAAAAAATCCATCAGACAGCTCCAACTGATTCAGAATGCTGCTGCTCGAGTCCTCACTAAGACCAAGAAAGTAGATCATATCACCCCAGTTCTCAGATCTTTACACTGGCTTCCCGTCTGTCAAAGAATTGATTTTAAGATACTATTGCTGGTTTATAAAGCACTGAATGGATCAGGACCAAAATACATTTCTGATATGCTGATACGTTACGAACCATCCAGACCGCTCAGATCATCAGGAGCAGGTCTGCTCTCTGTCCCCAGAGTCAGAACTAAACGTGGAGAAGCAGCTTTTAGTTTTTATGCTCCTCATGTCTGGAACAAACTCCCTGAAAACTGTAGGTCTGCTGAAACTCTCAGCTCTTTTAAATCACAGCTGAAAACGCATATGTTTGCTGTGGCCTATCATTAAATCAAACCTGAGGCCTTTAATCAACATCTTCATCATCTGCCTGTCTTGATCTTTTTTTTTCTATCTCTCCAATCTAACCTTTGTTTTCTTTTATCTCCAATCTTATTTTAGCTTTGAATGTAACTTTTAATCTGTTAAATGTCTTTTACGCTGTTTTTACTTTTTAAATTGTGTTGAATGTTTTGCCTGCTTGTTTCATGTAAAGCACTGTAGTGATTTAAATGAGCCTCACACGGTCGCACCAAAATATATGTAGCGATTTGAAATGAGCCTCACAAGGCCGCACCAAAGAAGATGGAGCAGGTTCCGAAGGTCCGGGGCTACTGGCGGTTCGAGCGGTTCAACTCAGAAGACGACTGAAGTCAGCCGAAGGATGAGCCAGGAGTTGCAGCACTCGGGCCCGAAGCAAAGCCAGCGCCTGTGGATCCTGTGGATGCTCGTTTGGGTACTTCTTTGGTCTCACTCAAAAACTCTGGCACAGAGGATGACCTGGGCCTGCTGAGTTGCGTTCAGAGGTGACTTTGAAATCACGCAGAAAACTCAGAAAAACGAGGCTCGAAGAGCAGAGAAAACTTTCAAAAATGGCTTCGCGAAATTAAAGAAAAATCAATCAAAGGCTTAATCTTGAATTGCTATGTGCACAAAAAGTTGAAGTTTCAAAACTTGAACTAAGACGATGTTAAAGAAAATTCAACGTGAATCAACACGTGGCGTAAAACTTAGTAGACTAAGAAAAAGTTCTAAGAGAAAACAAAGAAACGCACCACAGAAGGGTGTGGGCAGAAGAGTAGGTACAAGAAAGGAAGGAATAAGAGAATGAGAGCAACCCCACTTCACTGGTTTTATCTTCTCACACTGGGAGTGGCTCCGGCGCGTGTGTGAGGAGACAGAGGAGGGTCGTGTGGTCTTTGATTATTCGATCTAACTTATTCTTTTGGCTGGTAAAAGAGTCAGATCTGATACTCACTCACTATGATTAATATCATTGAATGCTAGGTTTCATGATAAATAATTTGACACTAAACACATATGAATGAAGTGTAGGATCACATCAAACATTCTCATTATGTTTTAAGTATCACATTGAACATGCTAAATTACTCTGAAATGAAACAGATAGTAACACATGGAAACTGTGAACAACAAAAGAGTAAACACATGTGAATGAACTTCATCATGATTAATAATGGATTCTAAATACTCACATTCAGGTTATTCAATGACATTATAACCACCTAATGGTTAAAAATACTAAATAAACAACTACAATATAAACCAAACATTTCTAAACTGTTTCTGTTACTTAGAGTAAACTTAGGATTCATAGTCAATAAATTTAACTCTTAAAAGTTCATGAAACAGTCTGAAAAGCTGTTGGTCTAAAGAAACTAAAGAATAAAGGATTTATTCTGTCACAGAGCTAACTCTGCTTCTGTAGCACATAGAAAAATGGGAAACATCTCATTTTAACACAAATTTCATGATTAGACAGATTAGTACATTGCTGAATGCATAAGATGTCAGGATCAGTCATTTGTATTCTTTCACCAAAGGAATGTAGTCTTTATCAGTGTATGGTCGAGCAGGGTTTTACGAACGAGGTCTGGAGGTCAGTGTCCCCCCCTTTTCCTGGGGTCCGTACGTTCACACACTTTAAGACGCTAAATCTCAAATGGGAGATCTGGGTTGAGACGTTAATGTTTATTTAGATGGTCAGTGATGGAGTCAGTTTAAAAGGTAATAAAAACTCTGTCTCTGTTCTCCGAATTGACCAATCGTGAAGAGTCAGAAGTTTGGTCAACCTCCGGTTGGGTCACTTATTTAACCTGAAAGTGTAAACGAGTCGAGAGGTGACCAGATGCAGCGCAAGATGGCGGACCCAAAGATAGAAAACCACATTTACAAAACGCAATAAGTTTCCGCATTACCTCCGATTGGCGGACCCAAAACAATTACTTCCGGTGGAAAGACTTTCTCGTTGGCGGACTTCCGGCGCCGAAATACTTCAGGTAGTCGGATTTAGTCGCCGGATCCTTTTTTTTTTGCTCCGTTCATTCCATAAGAATCGAATTAAATTTATTATTGAGCTAAAAATCAAAATAAAACGTTTATGTATTAACTATGACTACTGTTTTGTTCTGATTTAATTCTGAAGTTTACAGTAATATGTATATATAGCCTGATGTCCTCATATTCTGATAATTTGTCAGAATAGGTAAATGTATGTAGAAGTTATCATCTTACTCAAATTCTTTTGTAAGAGTTTGCTACAAGTATGGACTGTTTTAACCTCTCGTTACACATCATACAACAGTGTTTTCTAACTTTTCTCTCCAATAGCTTTATTACACAGCACATCAATGTTTCTTAACTTCTCTGTGACCTTGTTTCTCCACTCCTATTAGGACCTCGTTTAATGTCAACAATGTTGCCCTGACCCTCACATATTTTCTGTTGTTCATAATTATGTTTTATGAGAGTGCTTATGTTGCTGCACAAATTAACTCCCCCCATCCTTTAGTAACATTGTGTAACCAGGGACATCATTTATGAAATGGTGTGCTTCCTGGTGAACCTCTTCAGGATTGCTTGACTGTGCAAAATCCAAGTATACAATAGTTGTAGAGACAAGTCACATGATCTCTTTAAGGTTCAGAAGAGCCATATAGCAAAAACAATTGAATAGCGATATCATTACAGACTGTGTAAAGAAATGGGAAATTGTCATACAACTGCTTTGAAGATTTCTTTAATTTTTTCCAAACAAAATTGTGAACAGTAAAAAAATATATATATATATACAAAATTCAGCACTGCCGTCGGTGTGGTGGGGGGCTTAAAACACGTTGCCACAGGCCATCATCAGCTCTGCTCTGAACCGGTTGATGCCATGCTCCTTCAGTGCTTTGATCAAAAGCTGAAAAACAGTCAAATAATGTGAACAATTGAAGTTATGCAGTATGGGTTAATTGTTGTTCTTGAGCTTTCCAAATGAATAAGAACAACCTCTTAACAATATCATCAATTTTCAAAGCAAGCTATATAGTTTGATCTACTCACCTCTGGGAGCATGACGTCAAAAACGAAATCAAGCAGATAAATCTCGCCTCTCTTTATTTTTTTAGAAATGTTTGTTGCCACCTCAATGAACCGCAGGAGCTCGAACATCTATTGAAGAAAAACACAGAAAGTAAACACCTTTCAAATGTAACACCCCTGAGAGTAAAAATACTCATGATGGATGGCATTTTTACTTACGCGCTGCTCACTCCAACTTAGTGTCCTTATCTTAAGATGCTGCTTTAGTCGGAGTGAGGTGGCGGGATTCCTCCAAAGGAACATTCTGTTGGAGCGGATCTTTCCAGACAGTAGATCATCGTGTAATGTCTGAAACCAAAGAGCAAGAGACAAAAATGTAATCATCTGAAAAAGAAACGGTGGCTTTAACAACTGATAGTGCATTCAAAAGCAACCTTGATCTGTGTCTTAGAAAAGACAGCATGAATTCCTCAACTGTCAACAGCATCCTTGATCCTGCAGAGAAATAAGAAAAGAGCAAGCCCTCATTTTTTCATCCTTTGAGCCTCGTATTTTTGACTGATACTATGTTTCCTTGATAAATTATGTTATACCGAGGATGCTCAATGGAGTCCTCGCACCCGCAGTCAAACGGCTCCATTTCAATCCCAGCACAATCCTGATGCAGCCAGCCCCTGCACGTCTTGCACTGGACCCATTTTATGACGTTTCTCTCAGGGTAAAGCAATCTGATCAAATGAGAGACAAACATAATATTAAACAAACACGCTGTCCAATTGATTATACCTCTGCAGCACATTTGAATGTATAAATAATTTTCCTGCATGATTCGTGCATTTAAACTATATGTAAAAGTGGTCACTTCATGGAAAATCACTGAATAGGCCCCGATGCATTGCATTTATTAAATTGAGTCTGCAACACACCTCTCTCCTGTGTTGTTCGATGTCTGGTAGACACAGAATTGCATTGAATCTGCCATGCACATTCTTTGGACATCCGATACCGTCTGCGTCATGGTTTCCTTGACAAGGCAATTTGAAAAGTAACATCAATTACCAAATACATCGAGACAATGTTGATCCATACAACTGTGTGCATTTTGAAGGACTCCCACTGAGATAATACTGTTTTTACAAGGCAATTTTCTAACCTCTATGTCCTGCTGCTCTGCCTTCCTCTTTAGACTGAAGACCGGAGTATGCTTTCCAGCAATGAGCTCTTGACATTCTTTGGTCCAGTGGGCGAAGATTTTCCCACAACTGTAATGACAATATGTCTTTAAGTACAATATATTGATTGTCTTCCAGTTAATTAGGACATCTAGTTTACTTAAACTGTCTACCTGTTCAAAGAATTGTTCTCCAGGAGCAACAGGCACCACCATCGCCGCCAAACAGGCATGTCATGCTGAAATTGTTGTTTGTATTTCATTTTAGTGCACAATACAAAATACAATCTTGAGGATGACACTGCATGTTGAAAAGTACTTACAACTGAGTAGTCAAACTGTGACTCCATAACGATGTACATGGCAGACTTTAAAAAAAAAATTATGAGACAACATGTGAGATAACTTTAAAAAAGTCCATGTTGGAAAGTTATTCTAGATACAATATTTGTGCATTACAGCTCGTTATGACCTACCATCAACATGAATATGCCACAGTCTGAGCCGAAGTCCTGGCTGGGGAAGCCCTGATTTAACAAAAGCAAACGTTAATCATCTTGTCACATACACTTTGTAGGAGCCAGATTGGGGTTTTGCAGTTTATTGTTATGTATTTTTTGTGCCAGCAGATGGTGCTATTGTGCCTGTCTATTTAATGGGTGGGTTGATTAGGAGAGGTGCGCACATAAAATGATGAATGAGTAAATAAATCAAAACAACAGAAAATGTGTGTGACATGTGACATTATTCCACCTGCGGGCACGCATCAACTCAAGCAAAAAGGTGTTCGCCACAAGTAACAGCATTGGAAAGCTGTTATACACTTTTCAACTGTAATATAGAGCATGCACAAATACCTCCAAATCTCTGCCCGTTTTCTCAGTCCATTGCCCAGGACATATCTTCTGCGCAATGTTCCTGTTAATTTGAGAGCGTCACTTAGATTTCCCATGATGGAAACAATGGAATGCAGGGTTAGGGTTAGTTTGAGTGGTCGGATGTGAGATTGAATGAATGCGGACGGCTTGCTTCTTTTCAAACTTCCTGAGAGTTCTTCTTCTTCTGTAAATTTTGTCGTCAGAAAGTGTAGGTACATACCGCCACCTACTGTTCTGGCATCGCAAAGCAGAAGTTCAAAGTTCATGTTTTGGGTCCGCCAATCGGAGGTAATGCGGAAACTTATTGCGTTTTGTAAATGTGGTTTTCTATCTTTGGGTCCGCCATCTTGGCGCTGCATCTGGGTACTCTTGAACGAGTCTGGAAAGATTTATATCCCGTTTCCTGGGACCAGATAAGGAAACTTTCCTCTGAGGAATGTGTGGGTTTCACACCCAGGGTTGTCTTGATTGCTACAGCACCTTGAATTGCCCTGCTGCTGAAATGTGCTATACAAATAAACTTGACTTGACTTGACTTGACTTGACATACGGTGAGGCATCTTTTTATTCCTGTGGCCCCCGTCTGTGGAACAGCTTGCCTGATGACCTGAGGACTACACCTAATCTTAATGATTTTAAAAGCAAACTGAAAACAAACCTTTTTAGTCTTTCTTTCAACTAAATTTAATATCTTAATTTTATATCATTAACTTTGTTGAAGTGTTTTAACATTTATCTCCTCTAGTTTTAATGACAGAATCATCTTTGATTAAGATATTTTGGTGTTATTATTGTCGTATCTTTTACTTTTGTTTTTATTTCATTTTATTTAATAATTCTTAAATTTCATTTTATGTTACTTTGTTTTTAGATTTTAAACCTCAAGTGTTTCTTTACCTTGAATTTTAAAACGGTGTTTCCTCAGTGCGCACATTCCTGTTTATATGAATCGAACCCTTTTTAAGTTCATGCATTTTTATACATGTTTCTATTGAGCTGAGATTGCGGGGTGGGAATGAGGGGTTGGGTTGGGGTAGATTCAGGTTTTCTTTGTTTCTTTTATTTCTCTACTATGTAAAACACTTTGTGCTTCATCTTTTTGTATGAAAAGTGCGATACAAATAAAGACTGATTGATTGATTGATTTTGACTTGAATCTGTCTGCCAATCGAATGCTCAGTCACACTCCAGCCCAGTAGGTGGCGGTAATGCACCTTCGACCTGGTTGCCAACCGCCCTTACGAACAAAAGAGAGAGAAGAAGAACCACGAGGGAAGTTTCCTGAAGACCCCGGATCAGAATAACCCGAGTTAAGGCGTCCATCTGCAGTTGTCTTGTCTCTGTTTGACTCTTGGGTCGGTAGAAAATGTCCAGGTTTCAGGATCTTGAAGATTTCTTCAGCCGGCGGCTGCTCGCTGCTGTTAACGGAGACCTCTCAGGACGATCAGCAACATCTGTGTATGAAGAGGAGCTCCAACGGCAAAGAAAACTGCTGAGTGTGATTTTAATGCCTGAAATCAAACTGAAGAGAGCAGGTTAGTTCACCTTCTTCTTCTTCTTCAACATGAGAAACGAACAAGAGAAAACCACCGAAGATCAAAACCTGTTGACAAAAAGAACAGCAACGTCACTGACCTTTGAAGATCAAAACCTGTTGACAAAAAGAACAGCAACGTCACTGACCTTTGAAGATCAAAACCTGTTGACAAAAAGAACAGCAACGTCACTGACCTTTGAAGATCAATACTTGTTGACAAACAGAACAGCAACGTCACTTATCGGTAATTGTTTCGGTTACAGAAAGGATGACGTCACCAAGCACCTGTTCTGTGTCGGCAGTGCCTTTCATCTGTTGACACAATAACGTCCCAGCACAATAAAAGCTAAAAAGATCTCTGAGACAGACAGAAGCCATTCTACTTATATTTACAAAAACAGGAAGCACAGTCCCCTTTCAAAATAAGTCTCCCAATAACTGCACAGCTTACCAGTAGGACACAGAGCTTCCCTTAGGTTATGCCGCCTTGCATCAAAAAAGCTTACACCACTTTAGTAAACTAAACTCATGAATTCCTTCAATGTCAACAATCTTTCAGAAATCACACAGTCTGTAAAAGATTATGATGTTGCTGATGCTTGCTCATCGAACATCCTATATTGAGTGCACATTAAAACACAGGATCCAGGATTCAGTTTGACGGTTTATTTGCTCGTCTTCAGTGGATGATTTTTTCTGTACAATCAAAAGGAATAGAAACAAGATGTATCAACATAAAATATTACAAAAAAGGGGGGACTGATAAAGTTAAATGAATTGTAAATTGGATAACTAATCTTACATCATAGATGCATCCACTTCAGGGCTTTAAATCAATACATATGCGTTTTAGGGTGACAGGAATCTAAAGAAATAATATTTGGGAATAAACCATATTAGAAATAATACAAATAAGGAGAATACAACAACATTTGTTAAGGCTTTGTCCGTTTCACACTCACATTCAGACTCCCTTTGTTCAGTGCTGCTCTTGTTCAGGATGCAAAAGGGAGAGCAGGCCTGAGGGCTGGCTTTTATGGTGTTGGGGGTGTGGTTTGGCCTTGAGTGACAGGGGAGTCAGGTATGGAGATGGTGAGGTGAGAATTTGGGATTTAACAGCCGCCCCTTCAAATAGTATATTTGAATCAATAAATCACAAGTCAATTCTGGGTGTCGGCTTTAAAAGGTGAAAGGATAACTAGTCGGGCAACAGGGCGGATGAACTTTCGTTGGTTAGATGTCACTTCCACAGTCCTAATCCTTCCATCATCACTGGGGAAGAGACGAGACACCTTCCCAACATGCCACTGTCCTCTTGGTACTTGGGGATCCATTAAGAGTACCACTGTTCCCTCTGTCAGGCCTGGTGTGTCTTTTTGCCATTTATTTCGCACCTGCAAGCTTGGAAGGTAATTTCTGATGAAGCAGGACCAGAATCGATCAGTTAGGATCCGACTATGCCTCCATTTTCTCTTTCCAAGTAAGTTGGGTTCAGCATAGACAGCCTGTGGAAGAGAGGCATCTCGCCGCCCCATTAGGAGAAGGTTTGGTGTGATGGGGTCAGGATCTGCTATATCAGATGAAGCATATCCGGTTGGTTTGGAGTTGATTATACCTTCAATTTCAACCTGCACTGTATGCAGTACTTCCTCTGGAACGGTTTGGCTTCCAACAATCTCTCTCAGAGCAGTTGAAGACAACATGATGATTGCCATTATGCTCCACAAGGTGATGAGGGGTATACTTTGATTCTTCTGTCTGAGAGACTTGTTCAGGTTTGAGGTTTTCGCATAATTAGCTTGTTTTAGTTTACTGATTTCATTATTGCATATGTCTGCCAATTCCGGATTGTTTTGGAGTTTGCGTTCAGATCGACGGAGAAGGGGCATAACAGATTCTGCTGGGGCTTTTAGTTCAGGTGCATCCTTTTTTCTCTGTGAAGGGGTTGCATAGCGTTTGGTACGATCTGTTTCAACTCTCACAGTTTTATTATCCAGGAGGTCTATGGCGTCTCTATCTTGTTTTGACCTTGTGATTAATTTTTCGTTTCTGAAGGGGAGGATATCGGTTTGCCACAGTTGCTCTACATGGTGTTTAAGTTCTGAGTAGGGGTTAACCGGTGATGTTAAAAAGCACTGGGTAGCAGATGATGACTCACCAAGGAAGGTTGGTCCTTGAAGGGCCCATCCCAGGCGTGTTCTTACTGCTGCTGGAGCTCCCTTTGGTCCATATTGAACTCTCTCTATAGGTGTAATCAGGAAAGGATTGTCAGATCCGATGAGGATGTGTGGCTGGACTTCGGAGAAGGAGCTTAGTGGGAGACCTTGCAAATAGGGATAGCGTTGCTTGAGTTTATCCACAGGGTAACTTTGCTCAACAAGCATTATCATGTCGGAGGTGAAGGCTCTGTCAACTGAGAATTTTTTCTCAGGGCTTGATGCAGCAGAGATTTTAAGGTTAACAGTTTTCCCGTTCAAAGTTTCTGTTTGCTGCCTCACTGTTCGCAGCTCGAGGTTTTCTGGTTCACCATCCAGCCCAAGGTACTCTGCAGCACCTGGTAGTAGCATTGTACGCTCAGATCCATCATCTAAGATGGCATGTGTCTCAAAGACTCTATTGTTATGGTGAAGACTTACTTTTACTACTTTTAGCAGCACTTTGGATGTTAGGCTTCGTGGGTTCAGATACAACACTCTGGATGCTGTCTGGGTTTTATTTACATTATGTAGTACACCTAGATGAAGGCCATTACATTTGGGACAGGGTTTTTTTAGAGTGCAATTAGCTGCTTTATGGGTTCTTCCACATTTCCAACATCTATTTTCTTCCTTTAGCCACTTTGACACTTTCTCGGGTCCTAGTTCTTTCAGACTTTCACAGTTTGTTAGGTAGTGGGAGGTAGATTGGCAAAATGCACATGGGTACCTTCTTTCAGGCTGTTGTTGGTAACCAGAAGCACTTGGGCGGTGAGTGAACCTCCGGTCGGATCCATGGAGGATGGTGGTAGGATGCTTGGGTCTGTAGCTTGACTCCTTTCTATAAGTTTGAGGTGTGCTGATTTGAAGACTGCTGGCTTGTGCTACCACGGCTTGACATTCTGCCTCTCCCTCAAGCCATACTGAAAATTCCACTAGATTGTAATGAGAGGTTGGGGAAACTGCGCGGGCGTGTCTTGCAAAGTTTGATACTAGCTCTACGGGAAGTTTATTTAATAATCTCTGGACATGGGAGGCACATGCTAATTCTGCTGCACTTTCTGCTGAATTGAGTGATTGCAACAGCCCTACTAATGACCTAACTTTGACTGCAAAGTTTTGGAATCCTTCAGCGTCTCCACGGGCCACTTTGGGGAGGTTGAGTATGGTCTGGATCTCCTTTAAAGCCAGTTGATGTGGTTGACCATACTGTCGTTCCAGTGCTGCCATTGCTGCTGTAAAGGGCTGTGGGTGGTGAGCATAAGACAGGGCAATATGTCTGGCTGAAGGGAGGTGAAGATGATCCAAAAGGATATGGAACTTAAATAATTCAGGTTCTTCTACAGGAAGAAGGTTTTTCAAGGCCATCTTTAACATTAAGAATTCCTGGGGGTCATTTTGGGTGAAACAAGGGAAGGATGGACCTTCAACACGTGAAGTGTATCGGATTTGTTGTGCAGAGGCCATAGGTATGGAGTAGCTTGAGTTGAGGGGGGCTCCTAGAGCTTGTGGGGCACCAGTGATTGGGGCTGGCTGAGGTGCAAGATATTGGGTATGGAGCTGCTGCACAGGTTGAGGGAAATGTTGATACTGATATGGAGCTACAGGACTTGGATGGTGAGCAGATGGCTGAGGGTTGGTTGAGACTTGAGGTGGAGGTATAGGCGTTGGATGAATGGTATACAGCTGGAGTGGAGGCCTCTGGGTTGATTGTATTTGGCTATGAGGGCCATAAGATGGCTGTGTAACATTAACATTGAGTGGTATTTGCATAGGCTGTGCTGTTAATGTTAAGGGAGGGTTGACTACTGGCCTGGTAAAAGGAGGGTCAGTAGGAGGCAGACTAGCAGTTGTGGGTATGAAAGGCCCAGAATGTGACACTGCAGGGGCAAATCTTTGAGGTTCAGGGTTGGAATAAGCTTGCCGGAATGGCACATTAGTTAGGGAGGCTGATGGAAGAAGTGGACCTGATGGTACTTGGATTGGGGACTCATTTCTTAATTGTGGAACAGGAGCAGGTCTCTTCGGTTCACCTTGTGCTGCAGAGAGTGTGGGAGCATATGGGAAAAGGGTCTGAACAGACTGAGACATTTTACCAGGTTGCAATGCAAGCACTGATTCTGTTAGGTTGGGTTCAGACATGGACTTTTCACACTGTGGGGCTGGGACGGAATTTACTGGTTGATTTGGCGATGATTGAGTTGTTCGGGGGTGACACTCCTCTTCAGAATCTCCTTCTGAGTAGCCATGTTCATACTGTTCGACTCTCCCATGTAAGTCCTTTATCATACTCTTTAACTGTGCCACTTCTTGTCTCAATAAAACAGTCTCTGAGGTTTCTGCAGCAGGTTCTGCACATTGACTAAAATGTTTGGGAGGCTGGCCATAAAGTTCGGTTTGGTAGTCCCGAAGATACCTGGGAGGCATTCTCTCTCTTTGTGGCCTTCCTCCGGCCTGACTGCCATCATGCCAAACTGAATTTGGATCCATTTTCAATATAGATGTTCTCTCCGGCTCGAAGCACCATGTAAAAGATTATGATGTTGCTGATGCTTGCTCATCGAACATCCTATATTGAGTGCACATTAAAACACAGGATCCAGGATTCAGTTTGACGGTTTATTTGCTCGTCTTCAGTGGATGATTTTTTCTGTACAATCAAAAGGAATAGAAACAAGATGTATCAACATAAAATATTACAAAAAAGGGGGGACTGATAAAGTTAAATGAATTGTAAATTGGATAACTAATCTTACATCATAGATGCATCCACTTCAGGGCTTTAAATCAATACATATGCGTTTTAGGGTGACAGGAATCTAAAGAAATAATATTTGGGAATAAACCATATTAGAAATAATACAAATAAGGAGAATACAACAACATTTGTTAAGGCTTTGTCCGTTTCACACTCACATTCAGACTCCCTTTGTTCAGTGCTGCTCTTGTTCAGGATGCAAAAGGGAGAGCAGGCCTGAGGGCTGGCTTTTATGGTGTTGGGGGTGTGGTTTGGCCTTGAGTGACAGGGGAGTCAGGTATGGAGATGGTGAGGTGAGAATTTGGGATTTAACACAGTCCCACAAATCCTTCAGTCCCCGTCTGGACCAAGTACCTTCTCCTCTAAACAACAAACATGGGAAAAAAAAATATTCTCTGCTGACAGTTAGCCACTTTTTCTTGGAGGACCACTCCCAGTAAATCTGTGGTTTGTCTTATAGGCAGTTTGAGTGACAATAATATAATAATATCCTGTAGCTGATGGGGTCCAAGCTGCTTTATTTCCACATTTCTCTTGTAGAGTCAAGGTTTAAACCTGTGCCACAGTAAAAAATCTGCCTCGTTCACCTTTAAAGTTAGCCAGCATTACTAAAACAGCACAGAACTTCCGGTTCGAGTGGACGCTGGCGCGTTTGGCTGCCGCTGCTCTCCGGTAAACTTTTAACTTTTTTAGCACTCTTCCGTGCTCTGGAGACCAGCCATCAACAAATGCTGTTCTCCCTGGGACTCTTACCCTACACACCAGACTTTGCTACCGGAGCTCTCACCGCCTTCTGTGTCTTGACGGGTAAGCTGATCCTAGCCTGCCTGCTCGACCCGGCTCCGCGTCTCATCCTCTCCGCCACACTACACCATGTGGACCAGTAGGTTCTATGGACCGGCTACTCTGGCTGTCGTGGTGTGGACTGCCCTGTCGCTCCTCCATCTATCCGTGGAAGGTCTGTTCCAATACTCAGCGGCAGAGTTCCTCAGGCTCCGCTCCCAGAAGCCTGGATCTCCACCGGCAGCTCTTCACCTCCACCCGGACATCGCCCTCCTGCCTCGTCCGAGGTACATCCACCGTGGGTCTCGGCGGACTCTCCATTCTGGCAGCTCCAACGAGATTACATCTTTCTGGTCCTCCACTCGTCGCCCACAGAGAAACACCAGCCGGTCTGTGGACCACAGGGTGCTAGCCGACCTGGCTAGCTCCCCACAACACCACGAACGTCAACTTCGGTCTGCTTAACATCAGATCCCTCTCCGGTAAAGGACACCTCATTCATGATATCCTCATTGACCGTAAGCTTGACTTCTTTTGCCTAAATGAGACGTGGCAAGTCCCCGGTGATTTTTCCCAGCTGAACGACTCCTCTCCGGCGGGGTTTGTTTACATCTCCAAACCTCGCGAGTCGGGTCGTGGGGGAGGTCTCGCGATACTCTACCGCGAGAAGTGGAAGGTCCTACCTGTCTCTCTGCCTCCTCTCTCCTCACTTGAATGCCTGGCGTGTCAGCTACCTGGACATGTCCCCACAATCATTGCCACAATATACCGTCCTCCCAAACCTCACAGTGACTTTTTAAATGAATTCTCTGTCCTCCTTAATCACCTCGCCACTCTCTCACCCAACATAATTCTGCTTGGTGACTTCAATATACACATGGACAATACTACCCTACCCCTTACCATGGACTTCTCCTCACTACTCGACAGCTTTGGTTTTGAACAATTTGCAGATTTCCCCACACACATCAAAGGCCATACAATAGATTTAATTTGCTGCTCAGGTCTCACCCCCTCCAACTGTACCGCCGACACATTGCACATTACAGACCACTCCCTCCTCTCATTTAACACCACTCTCCAGCTCTCCATCCCAAAACCCCCCCGCATCATCTCATACCGCAACATTAAGAATATTAACCTGGACTCCCTCTCCTCCTCCATCACTACCCTCACCCTGAACCCCACCTCCGCCCCTGATGATCTCGTCATACAATACAACAATGGACTGTCCAACATACTCAACTCCCTTGCTCCTGTCAAATCCCACTCTGTCTCCTTTACCTGGTCCGCACCTTGGTTCACCCCCCATCTCCGTTCCATGAAATCCAAAAATCGACAGCTAGAAAGACTTTACAGGAAAACCGGCCTTACCATCCACAAAGACATCTTAATAACTCAGCTATCCCACTACAAGGACTCCATCTCCCATGCAAAATCACAGTACTATTCTGGACTTATCTGCTCCAATGCTGGAAATACCAAATCTCTTTTCTCTGTCTACAACCATATCACTCAACCCCCGGACTGCTTTCCTCCCCACATGTATTCCTCAGACACCTGCGACTCCCTCCTCAGTTTCTTCAATAGCAAAATCACTAAAATCCATCAGAACCTGGGCTCCACATCCCCACCACTTCCCTCATCTGAACCTCTCCCTCCTTTACAACCTTTTTCCACCTTTCTACTCCCTAATCCCTCAGAAATCGCTGATCTCATTACCAAATCCAAACCCTCATCCTGCCAACTGGACCCCCTCCCCACTTCCCTGGTCAAATCCTGTCTACCCTCTCTACTCCCCCTCATCTCAGTCATCATCCACTCCTCACTGTTGACTGGAACTGTTCCCACCCCCTTCAAAACTGCAGCCATCAGTCCTACCCTGAAAAAACCTGGTTCAGACCCCAACGACTTCAATAACCTCCGCCCCATTTCCCACCTCCCCTTCATCTCCAAAATTTTAGAAAAAACAGTTGCCTCTCAACTCCACACCCACCTCACCCACAATAGCCTGTACGAACAGTTCCAGTCCGGTTTCCGCCCCCTCCATAGCACTGAAACAGCCCTCATCAAGATCATCAACGACCTCCTCATGGCAGCTGACTCCGGTCTAATCTCCATCCTCATCCTCCTTGATCTGAGTGCGGCCTTTGATACCATCTCTCATCACATCCTCCTCCATAGACTCTCCTCCATAGGCATTTCTCACACCCCCCTTCTCTGGTTCCACTCATACCTCACTAGCCGCACTCAGTTCATCCAACTCAAATCATTCACCTCACAGCCCTCCCCTGTCACTTCAGGTGTGCCCCAGGGTTCTGTCCTGGGGCCCCTCCTCTTCATTATTTATCTCCTTCCCCTCGGCAGCATCTTTCGCAAATATGGCATCCACTTTCATTGTTTCGCGGATGACACCCAGCTCTACCTCTCCAGCAAACCCGACGCCTCTCTCCCACCCTCCTCCCTCACCCACTGCCTCTCAGAAATTAAATCCTGGTTCACATCAAACTTCCTCAAACTCAACCCCGATAAAACAGAACTCCTCCTGGTCGGTACTAAGTCCACTCTCTCCAAAACTAACAGTTTCTCCCTCACCATAGATAACTCCACAGTGTCCCCTTCCCCTCAGGTTAAGAGCCTGGGTGTCATCCTCGACAGCTCACTATCTTTCCACTCCCACATCAATAACATCACCCGGTCTGCATACTTCCATCTACGAAACATCAACTGTCTCCGCCCTTCACTCACTCCTCACACCACAGCTATCCTAGTCCACAGTCTTGTCACCTCCCGTATCGATTATTGCAACTCACTCCTCCTCGGTGTCCCTCACAAATCCCTCCATAAACTTCAACTTGTCCAAAACTCTGCAGCCCGTATCATCACCAGAACTCCCTCCTTCCACCACATCACCCCTGTCCTTCAGCAGCTTCACTGGCTCCCTATCCGGTCCAGAATCCACTATAAAATCATACTATACACCTTCAAGGCCATCCATAACCTTGCCCCCCCTTACTTCTCCGATCTCCTCCACATCGCCACCCCCTCACGCTCCCTCAGATCCTCCTCCTCCCTCCACCTTTCTGTCCCCTCTGCCCGACTCAGCACCATGGGGAGCAGGGCTTTCAGTCGCTCTGCTCCCAAACTCTGGAACTCTCTCCCCCCGGATCTCAGAAACATGGACTCACTACCCCACTTCAAATCAAAACTCAAAACACATCTGTTCCAAATTGCTTATTCCCTCTAACTGCCCATTTCCATACATGTATATTGTTTTTATTTATTTTAACAGTGTTTTAACTGTGTTCTTAATGCCTGTACAGTGTCCTTGGGTGTCCAGAAAGGCGCTTTTAAATAAAATGTATTATTATTATTATTATTAAAAGTTTCTGTATCCTGTCCAGAAATGGTTTTCTGACTTTTAGCAGTTTAGCAGCTTGAATGACAGCAGCAAATCACCGAAACTGCTTTGAATTATCAGCCAATCAAGTCTTTAAAAAGGCATGATGTTTAATTCTTTAGGCGGATGTACAGTAAACAGACAAACACTCTGAGAGTGTTCATTTCAATTTTCCCATGTATAATACACACTCAGCTGTGAGAGAGTGGCTGGCCTAACATTGACCCTGCAGCCATTGTAGTTCTCTGCAGACACCAACGGGAGGAGAAGGACTTCTACAATCATTAAAAACATATATTTGCATTTGCAACCAAAAGAAAATGCAAATGGTGACTCTGCAGTTATCATGCAATAGGCCTCATCATGTCTCATCATTTTTTTGACAACTGCTGATAACAGATTCATTTAGTTTTTTTATGACAAGAGGTGGGGCTAAGCCCCACTTGTTCCTAATGACCATCACTATGGCTGTTTCCAAAACATCATAAAAAAAGTGATAATGACTTGTTTTTCCAATGTGTGGTGTTCAAAGTCAAAGTGCAAAAAAATCCATGATGACAAAGTTTCTCCAGTTGATCAGTTGGTTCTTCTCTGACCGACACAAACTGTATGACCCGAATGTGATGCTTCAGGGCAGGCGTTTCTAGCCTGTTTTTTGGGAGTGCTTGAAACAACTTCTCCTTCAATAAAACACCAAAATAAAATCTGGTTGGTCTGTTTAGGAGTTGATTAAATTTAACTTGTAGGGGAGTTTGAAAATTAAAAGCAAGAATCTCTATCCAAAGTTTGTCTCCAACATAGATGCCAAGCTTATCTTGATGTGTCTTTCTGTACTTTGGTGTTTCCTGCAGATGTCCAGCAGCTGTCAGTGATTAAAGAGGAACCTCTTGAGCTCCAGGAGTGGAGCCCTGATCTAAACCAAAAGGACACCAAGCACATGCACATTAAGGAGGAGGAACTCTGGAGCAGTCAGGAGGGAGAGCAGCTTCAAGGGTTTGAGGAGGCTGAGGCCACCATGTTCCCATTCACTGCTGCCATTGTGAAGAGTGAAGAGGATGAAGAAAAACCTCAGCCTCCACAGCTTCACCCAAAACCAATTCAAAAGATGGAAACAGGAGATGATGAAGAAATCTGTGGAGTTTCAGAACCAGCTGGAAACTCAAATCCTGTGAGTGATAACGGGTCAGAAGACTCCTCTGTGACTGATGATGATGATGATTGGAAGGAGACCAGTGAGGCTCAGTCAGGATTAAACTCTGGGAAATTAATGAAAAGAAGAGGACAGAAAACTGTCAAGAAATCTCATCCTTGCTCAGAGTGCAGTAAAAGATTTTCACTAAAACAGCATCTGACCAGACACATGTTAGTTCACACAGGAGAGAAACCTTTCAGCTGCTCTGAGTGCGGTCAAAGATTTAGCCGTCAATGTGCTCTGATCAGACACAAGCCAATTCACTCAGGGGAAACACCTTTCAGCTGCTCAAAGTGTGATAAAAAATATTCCAACATGGCGTCTCTGGCCCAACACATGTCAACTCACGTAGAGAAAAAACCTTTCAGCTGCTCTGAGTGTGGTAAAGGATTCAACTTTCACAACACTCTGAACAGACACATGTTAATTCACACAGGAGAGAAACCTTTCATCTGCTCTTACTGTGGTAGAAGCTTCAACTGTCAAGGGCATATGAAAAGACACATGTCAGTTCACACAGGAGAGAAACCTTTCAGCTGCTCTGAGTGTAGTAAAACATTTAGACAGAGAGCGACTCTGACCAGGCACAAATTAGTTCACAAAGGGGAGAGACCTTTCTGCTGCTCAGAGTGTAAAAAAAATTTTTTTGATGAAACGTCTCTGGCCAAACACATGTTAACTCACACAGGGAAGAGACCTTTCAGCTGCTTTGAGTGTGATAAAAGATTTTCAGTAAAACAGCATCTGACCAGACACATGTTAGTTCACACAGGAGAGAAACCTTTCATCTGCTCTTACTGTGGTAGAAGCTTCAACTGTCAAGAGCATATGAAAAGACACATGTTAGTTCACTCAGGAGAGAAACCTTTCAGCTGCTCTGAGTGTAGTAAAACATTTAGACGGAGAGAGACTCTGACCAGGCACGAATTAGATCACAAAGGGGAGAGACCTCTCTGCTGCTCAGAGTGTGATAAAAAATTTTTTGATGAAAGGTCTCTGGCCAAACACATGTTAACTCACACAGTGGAGAGACCTTTCAGCTGCTCTGAGTGTGATAAAAGATTCAAATCTCAAGAGGCCCAAAAACGACACATGATAACTCACACAGGGGAGAGACCTTTCAGCTGCTCTGAGTGTGATAAAAGATTCAAATGTAAAGTGGTCCAAAAACGACACATGTTACTTCACACAGGGGAGAAACCTTTCAGCTGCTCTGAGTGCGATAAAGGATTCAAAGTGCAAGAGGCTCTAAAACGACACATGTTAGTTCACACAGGAGAGACACTTTTCAGCTGCTCTGAGTGCAGTCAAAAGTTTTCCCAAAAAACAGAGATGACTGCACACATGTTGTCTCACAGGGAAGAGAAACCTTCAGATGATCAAAGTGAGATAAAAGATATTTTGATAGAAGGTCCTTGGCCATGCACATGGTAGTTCACACCGTAGAGAAACCTTTTAGCTGCTCTGAGTGTGGAAAAAGATTTAGCCATAATTGTACTCAGAAAGTTCACATGGTATATCACAGGATTTAATTGTTGAATGTATCTGACCTCACACATGTTAGCTTACACGTAGAAAAATAAACCTTTTTCGCCTGCAGTGGCGCATTATGAACTGTAAAATACGACAACGGAGACCCCGGACTGTTGAACAACTGAAGCTGAACATCAACCAAGAATGGGAAAGAATTCCACCTTCAAAGCTTCAACAGTTCGTCTCCTCAGTTCCCAAACGTTTACTGAGTTTGTTAAAAGGTGATGGAACACAGAGGTAAACATGACCCTGTGTTGCTGCCATCAAATTCTGAGTTAATTATTTCCCCCAAAAATTAAGGTTTATGAGTTTGAACATTTAATATCTTTTCTTTGTAGTGAATTCAATTGAATATAGGTTGAAAACGATTTGCAAATCATTGTCATCTGTTTTTATTTACGTTTATCACAATTTCCCAACTTTAATGGAACTGGGTTTTGTACATCAAAACAGTCATACTCATACAACACAACACAATACACTATCTGTAGTCCATAACCTCCACACAAGAACTGAAGCAGCAGCTGTTCATCAGGATCACCCAGAATGAAGAATGAATCAAAGCGTGTTCATTGGGATGTGTCTGCCTCCAGGTCTTTCAGCGTTCTCTTCAAAGTATCCGATGAAATGAGCTCATTGAGTTTCCACTCTGTTGGTAGATCATACAGAACCAGGTTGGAGGGAAAGTGAAGCTTCATCAGTACAGTGTGTTCTCATTGAATGCAGGAGGTATGATGACAAAAGGAAAATACTGAAAGCAGCAGCAGAGAAAGCTAAAATAACCTTCAGGAGAGGAAGTCTTGGTGGCTTTTGTTTCAGGATTCTCACCGTGTTATTAGAGGAAACGGAAACTTTGACAGGATCTAAAGGTCTAAATTTATTTACAGTTCAGAGAGTAGCCAAGACATACGGTGAGGCATCTTTTTATTCCTGTGGCCCCCGTCTGTGGAACAGCTTACCTGATGACCTGAGGACTACACCTAATCTTAATGATTGATGAAGCAAACTGAAAACAAACCTTTTTAGTCTTTCTTTCAACTAAATTTTATATCTTAATTTTATATCATTAACTTTGTTGAAGTGTTTTAACATTTATCTCTTCTAGTTTTAATGACAGAATCATCTTTGATTAAGATATTTTGGTGTTATTATTGTCGTATCTTTTACTCTTGTTTTTATTTCATTTTATTTAATAATTCTTAAATTTCATTTTATGTTACTTTGTTTTTAGATTTTAAACCTCCAGTGTTTCTTTACCTTGAATTTTAAAACGGTGTTTCCTCAGTGCGCACATTCCTGTTTATATGAATCGAACCCTTTTTAAGTTCATGCATTTTTATACATGTTTCTATTGAGCTGAGATTGCGGGGTGGGAATGAGGGGTTGGGTTGGGGTAGATTCAGGTTTTCTTTGTTTCTTTTATTTCTCTACTATGTAAAACACTTTGTGCTTCATCTTTTTGTATGAAAAGTGCGATACAAATAAAGACTGATTGATTGATTGATTTTGACTTGAATCTGTCTGCCAATCGACTGCCAACTGCTGTTACAAACTGAAGAGAGCAGGTTAGTTCACCTTCTTCTTCAACATGAGAAATGAACAAGAGAAAACCACCGAAGATCAAAACCTGTTGACAAACAGAACAGCAACGTCATTTATGTTGTGATCGTTCTTCTGTGTTTGGTGGAGCTTCATCTTATCAGTCTTAGTGTCTGTTGTTAGCTCATTACAGTGAAACTCAAACACGATTTATAAAAGGCGCGAATTCAACCCACCAGTGGCGATTGCTCTAAGACTGCAAGGGAAGCTCGGCTTCCCTTAAAATGTCACCCCCCCAAAAAAAGAAAAAGTGGTGAAATACGTACGGCTGTGTGTACATTTCATTAACTAAATACGCACTAGAAAGCCTTCAACTTTTGTTCAGACACTGTGATAAGAAGCTGATAATCACAGGTAACCGGCATAACTTCGTTCTCATTCATCCTTGCAGCGCCTCAGCGCTTTAAACAGCCGGACGCTGGGCTTCTGCTGACTTCAATGTGGAAGCTCAAAGTGGGTTGTTCCAGCAGCGAAACTAGATGCTTATTGGATAAATGCTGGGTTTTGTCCCGCCCATCAGAGGCTCAGCTTCACTGGAGTTCTATGACGAGAGGGCGGTCCCAACTTTCTCCCGGACTCCAAGCTTCTGCATCCATGATTGGATGAGCTGTCTGAGGCGAAATCCTTTTTTGATTGACAGCTAAACAAGCGAATCAGCGATCTTGAAGAATAAAACATCTACCAGAGCATTTTCCAAGTCATTCATTCCGTTGTTCTTAACTGCTCCGGAGACTTTACCGATCCTCAGCGACTCTTGTCTTTGTTAAAAATGACTGCCGTTGTGTTTGGCGACTCTGTTCTGTTACATACAAATAAACAAATACAATTATGATGTAGGCCAGAAAAATGAGCTTCCCCTCCTTGAAAGACCAGCAGCCGCCACTGCAACCCACGTATCATTTTTCAAAATAAAACCAAACGTTAAAAACAAGAAACGACGCTCATCTATTTCCTAAACATGGTTAAGAAAAAAAGGATACGACTCGTTTTCCCAATATGTTGTGTTCAAATACAAAATGGAAACATTATATAACAACCTTGATGTTATATAACATCATAGAAGACTAACAGGCTAGAGCGAGTGCCCTTTCTCAGAAGATTCTATCATAGAATCCAGAGCAAACTGAGTCAGACAGGATCTTAAAAAGATAGTTCAGGGTTTTTTCAGAGGGGTTATGTGAAGCGCATGAGGAAAGAGGGATCGGCAATCTGCACAATGAACTTAGATTAACCTTAGATTTTTAAAACAGAGATAAAAACACAGAAAACCACAAGGTGTTGGTCTTTTCTCTTTTATTTATTATTTATTTAATATTCTGACAGTCTCTTCAACTCAGTGTTAGACATACAGCAGCAGGATGCAGAGTCTCAAATCCCTGTATATATATAGGTATATATATATGTGTGTGTATAGAAGTACATTCTAAGATGAGCTTTTATTGTGAAGGGCCCTGCAGCAGCAGTTAGTGCAGGTGGCTGTGCATCATTAAGACAACATCACAGACAGAGAGGGGCACAACCCGGGCTGACTGACTCGACTCCTCAACACGGAGAAGCGTTAAATCTGAACTTTATTAAACTCACATCCTCTAAAAAACTCAAACTCAACCAGCTGCAACCTGAAAACACTGAGAGTACCTTTCCTCTGAACCCACGTGAAGATAAAAGTGAAATTCTGAGATGAACAAGCTTAAAGTGTCGGACTGAAGAGGACCTGAATGAAGAACTAACCCTCTCTGACACCAATGAATCGGACCGGTCTCTGTGGATCCATCAGTCAGCCCAGTCAAGGTGACACTCTAAAGAGCAGCGGTGTGGTTTCTCATCCCTCCTCGTGTTTTTTCAGGTTTGTTAGGCTTGTGCGTTGATGATGTCCACAAACTCTGGTTTTAGAGAAGCTCCGCCCACCAGGAAGCCATCCACGTCCTCTTGGGACGCCAGCTCTCTGCAGTTGGCTCCTGTCACTGAACCTTCAGGGTGGAGAAGAAGAAGAGGAACATAAAGACAGGTTTCAGAGTGTGATCTTTGTCCTCTGAGGACGGACGCCAAACAGGAAGGGCTCCACAAAAACTCACCTGGCGTCTGGCAGAAGGTTCTTCAGCATCCGCTGCAGAACAGCCAGATTCACAAACATCTGTCTGCTAAATGCCAAAAAAAACCCCACTCCCACCCTGCTGCACTGTGTTCCTGTTTGTACCATTTATTGGATGTAAATAAGAACATTTATCTTTTTATATATATTTTTATTTATTTGTTTTTTATTCCACAGTATTACTCAGCATGCTGCTCTTTGACCCTTAGTTTTTAGTTTTTTCTGTATATTAAATTATGATACTTATTATATTAGATATTATGATAATTATTATAACACCATCATGCTGTGATATGGAAGCCAAGCACCGAGAAAACAGATAATCACTGCTGTGTTTTCTGTCTGCAGTGACCATAAAGAAAGTCTACGTCTCTTTCTGACGAGTGTGAAAGGTAGAAATTCGACTGACCTCCGTAGATGATGCGCACAGAGTCAGCGACATCATCAGACACGTTGGCTCGGAGCCACGCCCTCAACTTCTCATGGACCTCCTGAGCCTGCGCACACACACACGCACAGTTGAGAGTCAGTCTCACTAACAAAGGCGGTGAGGTCATGACCATCCTGCTGTCATTTCTACCTGATCAGGTGTGGCGGTCTTTCCTGTGCCGATGGCCCACACAGGCTCATAAGCAAGGACCACTTTCCCCCAGTCCTTCACGTTCTCTGCAACACAAACAACATCGACCATCATGAGATCTACAGAGGAGCAGTGGAAGAGTTTCTCCATCTGTAAACACAGTCGGCGCTCTAAAGTCCGATCACCTGCTCCAGAGGGACTACAGCAGGTTACAGTTTGAGGACACGCTGCAAAGATCTGTTGATGCTGTCGGACTTTTCAGAGACCTCTGAGGAGACAGACCTGCATCCACAGAGGACCAGAGATGAAGCCCCGCCTCCATCAGCAGAGACCGCTGACCCACTTACATTTTAAGTCAGAGTAATGAAGAGAACCTACTTAGAGAAGTAGTCTGCAGGAGAATCATCAATCATGGTTTTAAAGGGAAATAAATAAAGTTAGAGTCAAACCCACCGAGTTAGACCCCGCCTCCAGAGATGAATGTTGTCGACCGCTAGTTATACCAACTTTAGTAACGACCGCAGGATAGAAATACAGAGAGCCACGCCCCCAACCAAAACGCCACTCTATAGCCACAAATTTGTCCTGGGGGGGGGGGGGGGGTTGTTTAATTTCTCCGAGAACACCAAAAAGGCTGGGGCTGGCCCTGCTCAGGCCAGTCCATTACAGACTACAGCGGGGTGCCGCAGCTCAAGGAAGAACATTTATGATCCTTTCTTCATGGAAATACAATCAGACCGAGACGCTAAGACAGAAGAACTACCGCGTCTGTAAAATGATCAATATGGTGATTATTACTTCAAGGAAATGATAAAGAAATGATTTGTTTATGTCTCTCTGTATTTCTATCCTGCGGTCGTTACTAAAGTTGGTATAACTAGAGAATCAAGCGGATGACAACATTCATCTCTGGAGGGGGGGGTCTAACTCGGTGTTACGGTGGGTTTGACCCTGATTTAATTTTACGCCTGAGACTGAGTGAGTCCAGAACCAACAGGCTGTGAACCGAAACCCTGCAGAATCCACGGGTCGACAGAGAAACCCTGAAAAATCCACGCCTGAGTTTTCACTCTTTACCTGCGATGACCTGGGTCTGGTTGTAGACCACCTCCTCTGTGGTGCCGGCCTCTCGCTCCTCCAGCTTCTCCCCGATGCAGGCGATCACTCCCAGGTCACTCTCCAGAGCATGGGCCACCTGAAAACCAACCGACCAATCAGGTTCAAGCATAGATCAGCCCCTCTGATGTGTGTGTGTGTGGACCACATATGTTTGATTTTCATGTCCAATCTGTTAACATGGAGGAGGCGGGGCTTTAAGACCCATACTGCAGCTGGTGTCTCACCTTCTGACCAATCAGCTCGTCACTTTCCCCAAACACGTGCCGGCGCTCTGAGTGTCCCAGGATAACCCAGTCCACGCCGCAGTCCTTAATCATGGCGGGGCTGCAGAGAGAGGACACGGTCTTCACAGAGTCTCATTTTCAGGAGTTTTTATCGAGTTTGTAAATAAAATTTAGAGATTCAGAAACAGAAAATCTGATTCTGTTCAGTCTTTAAACGTGAATCAGCTGAATCTAGAATCTGGATTTAGTCAGAGATATTTCTGCGTTTGTTTTCAGTCGGTGGGTGAGATACCTGATCTCTCCTGTAAACGCTCCCTTCGTCACCTTGTAGCAGTTCTGAGCAGCGACCCCGATTCGTGAATCCAGATTGGACCGAACAAAGTCCAGGTAGATGGAAGGAGCGCCGCAGACCACCTCTGAAAAATTCACATTTATGAGATTAAATCACATCCAAGTAAATTCAGGACTTCTATATAGACACAGTTCTGTCCACATGGAGGCGCCAAAGTCTTACAATCATACAGAGGAGCTTTAAATAAAGTGAGGGGGGGGGGGGGTATGCTCAGGTAAACGGCCTAAAGTGACCCCAGTTTCTGCTTTATTGACTTTATTTCTATTTTAAATTTTATTATTTTAGTTTTTCTAGTTTGTGATGAAGTCAGATTTAAAAAGTTTAATAAAGTTTATGATCAGTAAAGAGCGTCACTAACTGTTTCTTTAAAGACAGCTGCATCGTTACTGTTCGCTTCATTCAAACATGATTAAATATCTATAATATCCAACAAATGAACTTCCTGTGGTTCTGACCTTGAGTTGATTATAAAAACTAAAACTGTTATTCTTTAAAAAAGTGATTTTTGACTGTAGATCATCTTTTTTCCTTTCATGAATTTTTCAAGTTATTTTTTATTTATAAACTCTTACTGTAATAAAAACATGTGGAGCAGACCACAGTTTTTCAATTAATCAATAAATCAAATTAAACTTTATTTATAAAAACTTTTCATACAAACGATGTAACAGGAAGTGCTTTACAGTCCATGAAAAACTCCTTTATTTTAGGATTTTAATTTCAACACATTTGATTGATTGATTGATTGATTGATTGATTGATTGATTGATTGATTGATTGATAAAGTTTCTAACACTCCCATCTTCTTCTTCTTCTTCTGCAGAGAGTAAGACGGTTTTGAGGTCATGGACTTTAAGCTGATTTACCTGTGAAGAGGATCACACAGGTGCGTCAGAGACCGTTACGTAACTCATCCTGATCACGTGACCTCCAATGTCACCGTGTCATCTGAGCTCCAGCATCTCTCCTCCGTTTGTTTGATCGGACTTTATCGATCCCTGTGATCGATCTCAAAAACACCCTAACACGCACAGACTGAGTGAATCTGTAGTTTATCGATAAACCTGATCGATTAAAGGACTCACCGGTGTTTTCGTCCAGGGTGGCCGTGTTCAGGGTCCCGATCAGCTCCCCCAGACTTTCCTTGTTCCCGTTCATCTTCCAGTTTCCTCCCACGAAGAAGCTCCGGAGCGCCATGGCCGGCTGAAGGTGGCAGAGAACCGCGGAGATGAGGAGGAGGAGGAGGAGGGTCCGAGTCCGAGTCCCGCTGCTGGTGTGTATTTCAGGTGCAGTGGGAAATATCACGACTCAGCCACGGTAAACACTTTTTCACTGTGGCTGTGTCTCATTTCAGAGACCGCATCGACCTAAGTGCCCTTCTGCACCGTCGAACGGTGCATTTGAAGTGTGCATGACGTCACGACGGTGCGAACGGTGTCCCGTTTGGCACGAGATGCTAAAAAATGCTAAGCGCGCTTAGCATGTTTTCAAGCGTGCATTTATCCACGCTTTCGTGCCGTCGGTATCCCAGAATCCTTTGCGTGCCGCTGCACAGCTGCGCATTTCAGGTGAGAGGCTGGACTCGCTTGGAGACGCAGCGCGTCTTCAAAGAAATTACAAGCAATCCAAAAACAGCAGACAGTCAGCTCAGGCTGTATGAGAGCATGATCTCTGAACTCACTAAAATCTGTAAACCAAACATTATAGATTTAGAGACGAACTGATCCGCTCTGCTTTAACAATCAAAAACATTAGAAATAAGAAAGCTGACAAAACTACGGCAGAGTATCAGGACAACATTGAGGTTTTTTTCTTTTAAGATTTAGAGATTAAAGTTGTAAATTTAGGAGAATAAAGTCATAAAGTAAATAAAGTCATAAAGCTGCTTTTGTGGAGGGGGAAATGACTGAAGCTGGTCATCTGCAGGGTAATCTGTGGATGTATCAGCGGGTCATTCAGAGAGATTTTGTGGTTTCTGAAGAAACAATCAAACTGATGATAATCAACATTTGTGATCCAGAGGGAGTCGAGCTCCGACGAGCACCACGTCTCTGACACCGGCCGTAGCCTACACCTGCAGAGACACCAACACCTTATTATGGCATATGGATTCATATCATAAATTAAAGCTCAATGTCATTCACGGATATTTACGGCTGAATTGACAGATATATCCTCAGCATATTCATTTCTGCCTCCACAAAAGCAGCGATTTCCTTCAAGTACACCAGTTTTTTTCCCCGTGGAAAAGACGTATTTCTCATATATTCTTTTTTTAAAGTCTTTATACTTATGACAATGTGATGCTGATGTGCCAGAGGATGAAGTATCTCCTATCCTCCTTCTCAATAGGGCCCTCATACTCCTTCATACAAAACAATCATTGGATTAATTTTGTGGGAATGATCTGGGCTTGTATGTATCTACTATTTTGTGTCTGTGCAAGGTCGCACAATTAAAACAATAAATGCTGCGCTCCGCAGCTTTTTTTCTAATCAGTCGTGACGTAAGCCTGAGGGCGGGGACATTTGGAGACCTTCGGAGGACTTCCTGGTGGAGTTGCCAAATGTCCCCGCCCTCAGGCTCGCGTCACGACTGACTTAAAGGAAACCCGCGGAGCGCAGCATTTATTGTTTTAATTGTGCGACCTTGCACAGACACAAAATAGTAGATACATACAAGCACAATTCATCCAATGATTGTTTTGTAAGAAGGAGTATGAGGGCCATATTGAGATTTAAGACTTTAAGGACTTCGAGATTTAAGTCGTGAATTTACGAGAATAAAGTCATTAATTTATGAGAATAAAGTTTTAAAGTTTCCTGTTATTTCAGAGAGACTTGTTAAAATTAGGGCCATGAAGCATTTGAAGGAACTGTGCTTCAGTATAGGTTTCACAAACAAGGAGATTCTTCATCCTCTGGCACATCAGCATAACATTGTCATAAGTATAAAGACTTTAAAAAGAATATCTGAGAAATACGTCTTTTCCACGGGGAAAAAATATTGGTGTACTTGAAGGAAATCGCTGCTTTTGTGGAGGCAGAAATGAATATGCTGAGGATATATCTGTCAATGCAGCCGTTAATATCCGTGAATGACATTGAGCTTTAGTTTATGATATGAATCCATATGCCGTAATAAGGTGTTGGTGTCTCTGCAGGTGTAGGCTACGGCCGGTGTCAGAGACGTGGTGCTCGTCGGAGCTCGACTCCCTCTGGATCACAAATGTTGATTATCATCAGTTTGATTGTTTCTTCAGAAACCACAAAATCTCTCTGAATGACCCGCTGATACATCCACAGATAACCCTGCAGATGACCAGCTTCAGTCATTTCCCTCTCCGCAAAAGCAGCTTTATGACTTTATTTACTTTATGACTTTATTCTCCTAAATTTACAACTTTAATCTCTAAATCTTAAAAGAAAAAAACCTCAATGTTGTCCTGATACTCTGCTGTAGTTTTGTCAGCTTTCTTATTTCTAATGTTTTTGATAGTTGTAGCAGAATGTTTGGTTTACAGATTTTAGTGAGTTCAGAGATCATGCTCTCATACAGCCTGAGCTGACTGTCTGATGGTTTTGGATTGCTTGTATTTTCTTCGAAGACGCGCTGTGTCTCCAAGCGAGTCCAGCCTCTCACCTGAAATGCACAGCTGTGCAGCGGCACGCAAAGAATTCTGGGATACCGACGGCACGAAAGCGTGCATACATGCACGCTTGAAAACGAGGCGGGGGTAGTGTGGTTTTGAGACCGAATTTGAAGCGCGCTTAGTATTTTGTGCCAAACGGGACACCGTTCGTGCCGCGTGGTGACCTCACGTACGCGTCAGATGCGCCGTTCGATGGCTGCTGTATCTGAAATGGGACACAGGAAGGGCACAGAACGGCGCAAAACGGCGTAAAACGGCTCAAAACGGCAGTGCACTCAGCTAAGCGCCGTTAAGCGCGCTTATCACGATGCGGTCTCTGAAATGAGACACAGCCTGTGTTTATTATGGCAAGGCAATCGGCTTTAGGGTGCAGTGCTGCCACCTGCTGGTGATTGTCAGGAACTGTTTCCAACCCATCATGTACTAATGAACTGATTTTTAATGAAAATAATAAAAAGAACATTTGTATGAAGAGACAGTCGAACTCTTCAGAGCTGCTGATGCGAATATAAACTTTATTTTTCACTTTGAACATTATGAGGATTTCTTTAACTCTAAATAAAGTTCTTATCCATGAAAAAAGGGTCCGTTTGATATTAGACAAAACAAAGAGACAGGAACCCGTTAAAAACAGGAGGACAGAGACGGTTCAGGAAAAACAGGATCAACAGGAGTTAAAATTTTCAAATGTGATTTAGAAACAGGAAGTGAGGGGGACAGACAGTCGGACATGAAGAGGACGAGCGTTCAGAGCTTAGGCGCAGCGATGGAAAAAGCCCGCTCACCCCTGAACTTTGACCTTGACCTAGGGACCGTCAGAAGGTCAGAGGATCTGAGAGTCCGAGACGAAATATAAGATTTTAAAAGGTCAGAAAGATAAAAAGGAGCGAGCCCGTTTAAAGATTTATAAGTTAATAATAAAATTTAAATCCTAAAACGCACAGCAAGTCCGAGAAGAGAGGCTAAAATAGAGGAGATGTGGTCGTATTTACGGCGAGCAGATAAAACACGAGCTGCTGCGGCGTTTTGAAGGAGCTGTAAACCATGAAGAGGTTTGACTGACACCAAAATAAAGAGCGTTACAATAATCAAGACGAGATAAAAGCATGAATAACCTTAAAATCACTCAAAGATAAAAAGACTTGACCTTCTTTAAAAGACGATAAAAACTTCATTTATCTGCAGATCCATTTTCAAATCTCTGTCCATCAGAGTCTTTCAGGAAGGACTCAAAGGGGGACAGATCTGCTCTGGGGTCCAAAGACGACAGACTTCAGTCTGACTCTCATTTAATTTTAGAAAACTGAGAACCGTCCGGGTTGGCTCATCATAAACGGTCATAGAGAAAGTGACTGTGCGCGCTCACCTTTACCTTACCGCATCAAGAACATCAAATAAACTTGTTATTGAGGAATCCATCCTGAACTTTGGAGAAACCACATTTCTGCACCGACATGCAGGTCAGCGAAAGTCTCTTCCTGTTGATATAATTGTCTGTTGATAGTAGGGCCCGACCGATTTATCGGCGAGTTGATTAAATCGGCCGATTTTAGCCCGTTTGAGACTAATCGGTAATCGACCAAAACTCGCAGATTTTCACCGATATTTTCAGAAATGAAATTTGTAGAATAAGATTTGGTTTCACTTCGAAAATGTTCGGCCATTTGAAAAGTTCCCCGACTTCTCCTGTAGATGGCGCTACAGCGACCTCATGCCGACCTTCATCCACTAACGACCTCACAGCAGAGTGACGGATCTGAAGCAGCAGCTCAGGGACACGGAGGAGAGTGGTCCGCCTCAACGGGAAATAAACCAGTTTGTGAAAAACACAATAAGTCAACAAGTTTCAGTTCAACCCACTTCACCATGTTCCCCGCTGGGCTGGTCTCGGTCACGCCCACTTAATGCTGAAGCAAACGCTTTTCTGGTCCGAGTCTCATCAGTCGGTCTTCCTGTCCACCAGTAGCCTACAGTATATACAGTATTTAGTTTTCTTAGATATCTACAGTTTATATTTATATAAATATTTTTTATAACTTCATAAACTTTTTAAAAAACTCCCTGGTCGACAGTCTCTCCTCTCACAGACACAGACACTCAGACTCTGACATGGTGTTAATGCAGAATTCTATGTTTATTAGAAAGATTTTGAACAAACGTTGGTCTTTTTACAGAGGAACTGCACACGTGTAAAAGAACTACAGCTGAACCCCGGGGAGTAAAACTCAGCTGACAGCTCTTCACTGACTCGTTTGGTCGGTGTGTCGGTCGCCTGCTGGCCTGGCTTTACCTTTAACCCTCTCCTGTCCGGGTACATCATCAGATTTTCACAGTCAGACTGGGGAAACAGCAGCAGCCATCTTGGATCAAAGTCTGCTGGTTGTTAGCAGAGGAGCCAGAATGGAAGCTCTACCATAAACACACATATACTCTGGATATGTGCAGCCCAAAAAAAAAAAACAGAAAAGAAAAGAGAAAAAGAAAAGAAAAGACACTGTACATGGACTGTCCGTGCTAATGTGTCCAACTATCAAATATAAATAAATGTACATCTCAATCTTTCCTCTACATTAGTGCCGGGCTCTTTTACAGGCCAAAGATCTCCAAGACAATAAAAATAAATCTGTAAACCTATTTTAGTTTCAATATTCACGTCTTCTTTCTCTCTTTATTGTCAAAAATCTAGACATGTTTAATTGACATTCTCAGTAAGAGCTTCTTCTCCGCTCGTTTGGAATAATGCGCTATTTTTATGCTTTTATTTTTCTTCAGCGTTAAAATCGTCTCGACAACAATAAAACTCTCTTGCACGTGCAGCGAGATGCAGCGCGCATGTTTACCTGATGCCTTTTTTACAACCTGACTCACTCGCAGCCTCTCGTTTTTATTTGCATACAAGGATGAGGAAGAAGAGCGGAGGGAGAGAGGAAGAGAGGAAGAGAGGAAGAGAGGAAGGTCATGTTTCTGCACCAATCATCCTTCAGCCTCACTTTTACATCCTAGTTTATTCCCCTTCTCCTTTCCCCTCTCCTCATCTTCCTCTCCTCCTCCTCCTCTTCCTCCTCGGGTGTCTTCCTCCTCCGCAGAGACGTCTCAGTTCCACAGTTTCAGGAAGCTGTCCCAGGATCCTGTGCAGACACCCATGCCGTCTTCGGGGACGCCGGTGCAGCTCACCCTGTTGTCGTGGCCAGACAGCACACCTGAGGGAGGGAGGGAGGGAGGAAAGGGGGAGAAGGAGGTGAGAAAAGGAGAAGAAGGAGGTGAAAAATGAGAAGAAGAAGGGAGGAGAAAATGGAGAAGAAGAAAGGTGGAGAAGGAGGTGAGAAAAGGAGAATAAGAAGGGTGGAGAAGGAGGTGAAAAAAGGAGAAGGAGGAGGTGAAAAAGGAGAAGAAGAAGGGAGGAGAAAATAGAGGAGAAGAAGGGTGGAGAAGGAGGTGAGAAAAGGAGAATAAGGAGGTGAGAAAAGGAGAAGAAGAAGGGAGGAGGAGGTGAGAAAAGGAGAATAAGGAGGTGAAAAAGGAGAAGAAGAAGGGAGGAGGAAATGGAGAAGAAGAAAGGTGGAGAAGGAGGTGAGAAAAGGAGAAGAAGGAGGTGAAACAGGTGGAGAAAATGGAGAAGAAGAAAGGTGGAGAAGGAGGTGAGAAAAGGAGAATAAAGAGGTGAAAAAAGAGAAGAAGGGAGGAGGAGAAGGAGGTGAGAAAAGGAGAATAAGGAGGTGAAAAAGGAGAAGAGGAAGGGTGGAGAAGGAGGTGAGAAAGGAAAGGAAGAAGGGAGGAGTAGTTAGTGAATAAAGAGAAGAAAGAGGGAGGAGAAGGAGGAGAAAAGGAGAAGAAGAGGGGAGGAGAAGGAGGTAAAAAAAAGGAAAAAAATGGAGGGGGGAGGAGGAGGTCAAAAGGTGACGAAGAAGGGAGGAAAAGGAGGTGAATAAGGAGAAGAAGGGAGGATGAGAAGGAGGTGAGAAGTTGACAAAGAAGGGAGGAGGAGAAGGAGAGGAAGAAGGGAGGAGGTGTAGGAGGAGGAGGAGACGGCGTGAACTGACTCACCGACTTTCTCGCCCTTCAGCGAGTCCCAGATGTGACAGTTGAAGTCGTCGTATCCGGCGAAGATGAGCCTGCCGGAGTTGGAGAGAGCCAAAGACGTGACGCCGGCGTTCAGGCTGGTATCCTGGTAACCGATCACTTCCTGGTCGGAGCGCAGGTCGTACATCTTGCAGCTGCAGTCGTCGGATCCTGTGATGACGGCGTTTCCACTGGGGAAGAACTGGAGTGGGAGGAAAGAAGAAGAAGAAGAAGAAGAAGAAGAAGAAGAAGAAGAGGAGGAGAGTTAACGGGACTGAAGTCTGTGGAGAGTGAAACCGTCATCGTCTAAATCTCAGGATGAAAATCATCAAATCCTGAAAATACAGTTTTCTGTTTCTGTGATTTAAAGTCTTTAAATCCAGGATTTTATCATGTTTGTTTTTCTTCAGATTTCTCAGAGTTTTGATTTTCTCCTAAACTCGTCCTCCACATTTCAGAATTTTGCTTCATCTCATTATTCGACCTTTTCCTCAGAATATGGAGCAAAAAAACCTCAGAACCGGTTCTGATCCGCCCTGATTAATCTGGACTTTTAAGGAGTCCAGAGACCCTCTAAAGAGAGTCGAAGGGGCGGGACCCCCGCAGAGTCAACGCTCTGATGTCACTTGTTGCTGCCGTTGTTGGATGACGACGATGATGATGATGATGATGATGATGATGATGATGACATCAATCAGGAGAGACGATCTCGCTCTCTCTCTCTCTCTCTTCCTTATTCATGTGTGTGTGTGTGTGTGTGTGTGTGTGTGTGTGTGTGTGTGTGTGTGGGCGGTCTTACCGAGATGGCGTTGATGTCGCTGGTGTGTCCGGAGAAGGTCTGCTTGCAGGTCCCTTCCCTCAGGTCCCACAGCTTGGCCAGAGAGTCGCAGGCTCCGGAGATGAAGGTGTTCATGTCTCCAGAGAGAGCCAGAGACATGCAGTCTCCGATGTGGTTAGTGAAGATGATCTTCTGCTTCCCGGTCTCCAGGTCCCACAGGCAGCTGAGGGGAGGGATAAGGGGTGAGAGGGTGAGGGTCTGAGACGGGCTCAGAACCGAGTCTGAAACTCTCTCTGAGGTCCGGGTTCAGGTTCAGAGGGAAAGACCTTTACGACTCTAGAAGAAGGTGGTTCGTTTATGATTGATGACATGTGTGTGTCTCAGCAGGAATCAGGACTGCAGGTCCTTCCAGAACCCTCCACAGATCCACCACCCGGATGTAAACAGGTGTGGTCTGCAGGAGGGTTAGGGATCCGGCTCAGTCCTTTTTTCAGGTTTTTAAAGGTGTGTCAGTGTTACTCGTGTCTTTTCCTCTATAATTACGACACGTCACAGATGTAATGATGACGGCGTTCGTGCTAAACTCACCAGGTGGTGTCACCGGAGGCCGTCAGGATCTCCGAGTCACTGAGGAAACGGCAGCAGGACAGATAACCTGAGAGGACGAGAGAGAAACCGGTTCATTGTCAGCGTTAATCAGGAACCTTCAGGGTCTCAGGTGAGGGTCCTTCTTACCTGTGTGGGCGTCCAGCTCCCTGAGGGTCTTGGGGCTGGCCGCCTTGATGTTGTACACTGTGCACATGTTGTCCAGACCGCCGCTGGCCACCAGGTTACCAGAGGGGGCGAAGGCGACGCTCATCACCCAGGCGGATTTTAGCGGCACAGCGACCAGCTGGGGAAGAGAAAGGAGAGGATGTGAGAGAAACCGGAGAAATGTCCCGTTTTCTGTGACTGAAACTCAGTCCTGATCTCTTCCCTGACGAAGTGGAAACAAAGGTTAAAGCATCACTGAACACTTAACTCATCAGTGAAATCCAGGCTAATCTAATTACTCAAGGATAATAAGGAGCTCCAGCAGGAAGGACAAACCCACTCCACCAATCACAGCCTCAGGATCTTCTCTGACTTATAAAACAAAAACAAAGTTCAAGATACGAAGAGAAAGTGAGAAAGAAGATCTGCGGCTGTTGTGTCTGAATATACTTTTAAATTTCTGTGTTTGAAACGGACTTTTACACAAACAAACAGACAGGACTGTTTAAAGTCCAGCTCAACAACATCAGACCTCTGAGAGTCCGGACTCGGTAAGGTCCCTGGTTTTGGATCTCACCTTGTTTCCTGTGAAGGTGTCCCAGATCAGGAGCTTTCCATCCTGTGATGCACTGACCATCTGCCTGAGAGAGACAAGACGACAGAGACGCTTCAGGACCAATCAAAAACCTTCATTTCACCTTCATCACAACCTCAGCAGCAGGAGGAGAGACGGGACAGAGGAGCTGCAGGGACTCAGAGAGGACACCAGGGGGCGGTGTAGGTCAGACAGTGTGAGGGCATCAAACGTCTGAGATGTTGGAGACGAATATTTGAGTGTTTTCAGACCAAACTGGTGAATAAAAGTCTGAAAATCATCAGTTTTAAGAATCTGATCAGAAAATTTGATCATTTCAAAGATTTTCACAAACATTTCTGAGGAACAGAAAATGTGATTTTTTTTTAAAACTTTTTTTTAGATTTAATTTGATATTTTATAAAATATTTTTCTCCATGAATCTTTTTTGCTTCATCAGATTTTCTTTTTCTGTCTGTTGGGATAAGAAACAGTTTTGTGATTCTTCGGTTCAGTTTTTCAAGTTTTCGCTCTCAGTTGAATATTTTTGCGTTTTTTTGATATTTTTGTATTTTTTTTACAGTTTTTAATTTATTTATAATTAAAATGATGATATCGGTGCCTCGCTGTAGAGCTTCTGTGAAGAACTCGTTTTGGTCGGTGTGTGTGTGTCCAACTTTATCTGAACAGTCAGACCTTTAAAAAACATGGCGGTGGTTTCATGTGTTCATGGAATAATGAACAAATATCACTGTTTCTGTTCTTCCGGTCCAGCTGAGGGACCCCCGGACCCCCGGACCCCCTTCATGTCTCAGGTTTTATTCTCTTTATAAAGGAGCTGAAAAGGCGGGTCAGTCAGTCTGTTAGTTTGACTTTAACCCCCTTCTGTATTTAAACACGAGTGTCTAATATCTGTAACTCTGACTGTGAAGAAGCTAACGGACTCATCAAGTGACCTTTAACCTCTGGTGTTTAAGTCTCTGCTTCATAAATCTGTGTTTCCTCTCCTGAGGACGAGTCTGGACTAAATCTGAGTCTGGACTGAGTCTGAGTCTGGACTGAGTCTGAGTCTGGACTAAGTCTGAGTCTGGACTGAGTCTGAGTCTGGACTGAGTCTGAGTCTGGACTAAGTCTGAGTCTGGACTGAGTCTGAGTCTGGACTAAGTCTGAGTCTGGACTGAGTCTGAGTCTGGACTAAGTCTGAGTCTGGACTGAGTCTGAGTCTGGACTAAGTCTGAGTCTGGACTGAGTCTGAGTCTGGACTGAGTCTGAGTCTGGACTAAGTCTGAGTCTGGACTAAGTCTGAGTCTGGACTGAGTCTGAGTCTGGACTAAGTCTGAGTCTGGACTGAGTCTGAGTCTGGACTGAGTCTGAGTCTGGACTAAGTCTGAGTCTGGACTAAGTCTCTGAAACTCTCGGTTCCTCACCTGGAGTCAGCTGACCAGTGCATGGCATAGATCTTGGCCAGGTGACCCTTGAGCGTCTTCCTGAGCTTCAGCTGGACTCGGCCCACGGAGGCCACGCCCCCTGCTGCTCCTGACATGCTGCTGTCGTTCACGGCTTTACGGGCCGCCTGGTGGACAAAGAAGGAATGACAGGGTGGAGGAACAGAGCAGAGACAGTCAAACGAGCAGGTCAAGGTCAGCTGACAAAAAAACCCTCCAGACCTTCTCAGCTGAGATCAGACGACTTTAACAAAAACAGTTTCATGTCCTTCAAGACAAAAAGAGCCTGAAGCTGCTGAGTTAAAACCTGACCTCCTAATAACCAAAAGACACTCACAGATAAAAAGAAACAGGTGTTTGAAAACGTCGAACTCTTTAAAAGGGTTTGAACTGAACGTTTATATCAGGTTTGGGAAAATCTGTTTCTGCTTCATTCCTGCATCTTCACGTCACTTCAGTGAAAATCACAGACAGAGAAATGACGTCTGTCTCTCAGGGTTTGGGGTCCAGGGTTCGACGGTCACTCACCTCGATCTGTGCACGGAGGCCGTCGCACTCCTTCTTCAGAGCATCCATTTCAGCTTTCTCAGCTGCCATGGCGACGTCTGCGAGAGGATGTTACTGAGCGGAGAGGAAAGAGTTAATCTAAAAAAAAACAAGAGAGAGAGAAAAATCAGGTCTTCATGAGTCCGGTCCTGAAGGAGGAGTGTCCGCGTTCAAGACGGTGTGAGTCCGTCCACGGAGATCCACGGAGCGGCTGAAGATCACTCTGTGACCCTGATTCTCTGATCTGCAGCGCTTAGGTTCCTCTTACAGCACCAAGTCTAGAGCAAAGATTAGACACAGACCTGACCCGGGGTTTAATCCCCCCTAAACCAGAGCAGTAAGACTGTTAGTCCTCATACTGGTCCAATTATGATGGACAGGTAGGGGAGAGGACCTGAGGGGGTCAAAAAAAGGGGGTCAAGTGAGATGGAGAGACTCTCCTGGAGGTCCAGGAGAGAAACTAGAGACCTGCAGTTTTAAAGCAGGAGAGCCGAAGGAACGACTCGGTTCCTCTGAAGTCGACCCGGTCCGTGCTCTCAGGACCGGTTCTGAACCCTGAGACATGGATCAGATTAAGTCCAACTTCACAGTTTTTCCCCGGGCCCCTCTTTATGAGCTTGGACCCAAACCAGAGTCCTCAGACCCTCTGAACCGAGCTGCATGTTTCAGTCACTTCTCTAAATGAGCCTCTTTTATTCGGACCCTCAACAGTCCCCGTCCCAGAGTCCCAGAGTCCCAGAGTCCCAGAGTCCCTGCGTGCCGCACTCGTCTGAATGTGCTTAACCCTCGGTAATAGGATCCTGACGTCGGACTAATTTGATGCTAACTTCCTCTCTGCACGATTCTGCTCCACGCTCCTCTCAGCTGATGTTGGGTTCGAGGAGGGCGATGGCGTGAGATCGAAACTGAAATCAGGCGACTAAATAAAAAAATAAAAACTCTGCAAAGATCGGAAACTTCGCCGACTCCGAGGTTTGACATCCAACGGAAACATCGTTAGAGTTTAAATATGTCATAAATGATCAAATGGGAGTTTAGCAGCAGAGGTCAAGGGTCAGGACAAGGTCTACGTGCAGTTTGAACCCGGGACAGGATGTAGGGTGGAGGGTAGAAGGTGGGGGACATGGCGGCGGTAAAGGGGGGCTGCTGCAGGGCTTAAAACCCCGGGCAGGAGATCTTAAGGGAAGCTTTAGCGGTCAAATCTTCTGTCATCCGATTACTGACTGCTCTTTACCTCGGGATCAGAGACGGGAGGAGGAGGAGGAGGAGGAGGAGGAGGAGGAGGTGTGGAGGCTCTGCTCTCGTTCCTCCTCTGCTCTCCTGCTCTCTGATTAGGACGGAAACGACGGTTCGTTATATTTTCAGGTTCAGAGAAACTGAAACCTGCACCAAAGGAAACCCGTCAGTCTGCACAGAAAACACCCCCCCCCCCTCAATGTGGAGGCCTCACAGAGAAGAAGGTCCCCCCGCCCCCCACAGAGAAGGTCCCCTCGAGTCCTGGACGAGGTTTGGCCTTCAGCGGTGGATCAGGCTGCAGCTTACTGCGGCCTCACCTGAGGCTCCAATCCTCTTTGGCAGCTCCAGTCCAGAGATCACCTTCAAAGGGTTTAAGGAATCAGAGACGTGAGGAAAAACCTCAAAGAAGAGGACCCGTCCTGCAGAACCGGACCTGAAAAGATCCAAAAGTTCTGCAGAACCACGGCCAACGCTCAGCCTGCAGAAACCTCTAAAGTACCCTCAGATCTAACTGGTTTCTCATGTTGGAGAAAAGGTCCACCTGCTGATCACTCAATCATCTCATCCTGCAAAAGGTTCTCAGAGTCAAACTCTGCAGCTCCAACAGCGGAGGAGGAACCTGGAGAGCCTTCAACTACAGCAGTCATCCCACTGAAAACTCACTTTTTTCCACAGACGAGGTGGTCCCTGATCTTCTCCTGCAGCTGAGCAGCTCCGTGGTCCTGAAAGTCCTCGGCTCTACGTTCCCTTTCGGAGTTTTTTTAGGTTCCACGATCCCCGGGTGCACAACCTGCTCGCTGGCTCCTCCGACGCTCTCCCCCGGCAGACTGCTCGCAGCTTACTTGTGAAAAACTCTCTCTTTCTCTCTCTCTCCCTTCCTCCACAGTGAGGAACAGATGAGGATTGGAGGGGATGAAGGAGATAAGGGATGAAGGGATAAAGCTCAAAGATGGAAATAGAGAGGGAAGGAGCGAGCGAGCGAGAGAGAGAGAGAGAGAGAGAGAGAGAGAGAGGCGGTAGGTAAACCGATTGGTGGGAGAAAATCAGGTTATGAGGTCAAAAGACAAGAGCAGGTGAAGAAATGAAAGAACAAGAGCGAGAGGAGAAAGGAGACAGGAGGAGGTGAAATGTGAGGAAATGAGCGAGGAGACGGGAGTCAGAGGAGAAGAAGAAGAAGAAGAAGAAGAAGAAGAAGAGAAACAGACGAGTGTTTATGATTCAGGACGTGAGCTGAGAGAGTCTGAAGGTTCTGAAGGTTCTGAAGGTTCTCAAACATAAATCTGTGTTTGTTCACGTCTTTGATTCTGAAACTTCTCCGCTCCTGCGGGACCTCCAGGGTGATTTCTCTCCATGATGAGGAGGATTCAGGGGTGGGATGGATGGTCTGGGGCGAATTGGTTTGTCAGAGCTAATGAGCTGAGCCCGGGTAATCAGGGTCTAATGGGATATCCGGGAACGAGCAATCTCGTTAGGGAATTAGAGCAGGTCATGCAAAACGTGCGTCACACCTGACATGGACCGAGAGCCGGGACCAAAAGTGGATCAGGAGTCAAACGCAGAGGTTAATATCAGAATCAGAATCTGTCAGAGAGAGCCCGGACCCGGGTCCACAGACCAGATCCAGTCCAGAACTGACCTGAAGGGGTTTGTGTGAAAATGTGAAAATCTGAGGAGGTTTAAAGGAGCTTCTGGACCAGCCTGCAGGTAGAAGAGCAGCTATTGGTCCTACCTGAGTGATTAGTGCATTAGCCCCGCCCCTTTGACATCCTGTAATCTGATTTGTGGTTTGAGGAGAGAGTCATTTTTCTCTCTGAGGAAGGAGTGGAGGTCATCAGACCCTGAACCCTGGACCCCCTCAGGTCCAGGTCCACACCGTTAAAAAGTCCAAACTCACGTCAGAACGTCTCCTCAGTGACCACGCCAAGGTCAGGTGACGCACTGAAGGATCTGTGTGTTTGGAGACGCGGGACGGCGTGGTGTGAGGCCAACAGAAGAACCTTTTACTAGAGAACCAGAACCATCAGATGAGCTTCGTTGTCTCTGATTGGCTGCGTCCCAGCTGGCCCAGGGTCTGATTAAGACCTTCAAATACCTGAGGGAACGTTCACCTCCTCGCTCTGGCCCGGTTACTACTCTGCAGCGCTAAACCACAAACCGCGTCCTCATTGGTCCCACGGCGGCGATAATCCACCAATTGCCCTAATGCATTATGGGAGCATGCTGATGTTTGATGATGGGGACTTCCAGATCACCTGGAGCTGACGCTTTTTTTAGTGATTGATGCGTCAGGTGAGGCTCAGGCCCGATGACATCACTCGGCCTCCTCGCCGTTTATTCATGTTCAGAGTTTAAATAAAGGTTTGTGTGATTGAATCCATGACGACCACGAGGTCAGCTGTCAGGATCAAACTCAAATAAAGATGACGGGAGAAAACTCAGCAGAGACTCTGAGTTCAAGTTTCTTCTTCTACTGACAGGAAATAAAAACGTTTGAGGGTCAGTCAGTCAAACCGTCTTTGACCAACGAGGACGAATGAGACTGACAGGAAGTTCACATTTAACTGAAACAGTTCTTTAATTTAAAGGTGGTGGAGTCATGAACCCGTTAAAGAAGCATCAAAAAACAAAAAACCTTCTAATATCAGTCAATAGTTCTTAGTTATTGATTATTTGGTAATATATCGATATCTCTGTGTTCTCTTATGTCTGTGTCGTCAACATTTGAACATTTTTGAGCGGTCCGCTCTTTCTGACTGTAAACAAAGCCGTTCTCCACCTCCTCTAACCTGATTGGTTGTGAGGCAGACGCTGCTCCCCCGTGTCGTTCAGGAGCCCAAACAAAGTTAGCGTGCTACAATATCGGACAGTAGAAACCAACCAGAAAGTTCGGAAAATTGTCTGAATCCTCCTTTGGCCACGACTGCCGACACAAGCAAGAAAACAAAGTAAATACCGGAGACTCTGGAGGAATAACGGGCGCTTAAAAATTAGCTAGACTGGCGTAATAGTGGCTTGCTGCAGACTTAGGATGCCAGAAGACGAGGGCACCTTTACCTGTTTCTCCACACACACCTGCCTCACTTAAAAGCGTGTGCACTGATCATTTTGAGTCATCAGATCTCTCAAAACACACCTTTGTAAAATCCAACCTCTTTGCACACTGCGCTCCCCAGATTGTGCGCCGCTTAACTAGCAAAACAAGAGCTAAAAAGCCGGGTCAACATAAACCATGGGGGACGCTTGGGGATCTTGGTGACCCTGTAACCTTTCTGCTGGACAGGTAAACCGCTTTAACAAAGTAAGACAAGTGTCTGTAACAGAAGTGTTTCTTGTCAAACGGACCTGCTGTAGCGTGTTGTAGCGCCATCGCTAAACTGTCCTCCCTCGGGTCCTGGACTATGTCACTTTATCCTCGTTGTAGAAGTCCTGCAAACATTGTGTTTGCTGGTAGTCTATTGGCATCTACAGTAGCACCAATGCTTTTGACTTTCACCTTGACTGGGCCCCATTTGTAATGATCTAAAGGATTGATCTGCATTACATCTGAATTTAATTGGAACGATACGAGCGAGCAGGAGCGTCTGTTTGTGGGCGGGGCTTAAGAGAGGGAGGGGAGGAGCTGAGTGGAAAACTGGTTGGAGGGGTCGAGTTTACATTCAAGATTTCTCCTAAAAACTGGAACCTCCTCTGATCCTGAACTACAACACCTTTAACACCAGAAGAAGAAGAATATTTCAAAATAAAAGCAGTTTTACAAAACACTAAATACAGCAGCCAAAACAATCTCCCTCTCTCTCTCTCTCCTTCTCTCTCTCCCTCCCTCTCTCTCTCTCTCTCTCTCTCCCTCTCTCTCTCTCTCTCTCCCTCTCTCTCTCCCTCTCTCTCTCTCGCCCTGTAATCCTAATGAGCGTTGACAGAAGTAGACCACCTGACTTCCTGATCACTCCCCGCAGTGACGAGCTCAGCAGAGACGCAGGAGCACAAACTCCTCCGACCCACGTCCACCTTTGGCCTCTCCTCGATCGGGGACCCTTTTAGTCCACTTTGAGAGGAGGAGGAGAGGAGAGGAGGAGGAGGAGGAGGAGAAGAGGAGAGGAGGAGAGGAGGAGGCCGACCACAGAGATGTTTTCAGATCTGGTTAAAACCATCAGGATCTTTTGTTTGTTTTAGTTTCTCTGCTTCTGTTTCCTGGAGCAGCTGAAATGTTTTTGAAGGTCAAATATCTTAGAGGAAGGTCACAGTTTGAGAGGAAAACTCACTTACAGTCTAGAAAAAAAGTCTTTCTGTTGTTTGTTGATCTTTAATTTCCCCTAAACTTGAAGTAAATTCATGAACCTTCAGACTTTTATAACCTCAACATCTACGAAGGATTCAGCTCCATTACAGCCAAGGTCAAATGTTCCACAGCTGATCATCATGTTGTTCATGTGAGCAGAGCCCCCTGCTGGCCAACAGCGACAATGACGGGACTGAGAGGAGAGACACGGAGAAGGTGTAAAACAAAATAAAAACATAAATGAACTATTTTAAAAACGGAGACGGGCGTGTGTGTGTGTGTGTGAGTGTGTGAGTGTGTGTGTGTGTGTGAGTGTGTGTGTGAGAGTGTGTGTGAGTGTGTGTGTGTGTGTGAGTGTGTGTGTGTGAGTGTGTGTGAGTGTGTGTGTGTGTGAGTGTGTGTGAGTGTGTGTGTGTGCGAGTGTGTGTGTGTGTGAGTGTGAGTGTGTGTGTGTGGGAGTGTGTGTGAGTGTGTGTGTGTGTGTGTGAGTGTGAGTGTGTGAGTGTGTGTGAGTGTGTGTGTGTGTGTGTGAGTGTGTGTGAGTGAGTGTGTGTGTGTGTGTGTGTGTGTGTGTGTGTGTGTGTGTGTGTGTGTGTGTGAGTGTGTGTGTGTGTGTGTGTGTGTGTGTGTGTGTGTGTGTGTGTGTGTGTGAGAGTGTGTGTGAGTGTGTGTGTGTGTGTGTGTGTGTGTGTGTGTGTGTGTGTGTGTGTGTGTGTGTGTGTGTGTGTGTGTGTGTGTGTGTGTGTGTTTTATCAACAGTCTGTAAATGTTCCTGAACCCTGAAATGTTGTCCTGTTCTTGCACCAGGATCTCAGGGTCCTGTTTAAACTGGGCCACACGTCAGGGTTCAGGACCTGGACTCCTCTGATAAAGAGAGACCACATCAGACCTTCAGGGGGGGGGGGGGGGACAGGAAAAAAACAACCGTAAACTGAGAGATCTTTTTTTTTATTTCTTTACAAAATTAACTTTAAACATCTGATTTATGTAAAAATAAGAAAAGTTTCAATCAAACTTTAAAAAACCATCAAGATTCAACAAGCGAATCCTCCTCGTCACTGCGGTGCCGAGACAGACACCATCATCATCATCCTCATCATCGTCAACATCGTCATCATCATCATCATCATCACCATCATCGTCATCATCATCAGTAAACATATGTATGTACAGACAGCACCGCCCTCTGTTCACGGTCAAAAACACGTTAAAAGTTTCTCCCTGATCTTTGAATCTAAAAATGTGACGTCATTAAAGCTCCTGTGAGTATATTTAACTGGGAACGCCTCTCTGTCCACAGGGGGGCGCCAGAATCAACACGGAGCAGAAGTTCCTTTAAAGTTGTTCGAAGCTCTTAAAGTTCATCTTCATGTTTTTACTAGAGCCCGACCCAAATGGGTTTTTAGGGACCGATTATTAGGGGGGAAAGAAATCCGATTACCGATTAATCGGACAATTTTTAAAGTTTTTTATGATATTATTATGATTATGAAAAATACATCTATACTGTAAATATCTACAGTATACTACTGTATACAGTATACAGTATAGTATACAGTATACTATATACTGTAAATATCTACAGTATACTACTGTAGATATTTACAGTATATAGTATACTGTAGATATACTGTAGTATACTACAGTATATCTACAGTATACAATATACTGTAGATATCTACAGTATACTACTGTAGATATTTACAGTATATAGTATACTGTAGATATACTGCAGTATACTACTGTAGATATACTGTAGTATACTACTGTAGATATGTACAGTATATAGTATACTGTAGATATACTGTAGTATACTACAGTATATGTACAGTATACAGTATAGTATACTGTCGATATACTGCAGGCTACTGCATTTAACGCTGACAGGAAGACCGACTGATTAAACTCGGACCAGAAAAGCGTTTTTATCTACTGCTGTGCTGTTAGGAAGTTAGTGAATGAAGATCGTCATGAGGTCGCTGTAGCGCCATCTACAGGGTAAGTCAGGGAACTTTTCAAATGGAGGAACATTTTCAAAGTGAAACCGAATCTTCTTCTCCGCATTTTATTTCTGAAAATCATCGAGTTTTGGCCGATTACTGATTAGTCTCAAACACGCTAAAATTGGCCGATTTAATCGACTTGCCGATAAATCGGTCGGGCTCTAGTTTTTACAGAAAATATTTGCTCGTCTGTGTTCGTTTGTGTTAAACAAGATAAAAACTTCTTAGTGGAGCTTTAAATGATCAGTGCGACGCAGAATCAAAACTGCAGGTTAAAGTTCGTTAACGTTAAAATTTTTACTTGTTTTTTTAACAATCGTCGGATTCATTTGGACGTCTTCTGCTTCGCTCCACGTCTTCCTCTGTCCTGGATTTTCAGAGTCCAGTTGAAGCTCTAGTGTGGGACGGCCGTGCTGGCTCCGGGGCCCATCTCCTTCTCACAGATGAAGGGCCAGTACATGGTGCAGGGGGCGTCGTACCAGCTCCGGATCGCCACCCGCTCCAACACCCGGGTCTTCACGATGTAGCCACAGTCCTCGTTGATGTGGTTGTTGGGCTCGCCGACCTCCCAGAAACTACAAGGATGAAGAGAAAAATAAAAAAGACCTTCGTTTTATTTTTCAAAGTGACTGATATTTAGAAAAGAAGGTTTTGAAGGTTTTCAGGATGAAATTTGATCTTTTTTTTTTGTTTGTTTTTTTGCAGGAGGGGAAAGAGGAAGGACGGGAACAGAGGCTCAAAACAGGAACGATGGAAAGTGACTCACAGACTAATATTTACAAAAAGAGGAAGAAAAATCAGATGATTCTTAGAAAATCTGATGAGCTGGCAGAAAAGGAGGACAGAACCTCAGGCGTGGGCCGGAGCGGAGAAAAGCCCCACTGAAGGGTTTGTTTGTTATCTGGAGGTCAAAGGTCAGGGTCGCCTGCTCCGGGTTAAACAGCACTGAACCCTCATCGGAGCTTTTAACCCTTTATGTTCAGGTTTTCTGAAGGACGAGGTCTCGGCGGTTCTCGTTGATTCATTCACTCCCTGCTGTCCAGAATAAATTCATTTTCCAGAGAAGTAAAAAAACCTTTTTGAGGAACAGGTTTGATGATGACTCGACACTAAAACAGGACCTCCAAATGTGGAAGTGTTCTCCTCAAACCAGGACAACCACCCCCACTGTGAAAGTCTGCAGGTCTCTGGCTCTGGTCCCGGCTCTGCAGAGGTGAAAGTCCAGCGGTGTGTTTGTCTGTCTGAAGTCAGACGGTTGAGTTTTACTGTCAGTCCGATGGTCGAAGAGAAGCCGTACCACTTCTTAAAACCTGGTTCAGATCTTAAACCGGTTTTCATCATTCAGAGTCTCCTCTTCTTCTTCCTCAGCCCCCGTCTCCTGTGGGGTCCCCCAAGGTTCCAAACTCGGTCCAGTTCTCTTCTCCATCTATTTTCTTCCCTTTGGTCACATGATTAAAATCTTTTCCCTCTTATAGAGACGACACACAGATCTACCCCCCACTGAGCCGAACAACGACAACAAACTAAGGGACCTTCAGAAACTGAAGTTATTCTGTTTGGACCAACGTTCTCGCCGCTCTTCTCTTCGACTGTCGTCTTTGATTAAAGTTTGACAAACAAATAAATCAGGTCGTAAAATCAAGCTTCACGCATCGTCTCAAAAATCTGATCATTTCTTACGACCTCTGACCTGGAGAACCTCGACTATCGTATATTTGAAGATCACTCGGTCTCTTTTGTCTTGTCTAGTTCAGAAGATCAGAGTTTGAACCAGAACTAAGAGGAGGAGAACATTTAAAACCAGGATGGAGTTTCTAACCCTGATGTTCGTCTACAGACTGTTGAAGGGTCTCTTACGTCACAGACTCTTGTCCTCGTATCACACAACGAGAGAACGAAGATGGTCTGACCAAAGACTTCTGTCAGTCCGAGGGTTCAGGACTAAGTGTTACGGGGACGGGACTGTGGAACTCCCTCCATCAGGTTCTCCCCCTCCATCCAGACCTTTAAGACTCGCCTCAAAACCCACTTTTACTCCCTCCTCCCCTTTAACCGTCCCTAACTCTTACAGCTCAACCATCTCCATGTCGGCTCTGTAGGTCTGTGGGTCTGTGGGTCTGTAGGTCTGTAGGTCTGTAGGTCTGTGGGTCTGTAGGTCTGTAGGTCTGTAGGTCTGTGGGTCTGTAGGTCTGTGGGTCTGTAGGTCTGTTGGTCTGTAGCTCTGTAGGTCTGTGGGTCTGTAGCTCTGTGGGTCTGTAGGTCTGTGGGTCTGTAGGTCTGTGGGTCTGTAGGTCTGTAAGTCTGTGGGTCTGTAGGTCTGTAGGACTGTAGGTCTGTGGGTCTGTAGGTCTGTGGGTCTGTGGGTCTTTAGGACTGTGGGTCTGTAGGTCTGTGGGTCTGTAGGTCTGTAGGTCTGTAGATCTGTGGGTCTGTAGGTCTGTAGCTCTGTGGGTCTGTAGGTCTGTGGGTCTGTAGGTCTGTGGGTCTGTGGGTCTGTAGGTCTGTAGGTCTGTGGGTCTGTATGTCTGTAAGACTGTAGGTCTGTAGGACTGTGGGTCTGTAGGTCTGTGGGTCTGTAGGTCTGTAGGTCTGTGGGTCTGTAGGTCTGTAGGTCTGTAGGTCTGTGGGTCTGTAGGTCTGTGGGTCTGTGGGTCTGTAGGACTGTAGGTCTGTGGGTCTGTAGGTCTGTAGGACTGTAGGTCTGTGGGTCTGTAGGTCTGTGGGTCTGTGGGT